TCGGGGCTCGATGACGCGCGGCGCTTTCGAGGTTGCAGCGTGAAGTCCGAGCAGCTGCAGCCCCGAGACGGTGCTGTCGTGGCGATGTTGCGGGACGACTTCCTGCACGTCGTCGTCTTCGCTTTCAGATTCATGTGATGCTGGTGGTGCTGCGCCTCCGCCGCTTCCGCCTGTTCCGCCTACTCCTCCTCCCGAGGAGTTATCGTCGTCGTCGTCGTCGCTGCTGCGCCGATCTTCCCACGTGAATTCTCCCCTTGTGTCCTGCTCCAGGATTGCTGCAGCGGCTTCGTCTTCAGGCGTGGCATAGCTGTGGCCGTCGTTGGCGTAAACGCGATTTGCGATCGTTTCTTGGTCGCGGCGGAACTGGTCGAGGAAGAGACGCTCGTAGAAAATTACGTCGCGAGCATGGGCGGTCTTCTGGCTGAGGAGGTCCAGCACGGTCTAGGCCTTGTACTCGTGACTGATGCCGAGGTGGATCCCCCAACGCGCGCGGCTGGCGAACTTCCCGATCGTCGATGTCGGCGGGCGGTATTGAACCATACACCCCCATACGCGGAGCATGGAGGTATCTCCCTTGGTTCCTGTCCACTTGACGTGCGGAGACAAATTGCCAGTAATCGCGGTCGTTGAAAGGAGGTTGTGCACCCGCACGGCGTGATGCATCGCGTAAGTCCAGTAGATCGGCGGCAATTTCGACTGCTTCATCAGCGCGCGCACCTTTGTCATCAGCGTGCGATTCGTCCGCTCAGCTACGCCCTGCTGCTGGTGCGCGTAGGGGAGAGAGATGTGATGCTCGATCCCCTTTTGCGTCAGGAACGTCTGCATCTGGTTGCTCCTGAATTCTGCTGCGCCGTCAGATTGCCAGATCTTGAGTTTCTTCCCAGATTGCCGCTCCGCATGCGGCAGCCAGAGGCGAAATACCTCGTAGGCTCTGTCACGCGACTCCACGTTCACGACCCATACGTAGCGCGTTCCAGCGTCGATGAAGGTGAGCGTGTATAGCTCGTCTTCGACTCCGCAATGCCCCACGTTCAGGAAATCGCTGTACACCTTGTGCAGCTTGGGGTAGCGGTTCGTTCCAGGTTCGAGCAGCGGGAACGGTTGGTGGCTCAGCGCAGCTTCGGGGCAGACGGTGCAGTTGCGCGGGTGTGTCGCGCCACTCACTTCGGAGCCATCAGGGCGCAGGAGTGCGCCAGGAGCGAAGACGCCAGCGTCGATGCAGTTTTTCAGCGTCGCGCGGGAAGGGTGTCCGAGGCGCTGGTGCCAGAGTGCATCGTCAGCGCGAAAGCCGGAGGTGCGCATATAGCGCACGCGCACTTCCTCAGGGTCTTCGTCAGGTACAGGAGCAGGTTCTGCTGCTACTTCCTCTAGTTCTTCTTCTTCTGCCGCGGTAGTCAGCATCAGCGCCAAGAACTCTCTGTCGCGAATTTCAGAGAGTGGGATGTTGGTCCCAGGGATAGTTCCAGGGACTAAGGTAGGTTGGCGTGGCTCAGGGGCAGGTCCGTAGACGGTGCGGCGCGGAGTTGATAGCTCGTTGCCCCAGATGATGGTGTCCCACGGGTCGCGATGCGGGGGAATGTCTGCAGGAGGTGGTGCGAGCGGGATGTGGCGCGGGGGACGACCGAGAGGAACGACTGCAGGTGTTGCCTCAGTTTCCGCAGCTTCTTCCTCTTCCCCCCTTCGTTCTTCACGGGAAGTGCCCCAGCCGCTGTCTGCGGCGGTAGGTACGGCGCCCCATCCGCCGCTCGCGTTGGCCCATGTTCCGCCGTTGTCTCCCCATGCGCCGCTGTCGCTTGTTCCCCAGCCTCCAGCGCTTCCCCACCCCCCTTCATTGGAGGCGCTCTCTTCCGCTTCGGCTCCCCATGCGCCGCAAGCGAAGGTGCCGCGCGCTTCGGCGAGGCTTTGCTGGCGAAGCTCCTCAGCTTCGCGTTGCGCCAACTCCTCTTCTTGCTCCACGGTGAGTTTCGCCGAGGGGTCGAGCCGATGAGGGTACACCTTTCGGAATTCCTCGAGAGTGTAGGGGCGCGGGACTCCTCGTGAGTCCAGGCTTCCGCGGCGTTGTCCGCGCAGAATAGTGTCGAGCCGCTGGGAGGGAGGTCCAGCGTGGGGGCTTTGGTCGGTGCCGAACACGCGGCGAGTAGTCTCCTCGACCTCGAGCTGCGACATCCCTTCTTCTGGTGGCGCGTGGCGCTCTGCTTCAGCGATGGCGGCGAGTCCGCGCCCTGCGATCGCGCTTGTTGAGGTCGTCGGCGTGTGACAATCCCTGCAGATCCCATCGGGATCGGGGTTGTGAAGCGCCGTTTCGCGTGGGTGGGGATGATGTGGCACCCACGGCCTGCCGTCAGGGTGCTTCCAATCCCTGCGGTGGATGTGCTCGAAGCGCAGTGGCACGAGGTCAATCAGCTCGTGCGAATCGCCGCTGCAGTCGGGAATATCGAAGTCTAAGACGTACACCCCATTTTCGGAGTGTGCTCGTCCGATCTGCCTGCGGGGGAAGTTGCGCGCCTCATAGTGCAGCAGGATGTCTCGCGTCGCGCGGTCCGTGCTGAGGTCGACGCCGCAGTCCATGAGCTGTGCGGCGGACAGGAGGTTGAAGCGCAGGTTCTGGACGATCAGCACATCGTTAAGCGTGATGTGCGTGCGGCTCCCGCGTGCTTTGAGCACGACGATGCCTTGCGCGCTTGCGCGCAGGCGTGTGTTGTTCGCCACGGTGACGTAGGTGACGGCAGGGGTGGGGACGGCGTTGGATATGTAACGCTCGGAGCCCACCATATGCTGGCCGCAGCAGCTGTCCAGGTACCAGGTGTTGTAGCGCTTGTTGTCGTCACGTGCGAGCAGCGCCAGTCGCGGCGTGACGATGTGCGGAGTGTCGAACTTCAAAAACTGTTCGCGCGAGAGCCAGTCAAGTGGCGCCACCCGCATATCAGGTACGTGCGGGGGACTTTCAAGCAGCGGAACTGGAAGATTCCAGTCTTGGTCGTCGTCGTCGGTGAAGTCGTGGCGCGGGCTAAACGGGTTGTTGTTGGTGAACGCGCCAATCGGGTGCGGTGCCGGCTCAGGTGACGGTGAGCGAACGCGGCGACGACGCGACTCGCCTGTCATGGCCATGCTGCTCATGACGTTGCGAACTGGGGGAGTCGATGATGGCTGCTGCTGCTGATGCTGAACCGCTGGGTTCAGGTTGCGCGCGGGAGGGGGCTGATACCCTTGGGCTGGACGCACGTCGCCTCGTGCGTCTTGACGGCCGGACCAGGTGCTCGGATTGGTCTGGCGAGGGCGGGATCGGTTCTTGCATCGATCCGCCAGATGCCCGAAATTTCTGCAGATTTTGCAGTAGAGGCGCCGTGGCTTTCGCTCTTCAGTGTTGTCGGCGTAGAAGGCGAGCCGTTCGCGTTCTCGTCGCGGCGCTGGTCGCTGCTGATCCATATCCCTCTGTTCGACGAGAAGGGCGGCGCAAAGGGCGGCCTCCGAGATGACCCCCTGCTGTCGGAGAAGCGCCTTGCAGGGCCGCCACTCTGGGCCGAGCCCTTGAAGCACAATGTTGACGAAGATTTCTTCTGAAATCGTGCTTCCCAACTTCACGATTTGATTGCGAAGGCTCCGACAACGGTTAAGGTAGTTGTTGACCTTCTCCCCTGCGGTCATCTTGGTTTCCAGGAGTTCCTGGAGTAGTCGGCTCGAAGAGACAGAGTCCTTGGGCTGGTAGACTCCTGTCAGGTGCCGCCAGGCGTTAAGGGCTGGAGCAGCTGTGGTCTTGTATGAACGAATGTTGAGCTGCTCCGCCGCCGACATATTCCGCAGGAGCACCCCGTACGCCATCAGCGACTCGTTGTAATACCGCGCCTTGGCGTCGTCGGTGTCCTCAGCAGGCTCCGCGTAACTCCCGTCGAAATAGTGGAAGATCTGGGCGTTCTGAAGCAGGAGCTCCAGCTCGAAGCTCCAGGTGTAAAAGTCTCTGCCGTCAAAACAGGTACTTGTCTTTATTTTTGATATGCTGAGAAACCTTGATTGAGCGGAGAGAATTGCCTCTTCACTGGGACGGGGAGTCTTGGGGGTTGAGCCATTGGTGTCGAGGGAGAAAGTTTGTGGAGTGGTGTTCTGGCCAGTCGGGGCCGGTTGGTTGCGAGGATGTTCCCGCATCGCCATTCCGCAATGTTTGGAGCCCTTGCTCCAAGCTGGTGAGTCGCTGAAGAAGTTGTGCGAGAACTTCGGAGTTGATTGTCGTCGTGTTCTCGCTTGTCGCAGCCGAATTGGGTTGCGCTTCAGCCGTCAGATTAGTCTGACCACCAGATCCTCCGGCCATCTTCACTCGTGAGCGTGTGCCAGACGCCACTTTCTGAATGTCGCAATTTTCGGGAGTGGCAGTGCGAAGGATTCCTGAGCCGCTCTCATACCATGCTGCGATCAGAAGTTGATCGTAGCCCGGGATCTACCCAGGAAGGTTCGCACGCAGTGAAATAGTTGGTGGGCCCTTGACCTCAATAGCTGAGTGAATGTAAATGCTTGAGATAATAAAAACATGCAAACAAAATGATATAAATAAGAGTACAAGGGAATACGAAACGACCTAACTAGCCATGTACTCTAAGGGGTACATTCCCTTATTCAAATTCATTCCCAACCGTGCGGCGCGTACAGTTTCGTAACTGTTCCCGCCAAAACCACCTTGCCTGCAGCTGCCCGATGCCGTCTGCTTCCGACGGTCCAGATGCGTCCCAACTGTCCGACGCTTCGAGTCAATTCCAACCGTCTGACGCTTAGAGCCCCGCTTAGAGGCCCCCGCGGCCCCGTACCGCCCCACTTAGCGACTCCGCGCAGCCGCGCAGCCCGAACCGAGCCGCGCCGCCCTACCTGAACCGAGCCGCGCCGCCCGACCGAGCCGCGCCGCCCGTACTAGCAGCCCCGTCGATACTGCTGCTCCTCCTACTTCTCCTACTGCTACTACAACTGTTGATCCTACGGCTACTACTACTGCTCCTACTGCTACTACTGCTGCCACTATGGCCAGTCCTCCCGTACTTGCTTTCGATGCTGAGGGCCGCCCAGTGAAGTTTGACACCTGGCTAGATGACCTACACCTCTTCCTACAGCTCACTGCCAAGGAGGATATTTCGCTGTACGATCATGCCCTCGGTCACGCTACTGCCCCTCCTACCACTGCAGACAGCACTCAGCGCTCACAGTGGCAGACTCGTGACGCCCACGCTCGCTTCGCTATTCGCAACTCCCTGCCGCTAGATGAGCGCGAGCACTTTGGCCAGCACAAGACTGCTAAGGACCTGTACACTGCTGTAGTTGCTCGTTACTCCTCACCTGCCTCTGCCACACTAGGCCGCCTCACCCTCCCCTACCTGTTCCCCGACCTGGCCTCCTTCAGCACTGTCGCTGACCTCATCACCCACCTCAGGACTAGTGAGGCCCGCTTTCGCGCTGCTATGCCTGACGAGTTCCTTGCCAGCAACCCCCCCCCGCTCTGGATCACGCTCTACCACATCGTCACCCGCCTCCCTGACTCTCTGCGCGCAGTCAGGGATCACTTCCTCGCTCGCTCTCCCACTGAGCTCACCATTGCCCTCCTCGAGAAGGAACTGCTTGCAGCTGAGGCGAGCATCGTCGCTGTAGGCACCTCTCGTGGCGACCCCCGCACCCCGTTCTTTGAGGGGTGTTCCCCTTCCCCCCTTCTCCCCTCTGTCGCCTCTGCTGCTACTGTCGACCTCCTTGGTGCTGAGAAGGTCGGGACCGCGTCTGCTCCGAGCGGGCGCCGCAGGGGCAAAGGGGGCAAGGGTGGAGGTGGCGGCGGGGGAGGCGGGGGTGGTGGCGGTGGGGGTGGAGGTGGGACTGGAGAGGCTAGTGGCGGCAGTGGGGGTGGTGACAGCAGTGGCGGGAGCGGTGGTTGGGGCGGAGGCGGCAGCGGAGGCGGAGGTGGTCGTGGCAGCGGCAGGGGTGGAGGTGGCCGAGGCGGTGGCGGCGGCGGTGGTGGTCGTGGAGGCGCTGGCGGTGGCCAGAGCCAGCAGCACGCCCCGTCGCTTCAGGAGGCACGTGAGTGGTATTCGCAGCGGGGGGGGGCGGGTGGTTTTACCTGCACGTACGTCATTCGCACTGGTGACCGCGCTGGCCAGACGTGTGGGAAGCCGCACCCCACGCACCGCTGTTTCTCGCGCCTTACCGACGCATGGCGCGCCCAGTTTCCTGCTGGCGCTGAGCTGCCCCGCTGGGCTGATCTGGAGAGGAAGGGTGTTGATATTTGGGCACTAGACTTTGATGCTATTCTCACTGCCATGTATGCGATGTTTACTAGTGGAGAGGGTGCTCAGTACTTGCGTGTTCCGCCCGACCCGGGCATTCTGACCAGTCCGACTGCCGCTCTAGGTGCTAGTGAGTCTGCTGCCCCAGGTCCTGGTGAGGCTGCTGCTCTAGGTGCTCGTGAGTCTGTGCCCCCTGGTACTGAGTCGACTACGGCACTGCACACCTTCACACTGGACTCAGGTGCTTCTCGCTGTTTCTTTCGTGACCGCACTGTCCTTGAGCCACTCGCTCGGCCAGTTGCTGTCTCTCTCGCTGACCCCTCTGGGGGTCCGGTCCTTGCGACCTCCTCCACTGTCCTTCCTTGTCCTGCAGTCCCGTCAGGCACACTGTCAGGTCTCTACCTCCCCTCATTCTCTACGAACTTGGTGGCAGGTAGTGCGCTCCAGGACGGGGGTGTCCACCAGTTTACCCCTGCATACGAGCGCGTGACACACTGCACGTGTGCTCGGACGGGCCGTCACCTGGCTACCTTCACTCGGCAGCCCGGGTCGGACCTGTACACACTGACCACTGAGTCCCCTCAGGTAGCTGCGTCTGCGTCTGCGTCTGCGTCAGGTCAGCTGTCCGCCCCCTGCTCGTGTCGCTCTCTGGCACATGAGACTGTCCTCTGGCACCACCGCCTAGGTCACCCGTCTGTGCAGCGCCTTCGGGCCATGCACAAACGGGACCTTGTTGCTGGTCTTCCCAGGGTTCTCCCTCCCCTGCCACCCTCGCCTGCTCCTCCCTGTATTCCCTGTGTCGAGGGGCGGCAGCGCGCCGCTCCTCACTCCTCCTCCTTTCCCCCGACGACTGCTCCTTTGCGTCCGTGGTCAGGGTCAGGAGCGGTACTTCCTGATTGTTGTTGACGACTTCTCGCGCTACACCACGGTCTTCCCCTTGCGCACCAAGGGTGACGTCCCTGATGTCTTGATCCCTTGGATCCGCAGATCTCGTCTCCAGCTCAGTGAGCGTTTCCGCTCCGACTTCCCTGTCCTGCGTCTGCACTCTGACAGAGGTGGGGAGTTTTCCTCTGGCCTCCTGGAGGCCTTCTGTCAGCAGGAGGGCATTGAGCAGTCGTTCACGCTTCCGGCCTCTCCACAGCAGAATGGGGTTGCTGAGCGCCGCATTGGCTTGGTCATGGAGGTCGCTCGTACCTCCTTGGTTCATGCGGCTGCCCCCCACTTTCTGTGGCCGTTTGCAGTCCGATACGCTGCGCATCAGCTCAACCTCTGGCCCCATGTCTCCTTACCGGAGACTTCTCCGACACTGCGTTGGACGGGAGAGGCTGGCGATGCGTCGCGTTTTCGGGTCTGGGGATCTCGAGCTTTTGTTCGCGACACGTCCGCGGACAAGCTCTCCCGTCGCGCTGTCCCCTGTGTCTTCCTTGGCTTTGTCCCGGACGCGCCTGGTTGGCAGTTCTACCACGCCACCTCGCGTCGTGTCCTGGCCTCTCAGGACGTCACTTTTGACGAGTCCGTCCCCTACTACCGTCTCTTCCCCTACCGCACTGCCCCGCTCCCCCCCCCACCTCTCTTCCTCGCTCCAGGTGCTGAGGTACCAGACCCCCTCCCCCCTCAGGGTGCCGCTCCCTCAGGTGTGTCCCAGGTAGACCCGGGTGAGCCTGTCGAGGTAGCTGTTGACTCTCGTCCTGCTGGGGGTGCTGAGCCTGGGGGTGCTGAGCCTGGGGGTACTGCGTCTGGGGGTGCTGAGCCTGGGAGTGCTGAGTCTGGGGGTGCGGAGCCTGGGGGTGCCGAGCCTGGGGGTAGTGCGCCTGAGGGTGCTGAGTCTGCGGGTGCGGAGCCTGGGGGTGCTGAGTCTGGGGGTACTACACCTGGAGGAGCCCTCTCCTCACAGCAGCTGCAGGAGAGGTACCTACAGTACTGCCGCCTCCGGAGAGGTACTGCTGGAGCTGGTCGCGGTGCTTCCCCTCCTGCCCGGGAGCTCCCCCCCCTCCAGCAGATCCGAGAGTGGTACACGAGGCGCTGCAGTCTTCGGAGTGGTGCTCCTGGTGCTGCGGACCCGGACGTTGGAGCTGCTGCTGGTGCTGCGGACCCGACTGGTGGAGCTGCTGCTGGTGCTGAGGACCCGGCTGGTGGAGTTCCTGCTGGTGCTGAGGACCCGAGCGGTGGCGCTGCTACTGGTGCTGAGGACCCGGACGTTGGAGCTGCTGCTGGTGCTGAGGACCCGGCTGGTGGAGTTCCTGCTGGTGCTGAGGACCCGAGCGGTGGTGCTGCTGCTGGTGCTGAGGACCCGGACGTTGGAGCTGCTACTGGTGCTGAGGACCCGGCTGGTGGAGTTCCTGCTGGTGCTGAGGACCCGCGCGGTGGAGCCGCTGCTGGTGCTGAGGACCCGGGCGGTGGAGCTGCTGCTGGTACTGAGGACCCTGGCACTGGTGTCTCTGCTGGTTCTGGAGACGCTACCCGGCCGCGACCGTACTTCGTACCGCTCCTTCAGCAGGTTCTTGGTCAGGCTCCTCCTCGTTGTCCTCCTCCCTCCGTAGCGTGTCCTCCGCCTATCCAGTCCCAGTCACAGTTACCGCCTGCCTCGCCTCTCCCTGGTCCCTCTCCTTACACTGGTCCCACAGGAGGTCTTGCAGAGCGTCGTGAGCCTGCGTCTCGTCCTGCGTCGCCTGTTCGTACTGCTCGCACTGGTCGTCATGTCCCACGTGAGCGTCCTCCTCCTGTCCCTGGCACTCACTACATGACTCTGCGTCCCTCCACTGCTCCTCAGCGTGTCCTGCTGCCGTCTCCTCCTGCGTCCTCTCTGCCTACTCTTCCTGATCCGGAGTCTGACTCTCGTCGTGCTGCCAGTCCCACTGTCACCCGTCTCCTCGCTACTGTTGTCACTGACCCTACCTTTGAGTCCTCTGCTGCGTCTGCTCTAGTCGCTGAGTTGATAGACTTTGCTGCCCGGTGTCGTCTAGACTACGCCACTAGCCTTGTTGCTGAGTCCGAGTCTGAGTCTGTCTGTCCTCCGTCCGTCGGGGGTGTGTGTGCTCTTGGCACTGACGTCCTTGAGGACAGACAGGAGGAGTTCCAGTGCTTTGCTGCTTCTTTGCCCCATCTCGTGTCCATGCTAGTTGCCCCTGAGGGAGACCCGGATGCACCAGACATTCCGACCCCGCGCACCTACGCTGAGGCGATGGCGGGTCCCTACTCCTCTCAGTGGCAGACAGCCATGGACGCAGAGATGGCTTCCTGGAAGTCCACACGCACCTACGTCGACGAGGTTCCCCCACCTGGGGCGAACATCGTCAGTGGCATGTGGATTTTCAGGGTGAAGCGGCCGCCGGGTTCTCCTCCTGTCTTCAAGGCGCACTACGTTGCTCGAGGCTTCAGTCAGCGAGAGGGAGTTGACTTCTTCCAGACCTTCTCCCCAACCCCGAAGATGACCACTCTTCGGGTGCTGCTGCACATAGCCGCTCAGCGCGACTACGAGCTTCACTCACTTGACTTCAGCACTGCTTTCTTACAGGGCAGCCTGCACGAGGAGATCTGGCTGCGCCGCCCTCCTGGCTTCACTGGGTCGGTTCCTCCTGGTACCCAGTGGAGGCTCCAGCGGCCGGTCTACGGTCTCCGCCAGGCACCGCGTGAGTGGCATGACACACTGAGGACGACACTTGCGGCTCTTGGGTTCGCTCCCTCTACTGCTGACCCGTCACTGTTTCTACGCACAGACACCTCGCTGCCGCCGTTCTACATCCTCGTGTACGTCGACGACTTGGTCTTTGCCACTGCTGACACCGCGGCACTCGCCCACGTGAAGTCGGAGCTGCAGAGGAGACACACGTGCACAGACCTGGGTGAACTGACAAGCTATCTTGGCTTGCGGATCACCCGGGACAGAGCACGGCGCACCATCACCTTGACTCAGTCACACATGGTGCAGCAGATCCTTCAGCGCTTCCGCTTCACGTACTCCTCGCCTCAGTCCACTCCTCTGCCTACCGGTCACTCGCTCTCAGCTCTGCCTTCGGATGAGTCCGTAGAGCCGAGTGGCCCGTATCCAGAGCTTGTGGGCTGCCTCATGTACCTGATGACCTGCACTCGACCTGACCTTGCATACCCTCTTAGCATCCTTGCACGCTATGTCGCTCCTGGCCGTCACAGGAAGGAGCACATGGATGCCGCAAAGAGGGTGTTGCGCTACTTGTGCAGTACGTCGGGCATGGGGCTAGTGCTTGGAGGGCGAGACCGAGTTGTACTTACTGGACACTCAGACGCTTCTTGGGCGGACGACCAGGCTACTCAGCGGTCGTCTCAGGGTTACACCTTCAGCCTTGGCTCCGGCTCAGTTTCTTGGCGTTCTACACGCTCTTCTTCTGTTCTCAGCTCCAGTTGTGAGGCTGAGATCTACGCCACAGCCATGGCTGCCCAGGAGCTACGCTGGCTGACCTACCTGCTGACCGACCTGGGAGAGCGGCCTCGTTCTCCTCCAGTGCTGTACGTCGACAACCAGGCTGCCATTGCCTTGTGTGAGGAGCACAGACTGGAGCACAGAACGAAGCACATCGCCCTGCGGTACTTCCTTGCTCGAGAGCTGCAGCAGCGTGGTCAGCTACGTCTGCGTTACGTGGCCACTGAGGCCAACCTTGCTGATGTGTTCACCAAGGCGCTTCAGCCTTGTGACCATCAGCGTTTCTGTACTCTTCTAGGCCTTGTGCCTGCTGGACCTCACTTGCTTACTTCTTGACTCTGCTTGTACTGTGATCTTATATATATGCCTGCATGTGAACTGGTCTTGTGACCACTTGCTTGTGCTCGGAATTTGTGTGGTATCCTTGAGATCCACCCTGAGCTTGTTTTGCTTTGCTTTGACTGGTCTTGTGACCCCTTGCTCTCCCCCACTTTGCCTATGGGGGTGTGTCAAACATTATATGTGTTGTGCTTGTTTAGGCTACAGTGGGTTAGCCTATAGGGGGTACACAATTCTAGGGTTAGGTACTTGTACTCATTTCACTGCTAGTTCATTCATTCCTCGTTCAGTTCTTCTGACAGCAGCAGGCTGACGTGGAACGCGTCATGAATTTTCCAGTCGTCGGGCAGCAGTAGTTTCGTGGTGACAGGTGTCACCATCTGGATGATCCGAAATGGTCCCACGTATCGGGGCCGTAATTTCGCGGGCTGCGGCAGACGAAGATTCTTGGTGTCCAAGAGCACAACCTGCCCTGCGCGGAAGGGTAAATTCCGTCGATGCTTGTCCGCCTGGCGGCTGGCTGTGGTTTTAGCCCTACGAATAAAATCAGCTGCTTTCGTGCGGGCGGTCTGCAGCTCCGTAACAAATTGCTGCGAGCGTGGTACCGGGTTGTCCACAGTCGTTGAAGAGGGTACCACGGGGTCTATCCCGTAATTTAGGAAGAAAGGTGATTGTCGAGTCGTTGCCGAAGGGGCGTTGTTGTACACAAATTCCAACATCGGTAGCGAGTCCTCCCACTTGCGGATATCTGGGCAGTTGGTGCGAATCAGTTGCTCCATGGTCTGATTTGTCCGTTCCGTCTGTCCGTCGGTTTGCGGGTGGTATGACGACGAGATCTGCAGGCGGGTGCCGTACTGTGCCCATGTCTCCTGCCAGAACTTTGACGTAAATTTCGGATCACGATCGCTGATGATCGCCGAAGGTAACCCGTGTAGGCGTACGACGGTGGAGATGAACAGTTTGGCTGTATCTTCGGCTGTGATCGTCGTTCGGCACGGGGCGAAATGCGCCATTTTTGTTAGGCGGTCGACGACGACCAGCACCGAGTCGTTGCCACTCGTGCCAGCTGGCATCCCCGTGACGAAATCCATCGTCACCTGTTGCCACGGTCGTTCGGGTGGCTCGAGGGGTTGCAGCAGTCCAGCCGGCCTTTGCCACGACGACTTCATTGCTTGGCAGGTCGGGCAGGTTGACACGTAGCGCTGCACATCGGTGAGCATGTCCGGCCAGTAATAATTCCGCTGCAGCAGCTTCAGTGTTTTGTCGGTGCCGAAATGCCCGGAAAGGTTGGAGTCGTGAACCTCCTGCGTCAGCAGCTCCCGTAAAGGCTGGTATGCTGGTACCCAAATCCGGTTCGTACCGGCTTTTAGGTAGTACTTGCCGTGCGGTGTAGCAGCCTGTTGTTGCGGGTTCCGAAAAACCCTGTCAATCTTGTAGCCGTGGGTGAATAGTCCCGTCAGCATCGGGTTGGTGTGGGCGATTAGCACCGCCGCGTTTTGCATGGATGGTCTGGTGAGGGCGTCGGCGATGTTGTTGGCGCCCTTTTTGTACGTGATGGTGTACCGAAAATTGGACTCGAGGAAGTCCAACCACCGGATTTGTCGCGGGTTGAGTGTCGGTTGCGTGCGCATGTACTGTAGTGATTTGTGGTCGGTCCGAATGGTCACGTCGGCTCCCGTGAGGTAGCAGCGCCAGACGCGGAATGCATGGACGATGGCCAGCATCTCCTTGTCGTGGACTGGGTAGTTGCGCTCGGGTGGCTGCATCTTGCGTGATTCGTAGGCGATGGGTTGCAGCCCTTGGCCGAAGTCCTGTAGCAGGACGGCGCCGACGGCGAAATCGCTGGCGTCCGTGACGACTTCGAACGGTCGAGATGGGTCGGCGAGGCGGAGTACAGGGGGTGACTTCAAAATGTTTTTGAGGGCGTCGAAGGCGGACTGCTCCCTCTCCCCCCACCAAAAATCATTGTCGTGATGCAGCAGGTCGGTCAGCGGCTTGGTTATCCCTGCCATATTAGGTACAAAACGACGAACGTAGTTAACAAACCCCAAAAAACTTTGCAACTCAGGGATATTAGTAGGCGGCTTCCACTGAGCGATGGCGTCCATCTTGCGCGGGTCAATTTTGATCCCGTCACCGGAAACCACGTGCCCCAGAAATTCTAACTCCGGCTTCAGGAACTCGCACTTAGACCCTTTCGTAATCAGCCGATGCCCCTGTAAACGCCGGAACACCTCCTCTAAATCCCGCAGATGATCTTCTTTTGTTGCGCTGTACACCAGGATGTCGTCCAGATACACGATGACTTTCTTGTCCAGCATGTCCCGAAAAATCAGATTCATGGTGAGCTGGAACGTCGAGGGCGCGTTTGTCAGACCGAACGGCATCACCGTGAACTCGTAACTGCTGTAGCGTGTGCGAAAAGCGGTCTTCGGGCAGTCGTCGGCGAACACGCGAATTTGGTGGTAGCCTCCTCGCAGGTCGATTTTCGAAAAATACCGAGCTCCGCGAAGTTGATCCAGCAGATCGTCGGTTCGCGGGATCGGGTAACGCGACTTTATCGTGACCCGATTCAGCGCCCGATAATCAATACACATTCTTAGGCCCCCGTCCTTCTTCGGCGTGAACAGTATCGGCGCTGCATACGGCGATGTGCTTGGCCGGATGAATCCCTTGGCGAGCAGGTAATCCAGCTGGGCCCGCAACTCGGCGAGCTCTGGTTGGCTGAGCCGCCACTGTGTCCGAACAGTAGGTTGCGCTCCTGGCTCCAGCTGGATCCGATGATCCTCAGGTCGTTGGGGGGGCAAGCCATCCGGGAGGTCATCCGCGAAAATTTCGGGATACTTCCGAATGATGCTCGCCAATTCCTCGGGGACTGCCGCGCAGAGGGTGTCGATGTCCGCGATTTTCTCGGAAGCTGCCACCTCGTACAGATGCACCATAAAGGCTTGCGCTCCACTATTCATCGCACGCTGCATGTTGATTGCGTTGACACGTGTCGTCACCGGCTCCGGCTCCGTCCATTTCGGAAGCGTCGTCTTCCCTCCGTATCCTCGCACGACGCACGCCCCAGTCGTCCAGTCGATCGTCGGATTGAAGCGCTGCAGCCAATCCCTCCCCAGCAGCACATCGCAGCCGTCCAACGTCGTCGCCAACATTCGCATGCCGAACCCGCGCATTGTATCCGAATTGTATCCGAATTTTTCGCGCTTCATCTCGGATGGCCAGCGGTGTCCCATCCACCAGCCTTGCATCGATCTCCGGCAGACACCTGGTCAGCTTCACCCCAATTTTTTTGGCCGTTGCCAGGTTGACGAGACTGTGGCTCGCCCCACCGTCAACGAATAATTTTATTTTATAACCGTTAACCCTCCCCACCACCAGCACAGGGTAGTCCACGTGTTCACCCACGTTATTCGTCCGGTTCTGGTCGATAGCTCTGATCGGTACCACGACCCGGTGTGGATGGTGATTGTCGGGCGACAGGGTCTCGTCAGTAGGTGGCCCTTCTGCTACTGACTCACATCTTTTCCCGACCCTTCTCCGTCGTTCTTCTTCCCCTGCTTAAGCCTCGGGCAGTCTTTCTTCAGGTGGCCCAGCTGGTTGCATTGAAAGCACGGCCCAAGGGCTCGGCTTGGTGCATCCACGCCGTTGATCGTGGGCTGCTGGGTCGATCCACGAAATCGAGGGCCCTCCCGGGAGCTCGATCTCGCCCACTGCATCAGCGCATCCGTTGACTCGGCTTCCCGGACGGCGTCGTTGAAGCTGCGTGGCCGGGTTCGTCGGACCTCGTACTGTATCTCGTATTTCAGGCCCGCCACGTAGCGATCCAACCGCTCCGCATCGCTCATGTCGTCCACTTGGTCCGCCAAGTTGCAGAATTTGCTGGTGTAGTCTTGGACCGAAGCCAACTGCTTCCAGGTACGCAGCTGCATGCGAGCAGAATCCGAGGCGGATATGTGCTCGAATCTGGTTCGCAAGGCGGCGCCCCACTCCTTCCATGTGCGTATCGTGGCCGTCCCGAAAATTGATGTTGCCCGATGCGTGACAGGTGTTGAAGTCCCGTCGTTCGCACGTGCTATTCCTGCCGAAGTCCCTTCGTGTTGCAGCGTTCGCCTCCACCACTCCAGCGCAGGCCCTCGCAACAGTGAAACTGCGAAATTAATGCGGGTGGCATTGTCATAAATCATGGCAGCATTGAAAAACACTTCCACGCCGAACAACCATGCAAAAACAGTGACAAACTTGTCACTCGGGTTGAACGGGGGCGGGTTTGTCGGCTTGATTTTCACGAAAGCCGTTGCTGCCATCGGGGCCGTTGGCATCGCTGCTGGCGTCGCCGTCGTCGTCGCTGCTGCACGTGTCGGCGCTGCACGCGACTGTTGCGGTGACTGTTGCTGCTGCGTCTGCCTCGCTTCATCCGCATCTATCTCGCCTTCCAACTCGTCCCAGAGCCGCTCCTCCGGTGCAGTGCTGCTACTTGCATCGTCCACGACAGGCGACTCCTGGCGCGCTTCACCACGCGCCTGGTGTAGTTCGGCGTTTTCCTTCTGGAGACGCTCCATTTCTGCAGACATAGTCTGCATGGTGGCCTGCATCGTCCGGAACTGTTGCATGAACTCGTTGAACTCCGCCTGGTCCATGTGTCGCAGGCTTCGTCTAACGGGCAGGGGGTGGCTCGCGATTTTTCTGACTTCGGTGAAGGCGTTAATGCTATCGTAGTCGGAGTGGAATAATCAGATCTATTCCACGGGCCGACCGCTTAACAGCCCACCAAGTCTATCGCTCCCCTTCTACAAACTACCCCGAAAACACGAGGGTAACCTAGGAAATTAGGCTCTGATACCAAGTGTTATGAGTTGTGAATGAAAAGAGTGCGCAGAATTCAATAACGCGGAAGTGATTACAACGTCTGAATGAACAACGAGGCCTAGGCACAATATAGCAAGGCTAGCTAGGCCGAGGTCGCGGGGTCGCGAGATGGTTGGGTGCAGGTTCGGGGTTGGAAAACCCGAAGGCGACGCGGTAGTGGCTCGGAAGGCGAGGTCGGCGGACCGAGCCTGGTTTTCCGAAAGTCGGGGTTGTACGCGTACAGAGTGACCCAGTAAGGAATCCGAAAAATTCCTTACAGGGTGTTTGGCAGGTACGGTGCAAGAGTTGCACAATGTACTGCGTGGACTCGATGCTATGATTCTGTATTACGGTAGATTCTGTTGTACCGTACCGGTGCTTTCATATCACCTTGTCCCAACAACTAAAATCAGCACAAGCAGCCCACGAGAACCCACAGAACAGATAGCACTGCTACTAAAAATGAAGCACATTGCCATGCAATAACCTGAAAGCAAGCTTTCTCAATCCCACAAGTAGCACTGCTTCTACAAACCACCAACTCCAAGCCCATGACTGGATTGGCGAAGTAGTGAGAAAGGACGAAGGAGCTCCTACAAGGGTACTATCGTAGAAATACACAACAATGCAACATCACCAGAAGGGGCACCAGCCGATGTAGCTCTGGCAGAGATTCTCATGCGACGTAGCCTGCACTATTAACCGCTGCACCTGCTCCTTCACACTCACCCCTGGCTCGCTCTCCCGCCCCTCTGCTATCACCCCACCACCACTCCCCATCGCCGCAGCAGCCATGGCCGACGTGGTCCGCTCCAAGCTGCGCCCGCTGTCCCCCAGCAGGCTGTTACTACTAGCCGTGCGAGGGGACTCCGGCACGCTTCCAGGAAGAGAAGCAGGCTGGGCGGAGGAGGCAGAGAAGTTTGGGAAGTCGCGACCGGTGAGCTTGTTGCTCATGCGGGTCATCACCGCCACGGCGCGCTCATTCAGCACCTCCTGGGCGTCATCCAGCTGCCCCAGCGCCTGCAGAATCTCCCGCTCCCTCGCCCCCCGCTGCGGCGGCGGCGACTGCACCGCCCCGCCTCCTCCCCCGCCCGCCGCCCCACCACCACCTGCACCACCTCCCCCTGCCCCGGCTCCTGCAGCAGCGGCAGCAGCAGTGGTACTAGCCGCAGCAGCAGCGGCGCCGGTGCGGTTGATGAGGCGCCAGTTGATGAGCGGATCATACATGAAGGCCTCCATCATGGCGAGCACGGAGTCCTTGTGCTGCCGCAGCACCGCCATCACCGCCTCACACGTGAACCGGAACGTGCCCTCAATGCCGCTCACCTCCATCGCCTTCACCAGCATGCGCGTCAGCCGGAACGGAAACTTCTCGGGAAACTTCTCGCGGTGCATGGACGACTCGAAACAATCACCAAAGTCAATGTGAATAATCTTCCCACTGTACCGATCCAGCATGAGGTTGCTCGGATGGCGGTCTCCCAACCCAAGAATATACCCCACCATGCTCATCACCGCAAGGCTTCGCGTGTAGTTACACCGGCGGTCCAACCACACCTCCGCGCTGCGGCTCTTGAGCCACAGCACCCGCGCTAAGTCGTTCCCTGGCGTGCTGTCCAGCGCGTGTTCGAATGCTTCGACCTTCCCGATGACTGTGAGGTGGTCGTAGTCGGGAGCAAAGCTGAGGATGAGGCGCCTCTCAAGGTTCACCGCGATGTTGTGGGCCTCGCGGTACTCCTGGATCAGCTGGTGCATGGTGTCACAGTGCGGTAACCACCCGATGAGGCCGATGTTGGGAGACAGGGGGACGACCGCGTACCGTTCGATCGAGAGATCCTTGTCAGCTGCTGACCTGGCGCCGGCCAGTAGCGTGTTGACCAATCCAAACAGCTGCATCACGCGCTCATCCAGCCGTAGATCTTCATGCCCCTTCAGCAGGAACACGTACTCCCGGCCGTCGGATCCCAGGATCGAGATCTTCCGTGGCCGCTGCTTGGAAGTGATCACCAGCAGCTGCGGTGCAAACCCTGCGATGGTCACTGTCGGCTGCCCGGCACGGTACGTTCCGGGGACGGCGAGAGCGAGGTCGCGGGCGTTGACCAGCGCAGGCGCCACCTGGAGCAGCTCCAGAGTGGTGAGCGCGGGGAGCTGCTTGTTGATGCGCTTGAACACATGGTAGTAGAGATCCCATGCCTGCGTGAGCTCCGCCTCTCTCCCCGTCCGCCGGTAGTTTGCGCAGCACTCCGCCGCCTCTGCCAACTCCCGCCCGTACGCTTCCACGAAGGCCGCTTCCGTGCTGGTTTCCGGGCCGGCGGTTTCGAGCAGCGCGTGCAGCGGGGCGAGCACGGCCAGCATGCCATCCACATTGCGCTCTCCGAAGTAGAGTCGTGACGCCTCCTCCAGCGCCTCGTGCCACATCTCGTGCCATAGAATGGCCACTCGGATCAGCTCCACAGATACCAGCTGTGCTGCTTCCACCAGAGCAGCGGAGTGCGAGCGGATATTGTCGAGGACGGCTTGTGCGGCGGCGCAGCGGGAGAGAGACATGGACTTGCAGGCGACGAGCAGCGGGAACATGAGCGTCTGCGGGTGGTGCCGGCCGATGCGGATGAGCAATGATTGCACGAGGGAGCGGACGGCGGGCACGTTGTTGTGAATGCGCGCGATGATCTGAGGAATCACGTGCAGCCACGTGTCGATGTTCACGTGCGCGAAGCCCTCCTGTAGCGCCGCCTGCACGTCCGCTGTAGCGCCGTACCGGAACCAGAGAGTCAGCAGCCGAAGAATATCCTGTAGGCTGTCCCCTGCTCCCTTTCCTGATCCCAACCCCTTCGCCACCCCCGCTCCCCCGCCCGCCGCCATCCCCTTCCCGTCCCCCGCCCCGCCCGCTCCCCCTCCTCCCGCCACTCCAGCAGCAGCGAACACCGCTCTCCCGCCTGCCTGGCTCGCCGTCCCTCCTGCCGTGGCGAGCGCGATCGACCGGAAGAACCCGGCAATGGCGGCCACGAGGTGGTTCTGAGCGGCATGCGCGTTGCCGCGCTGCGTGAAGTGCGTCATGGCTGCTGTGTTGAACAGCGCCCAGCGATGCCACGCCTTGCCCCACCCTGGCGCCAGCTCTGTTGCCGCGCGGAGGGATGCGCCGATTTCGGCGACTGAGGCGTCGGAGAGGGTGGGGTGGAGCGACCACTGCCACGTGCCCAGCTTCAGGTAGACTCGTGACAGCAGCGGTGCACCGTGTGCCATGCTGCTGCTGCCGCCCTCCCCCGCTGCTCCTGCTGCTGCTCCGCCCCATGCTGCTCCTGCTGATGGTGCTGAGAGGGAGGAGGAGGAGGGAAGCCCAGGGATGGTGGAGGGCGGAGGGGGCGAGTGGCTGGTGTGAGGGAGAGAGGTCATGCCGGGCAGGGGAGACACCGGCCGTGCCCCGCCCAAGCTGGACGCCGAACCCATCCCGAGCCCCAGGGCGGCGGCGCCAGGTGGCGCGCCGTGAGTGGCTGCGAGCGCGGCGGCGAGGTCCTGCAGGCAGCGGAAGGCGTTGCGGCGGTTGACGTCGGAGGCGAGCGCCCACGCGTACTTGAGATAGCCCAGCACCACGTGCGGCATGGCTGGGATGAGCAGGGGGGAGGTGGATGCGGGTTGGTACGCGAGGGAGGAGGAGGTGGGGAATGGGAGCGAGGAGGAGGAAGGGAAGGGGAGGGAGGGAGGTATGTTTGCCACGGCTGCTGCCGCGGCGGATAGCATGTCGGTGGTGGCGCTGCTGGTGGTGGCGCCGGTGCTGCTGATGCCCGCCCCTCCTCCCAGACCCACGCTGCCCAACCCGCTTCCTCCCAACACTCCTCCACCCGCTCCCGCCCCGCCCCTCACCCCCACCGACGGCAACCGCAACAGCGGCACTGCCGCCGCCGCCCCTGCCCCAGCCACCACCGCCAGTCCGCCGCCCGGCGTCCCAATACTGGTAACCGCGCCGCCCTCCCCCTCGTGAACATCCAGCCCCAGCATTCTCGCCCCGGCTGGGTCGTGCTGCAGGAGCCTCAGGAGAGTGGCTCGGGCCTGACTCACGCGCCCACTCTTGCGGCAGAGGGACGCGAACTTGAGCCACGTGTGGGCGTCCTGGTGCATGGGTAAGACCAGCGATCGCACGGCTAGGAGAGCCTGCCACACGTCCACGTTGCGCTGTGCGCCCTTGATTCTGTCCCGCCACATCTGTCGAATCAGCGCCTTCCTCGCCTCCACCTCCCCCGCGCCCATGTGCCCCTCCTCCCCTCCAAACCCCAGTGCCCCCCCTCCGTCCATCCCTCCAAACCCCCCTCCCGCGCCCCCCCCAGGTGCTCCTCCTCCCCCTGCATCTGCCCCCAGCAGGCAGTAATCAATCACCTCCTCGAGTTCTGACAGCTGCTGCACCCTCACCACGTCCCCATACGCTCTCTCATAGCTTTCTAACACCAGCGCCGCCAGCTCAGTCGCCAGAAGCTTCCGCGCTCTTTCCACATACTCCCTCGCCTCCCCGAACGCCCCGTGCCGCACGGCTAGGACGGCGCGGAAAAACGCCCCGTCGCTGCGCCCCGAACCTGACCCCACCCCCGACCCTCCCGCCAAGCTATGGTGCTGCTGCATCGGCAGAACCGCGCCGAACCTCCCGCCACCGCCGCCCATCCCGCCAAACCCACCCATGGACGCCCCTCCAGCATCATCCCCCCCATCAGGCAGCACAGAGACATACTCTGCCATGTCGTCCCACCTGCCCATGTTCCACGCTGCTCCCGCTCCCAGCGGCGCCATCTGCACGCGCGCTGCCGGCTCAGCGGGCGGCCAGGCGTCATGGCAGAGCGCTGACAGCTCCTCCCAGCGGGCCAAGGCTGCCAGGCAGCGCATGCGCCCCAGCGTGGCGTCTAGCAGCGCTGCTGACGCCGCTGAAGCTGCTGATGCTGATACTTGCATGCTCGGATGCATGGACGGATGCATGCCGGGGTGCATGGTGCTGGGAGCACCGCCTGCGCCTGACAGAAGCATCCCGGTCTGCCCCGCGCCGCCTCCCCCTCCCCCTCCCCCGCCCCCTCCCCCCATGGCCGCCACAGCGGCCGCCGCCCGGCGCTCATACGCAGCGAGCGCGTCGTGCCAGCGCTGCAGTTTCTCGTACCACGGCTCCTTCAGCTGCACCGCCAGGTGCCTCTGCGCGTACACCAGCATGCCCACCGCCGCCTCGTGCTGCTGCAGCTGATTATTAATGTGAATCAGCGCCTCTACCGTCGCCGCCGGGTCGACCTCAAACTCCATCTCCTTGTAGTGGAGGGCTTTCGCAAACGCATGGCACTTCTCGGCTAAGGCGCCGAGGGTGCGGATGTCAACGGGGAGCGGGCACTCGTTCTGCTCCATGAACTCGGCTAGGTTGAGAAGGGTTGCGAGGATCTCCGGGGGGATGTTGGGCGATGCGAAGGCGGCTTCGAGGGAGTGCACGAGCTGGTCGCGGCTCGCGTCGTTCAGCTCCTGCCAGCAGCTCACAAACCCCACTGCGAACAGCTCCCGTGCCACGTGCGGTTGGAGGGGCGCGAGCGTGGCGCACGTGCGCAGCGCGGGGGAGGGGGACTCTTTGAGGAGTTCGACTGAAAAGTGCCGCATCCATTCCGCCCAGTCCTCCCGAGTGCTGCGCTGGGAGGATTCCCAGGCTTTCCTCAGCTGCCCCTCGTTCACCCGTAGCGTCCCGGATGCTGATAACGCCAAGGCGCCTCCCGCCGCCGCCGCCGCTGCTGCTGCTGCCGCCGCCGCCGGTGCCGCCCCTGGTGGCGCCCCCAGGGCCGCCGGTGCTGCCAACGGCATCGAGAGATGACCCCATGCCGTCGAAATCAAAGCCCCAGTCCTCCTCGAATCCTACGGTGGCGTTCAATGGTCCCCCTCCCCCGCCAGCAGCACCACCGCCGGCGCCACCAGCAGCAGCAGCGCCGGTGCCGCCCGCGCCCCTGCCTCCGCCTCCTCCCCCTCCCCCCGCGCCCTGCCCTCCCGCGCCTCCCCCTCCTCCCCCCTGCGTCCCCCCCCCTCCCCCAGCCGCCCCCCCCTGCCCTGCAAGATTATCAGAGCTCCCCCAAGTGCTGCCCCCGGCGAAGGAAGCAGAGGAGGGGACGCGGGGGATGGAGGAGTGGGCGGCGGGGGGGAGGTTGAGCAGCAGAGAGGGATCGCGGCGCTGCAGGCACGCTGCTATGGCGTCGAAACGCGCGCTGGAGAGGCGGTGGCGGGAGAGGAGGCGGCGGATGGTGGGGATGAAGGGGGCGAAGTCGGGACCCTGAGGGGGGGAGGTGGGGGAAATCGTGGCAATGGGGAGGGACTTGATGAGAGCCGTGTGGATGGGAGCGTGGCGAGAGGCAGAGTGTCACATGACAGCGAACCAGACCAAGCACACTCCAGTGCAATGCAAGCAGTGCCGACCCACCAGTCCACCCTAGAATAGGCAACCCATCTGTGCAGCGAGCAGCAAGCAGCAAGCAGCAAGCAGCACTGAACTGACCTGCGCGAGAGCGAGGTCGCAGATGGCGTCAGCAGCGTCTCTCCTCAGCTCCTCACTGGGCCCGTCCAGCACGCGCGCCAGCGGATGCAGGATGGCCGCCGCATGGTCCGCCACGTGCAGGGAGGGCAGCAGGCGCGTGAGCGTGCGCACGGCGGCGCGCTGGATGGGCAGCGGCACGTCGGACACGCCCGGCTTGAAGAGGCGCACCACGGCGGGCAGCAGCAGGTGCATGTGCGGCTCCATGTCGCCGCCCACCATGCTGCCGCCCAGCACCTCAAACGCGTGCAGCACGGGCGGCACTCGCTTGTAGTCGCCGCTGCGCTCCGCATCCGCCACTACTGCCACGCACCGCGGGAGTAGGTCCGGCAGGCAGGCTTTAAAGTCCTCTGGTAGAGCGCGGGCGAGTTGTTCGACTAGGTTGAGGACGGGAGAGGGTGCGGGCGGGCGGGGGAAGACGGATAGCAGCAGCGCGTGCCAGAAGTCGTGGATGAGGGCGGTGATCTCCGGCAGGTACTTGCGCATGTGCTGCCGCACGATGCCCACCAGCTGCGCCAGCTGCCAGAACAGAAACTCCCGCAGGCTCTCGTCACACGCGCGCATCACGTGGAACAACTCGGGGAGCACTCTCGGAAGGAAGGGCACGCAGGCGAGCCCCATGGTTCGGAAGATGAACATGAGAGAGCTGACTACCCTCAGGTGGTAGGCTGCGAGGGCGCCGTCTCGGAGGATGCGGAGCAGCGCAGAGATGGCGACAGTGGAGTAGTACTCGTCTGTGAGCCCGCCTGATGACGGCACGTCTGTGAGCGGGTCGTCGCCGCCCATACCGCCCATGCGGTCGAAGCCCTGGAGCACGCGCGGGGGTTGCAGTGGTCCCACGGCGCCCCCTGCCGCCCCTGCTGCGCCGCCCGCTCCGCCTCCCGCCGCCCCGCCCCTCCCGCCCCCTCCTCCCGCCCCTCCTCCCGCCGCTCCCCCCGCTCCTGCTCCCCCACCCCCTGTGCCTCCCCCTGCCACACCCCCGCCAGCCCCACCCGCGCCTCCTCCCCCTCCACCATCCCCCCGGCCGTCCACCCCCCCCTGGGCGGCCATGGCCTGCGGCAGCAGCAGCAGCTGGTTGCGCTTGTTGACGTGCGGGTCCAGCGCGCCCAGAATGCCCAGCACCTGCAGCACCGACCTTCTCATTGACCACGCCAGCTGCCCGTTCAGCATCGACAGAAGTAACCCCAACAGTTGGGGGTAGTGGCGATACGGCGCGACAACACACCCCGTGCTCTCCACCACCTGCCCCAGAGTCACCACAGCCACCTCCCTCCGCTCCCCTGGTCCCGGCCCAGTGGTATCATGCAAGGAGTCGACGATCAGCGGCATGAGGTCGGGCACGTAAGGGGTGAGTGCACTCCCCGCCACCTTCGCCAGCTCACCTACTGTTGCAAGCATCGATGCCACCACCCCGCTTGTCCCGCCGCCCCCCACCGTCCCCACGGCAGCCGCATGCGCGGCGGAGACGGCTTTAAGTCGCGCGACAAAGACCTTGAGGATGGGCGCGATGTAGGGCGCAACGAGCGGCGTGCACGAGTGGATGAGGCACCGCAGCAGCCGCGCGCCGTCCTCCCTCAGCCGGCTGTCCCCACTGTGCTCCACGTCCCCCAACAGTCTCACTAAATGCCGCCGCAGCGCCGGGAGAACATAAGCTGGGTTCCGGGCGGCGAGCCGCCCGGCGAGGAGAACGGCTTGCTCTCGCACGTCGTAGGTTTCGTCGTTTAGTGCGATGAAGAGCGCGCGGAGGCAGTCGGGCTGCGCCAGGAAGGAGTCCAGTGCGGTGGAGGCCGGTGCGGAGAGGCACGCGAGGACGGCCTTGCGCACGCCGGCGTCCACGTCAGCGACTGAGGAGACCAATAAGCGCTCCAGCATGTCCTCTACTATGCCACGTCGTTTCTTCCGCATGCCTGGCTGTAGCAGCAGCTGCTGCGCGATTCGCTGCACTTTGAGTGCCGCCGCGCTGCTGCTGCCCCGCCCGCTGCCGCCCCCCACGCCGCCCGAAACGACACCTGCCGCCCGCACACCACCTCCCCCACCGCCAGCAGCGCCAGGGGCCGGTCCCGCGCCGCCAGGTTCTGCCTGGGATGCGGGGGACGGCGCGGGGGAAGGGGAGGGCGGCGCGGAGAGGGCGGACGCGGTGTGGGCGAGGACGTGCGCGCAGCACACGGCGGCCTCCCGCCTGGTCGCCACGTCATCATCCTCCAGGTACCTTGCCACGTGTACACGCGTCAGCTCCAGCAGGTCGTGCCCTGATAGGTCGAACGAGTACAGCGTGCACAGCGCCAGCTGCGTCACCCCCGCCATTGATAGTTCCCCCGCCACGCTTCCCCCCGCTCCCCCGCCCGCGCTGCTCCCCGCTCCCGCGCCCCCCCCGCCTGTGAGCGCGCCGCTCGCCAGGCTGCTCAGGCTGGCGCTTCCGCCGAGCGTCAGCGAGCCCCCGGATCCGCTTCCGCCTCCGCCTGCGCCCGCGGGCGGGCGCGCGCCTGTCAGCGAGCCGAACGCGCCGCCTGTGCTGGTTCCGATCCGCGCGGATGGCTTCCGCGCGAGGACGGCGGTAATGGCCTCGATGAGCTGTGTTTGGACGAGCGGCTTGAGCGCGGGGAGGTGCGCGGAGATGTGCGCGAGCGTGTGCACGAGGGGGAGGGACAGCCCCGTGTGCAGGCACACGGGGAGCAGCTCACGCGCAACCTCGCGCATGTCGTCCCCCACCGCCGCCACCAGCTGCCCCACGCACGTCAGCGCCTCCACCGACGCGCGCCCGCGCCGCGGAGTCAGTGCCTCCCGGAGGAGCGCGGAGATCGCGGGGAGGTACGGGCGCAGCGCGGGCCCGACGGCGCTGGCCATCTCGCCGAGCGCCGCGAAGCCCGCGTCGCGATCGGCTGGGTTCTTCATGACTCCTAAGAGGTGATCCATGCAGATCTTTAAATAGCTGCTCACGAATCGGTCGCGTAGGAAATGCGCGATGCGCGGCAGCAGCGCGGTGATGGACCGGCGGATGAGGCGTTCGCGATGGTCGCGATACTTGAGAACGATGTTCGCCACTTCCTTGTAACGCGCCATCATGAATTCGCCCGTGTTGCGAAGCATTTCGCCGATCGCTAGCAGCGAGCCGTGGATGCTCTCAACGCTCGCGCTGCGCTGCAGCCCTTTCTCGGTCTCCTCGAATAGCCGATAGTAGCCCTGCACGCGCCACCGCGTCTCGCGCTTCTCGATAACGCGCAGGCACGCGCGCAGCGCTTCTACCGCGCGCTCCCGCACCGCGAGCTTCGGGTCGCGCAGTGCCGCCCAGATGACGTCGATGAATGTCGGGACGTGCACGTTGAAGACCGTCGGCGCGTTCGCCGCCATTTCCTTCAGTATAAGCACGGCCGCGTATCGCCGCGCCTCGACGCGCTCCCCCTCGAGCCACCTCAGCGCCTCCTTCACCTGAAACTCCACCACGTCAGCAGCCATCGCGCCGCCCGCGCGTGCCACGTGTCCCAACGTCGCCGCCGCCTCGGAGATCGTGTCGGCGTCCGTCTTTTCCTCGAAGATTCGCCGCAGGAACGACGCGAAACGCGACGCCTTGGCTGCGCTCTCCCCGAGCGGCACGTCGATCAACTCATCAATAGCGTGAACGGCGCCGAGATTATCGGACGGCGACGTACTCTCTACAAGCACATTAATCCGTTCATAAAGCGTGTCCATGAAACGCGTGAACGCCTCGCCGCTGAGATCGCGCGCCTCCTCCTCAACGTGCTGGCGCAGCGTCAGCGCGCCCTCCTCCTTCGCCGCGTACGGCGTGCGCGTACACAGCTCCGCCAACAGCCGCCGCAGAATGTCCGCCGCCGCCCCCCGCTCGCCGCTTCCGCCCGCGCCCCCGCGGCCTGTGCCCCCCTGTCCCCCGCCTCCCCCTGTTCCGCCTCCCCCCGACGTACCGGCATGCGCCATTGCGGCCATTGCCGCGCGGCTCTCGGGACCACTAAAAAATGTTTTTGTTAGTCGCTAGCCCGTATACATGGATTACGTGAGATACGCACGATCGTTAAGAGTGACGACAACGCAATAGGCCTCTAAAACCGTACACTGTACACAATACCTGTCACCTAGGATCCACATCCTATGCCGTGTGTTGTTTGTTCGCTCCGTGAGTTCCAACGAGGGAACATTGGTGTCAGCTGCGAAACGGCTATTCGCGTTGTGACTTGACTCAACTGTAGAAAAATAGCTGTACGTATATTGTTATGTTGTGTTATATAACAATAATTACCACCGAACACATTCTGAAGCCAAAACTCACATCAACCAGAGACGTCCATGCCATGCCCGCCACCAGTAGACCCCTCGCGACCGCACTCCTATGACAAGTAGTGCTCCAGCAACTAGGTAGCACCCGCCTGCAATTCACCCCCTTTCCATTCCGCAAATGCCGCTTGCTCGGCCAAGGCGGCAAATGGCACATTTTTACCGCGACACCGCAATTTCCGAGCCTCCATCACCGCGCCGCGATGATTCCGCATCCCACTAATCGCGTGTCGTCTTGCTGACAGTGCCGCCGGTGCGCACCTCGTAAGCGATGCTGCTTGGAAAGCAGCAGGCGGCTGCGGCTCGTAGACGTCCCACGTGGCAGGTGGGGCGATTCGGCTTCAGAGGCGGCCGATGGGTGCGGTGGGCGACGCTGCTCTTAATTCCCGTGGCGTACCTCTTAACTCTCCGCATCTACCTCCGCCTGCACCCGGGCGACGCGACCAGCCACGTCAGCGGCGCGGGCCACCACATGTCGCTGCTACATTTGCGCCTCAATCCCCGCGGAATGCGCGCGCTCATCCGCGGAGAGGCGGCTGCTGCGGCGGACGCCGGCAGGGGGAACGGGACGGGTGGGGGAAAGGCAGCGCTGGATGCGCTGATGGCGGAAGGCGTGGCGGTGAAGGGGAAGGCGGGCGGCGCAATGGGCGCACAGAGCGCAATGGCGCAACTGGTGGCGGGGGAGGGGGAGGGGAATGGGACCGGCGCAGGGGGAAGGTTCGGGGGAAGCGGGGGGGAGGAGCTGCGGGCGTGGCGGAGAGAGTGGCTGAAGGAGGGGCGTGCGCGGCGCAGGAGGGGGGATGCCGCGCGGAGAAGGGGCGAGGGGGGACAGCAATGGCGGGGATGGGCGGGATATGGCCCGGAAAATAAGGTGAGGGGGGAGGGTAGGGAGGAGGGGAGGGCCAGGAGGAGATGGGATGGGAGAGGGGAGGGAAGAGGGGAAGTGAGGTGAGTGAGTAGCAGCAGCGCAGCATTCGTTGGTCCCTTGAAAGGGGGGCATGTTGGCGCATCCTTCCACCTCTCTCTCCCCCCCCCTCCCCGCCCTTCTTCCAACTCCCTCCCCACCACAACCCCAGCTTCCCACCCCGGGCCTTCCCCCCAAAACACCCCCGCCCCAGCCCCCGCCACGGGCGCCCATCCGCCCGCCCTGAGGGAAGAGAATAGCACGTGGCCTCTCACGCTCCCCTCGCTCCTGCCCCGCCTTCTCCCCACACACACCCCCCTGCCCTCCCCACACTCACCCCTCCTGCCCTCCCCACACTCACCCCCCATGCCCTCCCCACACTCACCCCCCCTGCCCTCCCCACACACACTCACCCCCCCTGCCCTCCCCACACTCACCCCTCCTGCCCTCCCCACACTCACCCCCCCTGCCCTCCCCACACACACCCTCCCCTCTCCTGCCCTCCAACAATGCTTCCCTGCTCTCGCCCTCATTCCCTCCCCATGCATCATCTCATCCAGCCACCCCCTCTGTTTATGAACTCTGCCTGATGGGCGGAGCACAGGGTTCCCCCACCTCATGCCCCCCACCCTTCTTCCCCCCGCCCTCCCCTTTCTTGCCCCCCACTGTTCCCCAGCCCCCCCCACGAGTGGCCATCTGTCTGGTGGGCGGAGCGCGGGAATTTCATTTGACGGCCGCCACACTGCAGCGCCATCTACTCCCCGCCTACCCCTCCGCGCACGTCTTCCTGCTCGCCCCTCTCGACCACTCTGCACACCGCCTCTCCCTCCTCGCCTGGCCCCACCTGGGCGCCGCGCGCTTGGGGGAACTGGGGGGAAGCGCGGGGGGAGCGGGGGAAGGGGTGGGGGGAGGGGGTGGGCGGCGGGGGGGAGATTTTCCGGGGTACTCCCTGGTGCAGGTGAGTGTGCTGCCGGATGTGCCGGTGAATGAGACAAAAATCACCGACCGGCTGCTGGAGGTGGTGGAGGGTAGTGAAGCACAGACGCGGCAGGGGCTGATGCAGCAGTTTAAAGCCGTGGAGCTCTGCGTTACCGCCATCACGCGTTACGAGAAGACCCACGCGATCCGATACGATTGGATTCTGCGGACCCGCGTGGATGGGTACTGGATGGGCCCCCCGCCGCCCCTGGCGGTGCTGGATCCGATTGCGTACACGATTCCGGGCGGCAGCGACTGGGGCGGGCTGAACGACCGGCTGGGGATGGGCGGCAGGAAGGCGAGCTGGAAGGCGCTGCGACGGCTGAGCGTGCTAAGGCCGCTGGTGGAGCAAGGGGGGTACAGCGAGCTGAACGCGGAAAGAGTTTACCTGGCGCAAATGGCGTTCCTGCAGGTGCAGGTGAGATAAGAATGCGGGTGGGAAGGTGCTGGGAAGGCCGAGCTTGCTGTGGCGGCTGGTATAAGGGGGAGATGTACAGTGAGCGAGCTTGGGTGGAAGGCTGAGTGTGCTGCGGCTGCTGGTGGAGCGGGGGGGGGGTACTCTGAAGTGAACTGAATGCGGAACGGGTTTATTTCACCCAGTGGTGTTCCTGCAAGTGCAGGTGAGATGGGCGGATGGAAGGTGGGCTGGAAGCAGTTGAGGAGGCTGAGCGGTTGTGGGCGATGGAGTGCAGTGCACGCAGAGTGGGTCTGCGTCTGCCAGGCTTGGTTGCCGCTCGTGCAAGTGCAGGTGAAGGAAGGTGGAGAGGAGATGGTGAGAGGAGTAGTGAGGGAAGCTAAGAGAGGGGTGGTGAGTGCCAGGGTGGGTGGTTGCGAGGGAAGGTACGGTATGGTGAAGGCACATGTGTCTTAGTGTCAGGTGGTGTAGTTGATGATGCTGAGTGGGTAATCTGGCTGAGATTACCTTCTCTCTGATGTATGACTTGACACCTTGTTATCGCCCCCCATTCCAATCCCCCCCACCAGGTAGCATGTTACGACTTCCCCTCTTGCATCCTCAGCCGCAACAAGGGCCTTTCAGCTCTCCAAGCTCTCCCACAAGCTCTCCACCTCCCACTCTTCCCATCCCCATCCTCCCCACCACCTCCTCCCCCCCAACTCAGGTGGCCCGCTACGACTTCCCCTTCTGCATCCTCAGCCGCAAGAAGGGTCTCCCCGCCTTCCCCGTGGCCGCCGCCCTCTCCTCCACGGCCGCCGCCCTCAACGGAGCCAAGTGCCGCCCCTGCCGCCCCACCGTGGTCGGCGGGCAGGCCGCAAAATACATCCTCGCGCTGCCCGAGAGAATCTTCGGCGCGCAGCCCCACGGGATCGACCTGTGCCGGGCAGAGGACGACTGGGCGGCAGACTGGCGGGAAATCTTTGATAAAGACGCGGGAGAAGTCCCAGCCGCCGCCCGGCAATACATGGAGACCCGAACCTTTGATGAGTGTGTGGAAGATTGGCGGTACTTCCACCAGCAGGTCCCTGTCTGGAACGCACCTCCCCCAGTTTCCATCTGCGTGCGCGGGCTTCTGGGAAAGTTCCACAAGATGGGGTACCCGGGGGGGGATTTCCCTGTGTTTCTAGACCCGTGGGTGGGGGCGCGGGGGGAGGCGCGGGGGAGGAAGCCGGTGGTGTATTCGGCAGTGGCTGGGGTGGATTATAGCTTTGACTGGGCGCTGATGCGCAAGCTGCGGTGCCGCGTGCACGCGTTTGACAGCACGCCCGAGGGCATGCGGTGGATTGGGGATAAGATTGACAACCTGCCTCCCGCCTCGTGGGTGCACCACGCGTGGCTGCTGGCGCCACACGACCGCCCCCTGCAGGTAACATGTGAGATAGGGGTAGCGCATGAAATGGTGATTTGTGTCAAGTGTGTGTGCATGCCTCATGTGTGTGCATGCCTCATGTGTGTGCATGCCTCATGTGTGTGCATGCCTCATGTGTGTGCATGCCTCATGTGTGTGCATGCCTCATGTGTGTGCATGCCTCATGTGTGTGCATGCCTCATGTGTGTGCATGCCTCATGTGTGTGCATGCCTGATGTGTGTGCATGCCTCATGTGTGTGTATGCCTCATGTGTGTGTATGCCTCATGTGTGCGCATGCCTCATGTGTGCGCATGCCTCATGTGTGTGTATGCCTCATGTGTGTGTATGCCTCATGTGTGTGCATGCCTCATGTGTGTGCATGCCTCATGTGTGTGCATGCCTCATGTGTGTGTATGCCTCATGTGTGTGTATGCCTCATGTGTGTGTATGCTCATGTGTGTGCATGCCTCATGTGTGCGCATGCCTCATGTGTGTGTATGCCTCATGTGTGTGTATGCCTCATGTGTGTGTATGCCTCATGTGTGTGTATGCCTCATGTGTGTGTATGCCTCATGTGTGTGTATGCCTCATGTGTGTGTATGCCTCATGTGTGTGTATGCCTCATGTGTGTGTATGCCTCCTCATGTGTGTGTATGAGGGCTTTTGACATCCTCTCATGGTAATCTCCCCTGGAAGGAACGCATGAGATGCGCATGCCTTGTATGCGCATGCCTCATATGCGCATGCCTCGTATGCGCATGTGTGCGTGAGGGTGGAAATGTAATTCCAAGGGATCGTATGAGAATGGATTGGTGACACGTGTCCAGGCTGGAATGCCCGTGTCTGCTTGTGAGTGTGATGTCAGGCCTGACTGAGTGTGACGTCAGCCTGACTGAGTGTGACGTCAGGCCTGACTGAGTGTGACGTCAGCCTGACTGAGTGTGACGTGAGTGTGACGTCAGGCCTGACTGAGTGTGACGTCAGGCCTGACTGAGTGTGACGTCAGGCCTGACTGAGTGTGACACCACCAGGTGTACCCGCTAGACATCCAGGAGCACCGGATTGAGTACGCTGTGACCCCGCCTCTACTTCAACACCACTCCCCTCCCTTCTCCCTCCCTCCCCCTTTCCCCCTCGTGTTCGTGCCATCCACCACCAGGTGTACCCGCTGGACATTGAGGAGCACCCGGTGGAATACGCCGTGGCACTGCCGCCCCACCTGGGCAACTTTTGAGTAAATACAATCCTCCCCCCTCTTCTGTATCACCAGGTGTACCCGCTGGACATTGAGGAGCACCCGGTGGAATACGCCGTGGCGCTGCCGCCCCACCTGGACGCGCCGTCGCTGCCGCCGCCCATCCACGTGGAGGCGATGACGGTGGAAGGCACCATGAAGCTTCTCAACCACTCCATTGTTGACATCATGAGGATCGGCGGGCACATGTCGCTGCATGAAGCCATCTTCAACGCGTGGATCCAGGCAAAACGCGCTCCGCCCGTCTGCCAGGTGAGCATGGGAGGCGCCTGAATAGGTTGATGGACACGTGTCGCTGCGTGAGGCCATCTTCAAGGTTGGATCCGGTCCAAGCGCGCACCGGCTGTCTGCCAGGTGTGCATGGTGGGGACTTCGAGGTGCCTCAGAAGGTGGCGCTGCATGAAGCCATCTTCAATGGGTGGATTCAGGCCAAACGTGCACTGCCCGTCTGCCAGGTGTGCATGTGTATCAGGGAGGTGGGGATTGGCCGTTGTTTCCGCAAGTTCTCCTCGCATCTTCCTTCCATCGCCTTGCCCTTCTCGATCTCATTGGCTTTTGCTTGTCTTCTCTGAAAACAGCACCCATGATGAGTTATCGACCTCACTGTGACATCCACCCCTCATGCCACCCGTCAGATCATTGTGTCGTTCCACCATGGGGACAAGCACTATGGGAGTGCAGAGACGCAGCAAGAACTACTGGCCTTGCGCTCGTTAGGGCTTGAGCTAGGCGTGTGCATAAGAAAGGATAGCTTGTATGAGAGTTGTGTGCTGTTCTCGGTATACCATTGCAAGTACGATATTACATAATGCAATGATTTGTTGCCTGTTGGCACATCCAAAAAAAGATGACCTAGGAAGACAATCGTCCACATCAAAGCATTGCCATGCCATGTGTTTCAGTGATGTGCTTCATGGTGGTATTGTATTGTACAGATTTAAAGCCAGCAGCTAAAATAGTGACCCCCCCCCTTCTAGTGGGTCCACTAGAAAACTCAAACTAACTTTGTAAAGGTTTTGACGGTCGAAGTGTTGTTTTGTTTTGTTTCCCAGACGCGTTCAAACTCTTCACACGATTTTGCACAAAAAACGTCGCAAGCATGCGTCGCAAGTTGGCGACGTGCAAATCCCTCAATCACATGAGGGGGCCAATTTCAAGTGTTGCATGCGCAATTCACGCACAACAAACGCCATAGATATGTGCCTGCTGGGGCGGCAAAAATGGCATAGGAAAAGCAGAACTGCAGGAAAAAAACAGAGGGTTTCGGGTTAGAGATAAAAAAAAAGGAATAGGGAGAACGAAACGTGGACGCACGGAGAGCGCTGATACATTGAAACGTGCGGAACGGTAGGGTGTTGGGAGATGGGAGGGGAAAAACAAAGGGCGACTTGCAGGCATTTCGGGCCGAGCGCGAAAGCGCCGAGGTGGGTGACGGGAGGGGAGAGAGGAAAGGTGACGACTGCATCGAGGGCAACGTGAGAGGAGGGGAGAGAGGATAGGAATCGGGAGAGAGCAAGGGCGCCGGGAGAGAGAAAGGGCGACGGGGGAGAGGATAGGCGACGGGAGAGAGGAAGGGTAACGGGAGGGTGGAAGGGCAACGAGAGAGAGAAAGGGCAACGGGAGAGAGAAAGGGCGACGGGAGAGAGAACACGCGACGGGAGAGAGAAATGGCGACGCAGAGAGAGCAAGGGCGACGGAGAGAGAGCAGGGGCGACGGAGAGAGGGCAAGGGCGACGGAGAGAGAGCAAGGGCGACGGAGAGAGAGCAAGGGCGACGGAGAGAAAGCAAGGGCGACGGAGAGAGAGCAAGGGCGACGGAGAGAGAGCAAGGGCGATGGAGAGAGAGCATGGGCTACGGAGAGAGAGCAAGGGCGACGGGAGGGAGTTTCGGGGAGTTGGCGAGGGCGACGAGGGGAGCGACGGGATGGGAGAGAGGTGGGCGACGGGAGGGAGTTTTGAGGCGTTTGAAACGGGGGACGAGGGGAGCGATGGGATGGGAGAGAGGATGCGCGACGGGAGGAAGTTTCGGGGCGTTGGCGAGGGCGACGAGGGGAGCGACGGGATGGGAGAGAGGATGCGCGTACGGAGGGAGTTTCGGGGCGTTGGCGAGGGCGACGAGGGGAGCGACGAGATGGGAGAGGGGTGGGCGACGGGAGGGAGTTTCGAGGCGTTGGCGAGGGCGACGAGGGGAGCGACGGGATGGGAGAGAGGTGGGCGACGGGAGGGAGTTTTGAGGCGTTTGAAACGGGGGACGAGGGGAGCGATGGGATGGGAGAGAGGATGCGCGACGGGAGGAAGTTTCGGGGCGTTGGCGAGGGCGACGAGGGGAGCGACGGGATGGGAGAGAGGATGCGCGTACGGAGGGAGTTTCGGGGCGTTGGCGAGGGCGACGAGGGGGGCGACGAGATGGGAGAGGGGTGGGCGACGGGAGGGAGTTTCGAGGCGTTGGCAAGGGCGACGAGGGGAGCGACGGGATGGGAGAGAGGTGGGCGACGGGAGGGAGTTTTGATTCGTTGGCGAGGGCGACGAGGGGGGCGATGGGATGGGAGAGAGGATGCGCGACGGGAGGGAGTTTCGGGGCGTTGGCGAGGGCGACGAGGGGAGCGACGGGATGGGAGAGAGGTGGGCGACAGGATGGGCGACGACGAGCGCAACGGAACGGGAGGACGACGGGACGGCAGAATGGGCGGGTGGCTGGACGGAGAGCAAGGGCTATGGGGGGGAAGAAGTGATCGCGTGGGTAGGAAGGCGAGAGGAGATCGCGTGAGCGACGGGACGGAAGAACGCGAGCGCAAAAGGATGGACTCGAAAGCTTACACTCATAGCTTTCGGATACAACACGCCGGACAATCTGATTAATACAAGTCGAGATAACGAGGGCCTAAGTCTAGACATAGCCTATGCCTAGCCAAGCTACTTCTAACTAGCGACGCAAAATTGGTAGTACTTCACCCCATCCCAACTTGAAACATGAGCTGGGCCAAATCGCTTGGGCATACCGAAACGATCGCCTATGCAATTGTCGTGCGAAATGAGAAATGCGACGCCAACATCCCCAGAATGTTTTACTTTTGTCGGGAACCAATCAGAGGTGTTCGATTTGCACGTCCGCAGCGTTTGAAATGGTACAAACTTGTCAGTCCGGTCCAAATTTTGTTTCGCCCGGCAAGGTCGTCCCTGCGCTCTTTCAAGTTGGGTTTGGGTTCACTATTTTGCATTTCGGTTTTAAACGGCAAACCTATTTGAAAGCCATATGATGAGAATTTTAAGATGTATGGTCCTAATGAAAGTCCTGTCCTGGCAGAAGAAAATTTCCTGAATTCAGGAGAATGAGTAACCTGAAAATGGATTTCTCTGCGAGACCATGTTTATGGTGGTGAAGGTTTGCCTAAACACGAGTGTACTAGGAACACTATTTGAGGTCTGGGTGGTGTGTCCATGGTTGCTTCAGCGCCGGTCAACCTGGGTTTGTGGATGGACACGTTCTGCCATCAACTACCCAATGTTAAACGAGAAGCATATATCAGAAGCAGCCTTTGAAACTCCGACGGCTAAGTTCTAGGTAGTGAGAAAAACGAGAAACTGGTTGCACATCTCAGTGGTGAAAAAACCAGCAGCAAGTATCCATGTCGAACTTTTAAGTGACAGTTGGGAAACACAGAATACAGATGACAACCCTCTTTTGCTGGAACCTTTCGGGCTACCAACATCTGTTCACCCTTCTACTGTACAGTGCTCCGTTCGGAACCCCCTCAGCCGAGTCGCGGCTTGACCTTTTGCATTCGTGCGACGCGTTATTTTGCGGATTGAACCAAGACGTGAGGCCTATTCCTGCGCTGTGCACTCATCGCGCCACGGCTTGGTACACCTCCACATCCCCATTCAAAGCGCTCTATCAGTTCTCTGATTGGTTTGTTGATTATTTCAACTGCTGCTAGCCCCTAGCCCGCATCGCTGTCCAATCAGAGCCCCCGTTCCCAGTTTTTCGCCCCCTTACCATGCCCGCACAGCATGCCCCCCATCGCCCTACCATACAAAGGCCTCGCTCCATAGGGGCAACCTCCACCAAACCAGCGATACACCCCAGCGCACTTGTGCTTTCGACACATTACTCCTCGATTCTTGGTTTCTCAATCGACTAGGACCACGCAACGCTCCGCTCTCTAGTTTCTCCAAACTCCTCCCGGCTTACGCCATGGCCGTGGCAATGCAGATGCCGCCGTACGACATGGGGGCCGACGGCGCTCCTCTACGCAAGGCCTTCAGCACTCCCAAGCCCAACCGCGTCTCCCGTTCACCGAGCCCCGTTCCCCAGAAGTCAGTACTGCAGCCTCCAGCGCGCCCAGCCCAGCCACAGCAACCCGCGCTCCAGTCGCAAGGGTCCTTCGGTAAGCAGCAGCAGCCGCCGCTCTACGTTCCTCTCCAGCAGTCTGGTACTGCCACGCCGTACAAAGTCGACGGTATGGCCGAGTTGACCTCTGCTGCCTCCGCTCCTCCCGCCGTGGCTCCCGGCAGCCTGCCGTCACCAAAGTCGGTGTTCGCTAATCACCCCGGCTCACCGCAGCGCACCGTAGTTGATAGCCTCTTCAAGCCGGTCGCACCCGCCGCGGAGCTCGCCCGGCCCGGTTCTCCCGGCGCAACTGGCGAAGCCGCACTTCCACAGGCCAAGCCGTTTGGGGGAAACTCGCTGTTCAAAGCGGCGGAGGTGGGCAACATGGTGATGCAGCAGCAGACGGCGATGCAGGTGGCGCAGATGACGCAGCAGATGAACCACATGCTGGCGGAGCTCACCGCGCTCCGCTCAACCGTGGCGGAGCTGCAGGTGCAGGTGCAGTGCGCCAAGGCGCAGGCGCAGTCGCAGGCGGTGGCGCAGAGCGAGGCGCGCGGAGCGCTGAAGGAGAGCGCGCAGCAGGTGAAGGACGCGCTGCAGGAGGGGCTGCTGGACGTCAAGGAGCTCATCTCCTTCAAGTGAGTTCTACGAGCTCATTTCTGTTTGGATTGAGACGGCTCAGTTTGTTTTTTTCTTCTTTCTCGCGGGCGTCAAGTAGGTTGGCGCTCTCAAAAAATCGAGTTCTACCACTCGGATTGATTCAGTCTCCTCTGCGCGGAACAGTCCTCGCCTTTGTTAATTTCTCAGCACGCGCGACAGCGGAACTGTGAAGCTCGTGGGGCGTGTGCCTAACGACGCTGCTCCACCCTCTTGCCTCTTCCCCGCTCCCCGCTTCCCGCCCCTTCCCCCTCAACTCTCGCTCCGCCGCCTTGGCAGGGACGCGCAGCAGAAGGCGCGGCTGTTCAACTCGTTCAGCACGCGCGACCGCGACCCCATGGAGCGCGTGCCCAACGACGCCGGCGAGCTGCCGGTTAGGTTCCCGGCTACGCGGAAGGAGCTGACGGCTATGTCGTTGGACACGATGCAGTACCTCTTCGAGTTCTACCAGCTGCCCAAGGAGCCGCAGGACACGCTGTAAGTCGCGCCTTAACTCCTCGTTAAGAGCCGATCACAAATCTCCGGTATAAGGAATAACTTTTTGGGGTCTTTGAAGTCCCCACGGGGGCTCGGGACACGGGGTAAGTCACGTCTAACCTCGCGCGTTTGCAGTAGGCTAACCCCGCGATTGGAGTAGATAACTCGTCTACGCTGCCCACGCCCTCGGTCCCGCGCACTGCTGCCGCGCGACACCACTAACCCGCCTCTTCTGCCTTCCTCGTGCTTTTCTCGCCCCCGTGTGCTTCCCCCTCTCCCCACCCGCTCTACCCCCGTTCAGCTACGACCGTCTGATGAAGCACATCGGCGTGCGCGTGTAGCTGCCAGTGCGCGAGGCTCGAATGACCCAGCAAGGTGACAGGCGTAAACGACCGCTCTATAAACAGACTCGAAATACATTGCAGATAGGTTGGGGTGGCAATATCTCGCCTAAGAGATGCACTCCGTAATGCAGTGGTTATGCAAGGCGCTAAGCTAGTCCAATTCCATTTGTTATACAGTTGCAATGACAGGGTTTGGGATACGGTATTCAGGACATGGTGTAATTGTACGATTTTATATTTCTAAAACATTTTATTGCAAATAACAAAGAAAAATAGAACATTAACTCAGGAATATGGCCAAGTCACAGCTGTGACAGCAATCACAATGTCAGCACACATGCGAGTGAGCATTGTCAATCATGCCTGCTGCCCCTGCTGCTGCAGCGGCAGCAGGACAGGCAGCTTGGGGGTCCGCTCTGGCAGCACCACTCCCTGTGCCAGCCCTTGCTGCTGCGACGCTGCAGGTGAAGCTGCATACATGCCCTGCTGCCCCTGCTGCCCCTGCTGTTGCCCCTGCCCCTGCTGCTGTCCCCCGGCCTGCTGCCCCTGGTGCTGCTGCTGCAGCGCATGCAGCTGGGAGGGCAGCAGCATGGCAGGCAGGGGCGAGGAGAGCGGCTGCTGGGAGAGAGACGACATGCCAGACCCCACTGCCACTCCTGCCGGCGATGGCGTCACTGCTGCTCCCATGCTCGCTGCTGCTGCTGTGCCCTCCTTGTCATTCAGTGTTGTTAATAGTGCCGGCTGCAGCAGCAGCTGGTGCGGCAATGAGCATGAAGGGGAAACACAAGAGGCAGGATAAGTACAGGAAACACAAGATTTACAAAGCCAGCTTCTCAAATTCATCAATTCAAGTTACACGCTGCGCATGCAGCTCAAGTTGCCTGGCATGAGCATGTTCGCATGCCCCACACATGCTCACCCCACACAAGCTCACCCCACACATGCTCACCCCACACATGCTCACCCCACACAAGCTCACCCCACACATGCTCACCCCACACATGCTCACCCCACACATGCTCACCCCACACAAGCTCACCCCACACATGCTCACCCCACACATGCTCACCCCACACATGCTCACCCCACACAAGCTCACCCCACACATGCTCACCCCACACATGCTCACCCCACACATGCTCAACCCCCACATGCTCACCCCACATATGCTCACCCCACACATGCTCACTCCACACATGCTCACCCCAACATGCTCACTCCACACATGCTCACCCCACACATGCTCACCCCACACATGCTCAACCCCCACATGCTCACCCCACATATGCTCACCCCACACATGCTCACTCCACACATGCTCACCCCAACATGCTCACTCCACACATGCTCACCCCACACATGCTCACCCCCCAATTGCTCACCTCACACATGCTTACTCCGCCCCACATGCTCGCCCCACACCCCCGCCCCTTGGTACGTGGCATGTAAGCCCCCCACCCAGCTGTTCCCCCATCCTCACCTGCAGATCTCTCTGTCTCGCTGCAAGAGTCTCCTGTGCCTCTTGCACCCTCGCCACCGCCGCTAACGCCTGCACGAGCACAGTGGGAGGGAGATCAATGAGGTGAATGCTGCTGATGTGTCAGCTCACAAGACACTCTCGCCATGGCTGCTAACTCCTGCATGCACAGTGGGGCGAAGGGCAGTGACGAGCTGAACACACAGGTTGCAAATGCACTGCGCCCACAACACATATGTTTTGGAATGTAGTGGTTACGAGATCTCAAAAAAGTAATCCTGTACAACATTGCTACGAACCACAAATAGACAGTGTAGGCTTTCACCACCCTCCCCACTCCTCCCTCCCCCTTTCCCTACCTCCCTCTCACTGCCCTCCCACCTTGCTCTGGATTGCAATCCTTCCGTTCCCCTGCTGCCACCACCTTTGTTTCCCTTCCTCCCACATTTCCCCTCTCCCATCCTTCTCCTTCCCGTCTCTCCTTTTTACCCTCTCTTAATCCTCTCCCCCTCTCCCTCTCACCACCACCCCCTCACTACTTCCTCAGTACCTTCCCTCCTCCTGTATTGTCCTCCCACCATGCTGTGGAAGACAATCATCGTTTTCTCTTGTTGCCACAAGCCTCTTCCATTCCCTTTCTGCCTCTCTCCCTTCCTCCCGCTCTCCCTCTCTCTTGTCCTCACTCTCCCACTCACCTTTCTTCTTCCTTTCACCCTTTCCATCCTCCTCCCAATCACTCCTTACCACCTCCTCCCTGCCACCTCACTACCTCTTACCGCCCCCTCTTCTCCCTCTCACCGCCCCTACCCCCTCGATATTAACACATGCCCAACTTGCTGTGCAGAGCCATCCTTCCTCTCCCCATCAAAACGCCTGCCCCTGTTCCCCCCTCTCACCCAACTCCTCTCCAGTTTTTTTAAAGCGCCCACCTTGCTATGAAGCGCCAGCTTCTCCTCGTACCCAGCAGCCACCTGCTTCTTGGCCGCCTCCAGCACCTGTTCATGGTTGCAGTGCGGGGACCATGTTTCGAGCATCACGAGTGGTGGCATGGTGGGAGAGTATGGAGTCACGTAAGTGCTGATAATGGTGCGAGTGTCAGGAGTAGTGGAAGCCGTGGGAATGTACTGGACATGTACAGAGTTCACCATATGATGATGCGTGCGATGCATGCGATGCGTGCGATGCGTGTGATGCATGTGATCCAACCCAAAATATCTCTAACAACTGGGGATGTCAGGCGTATGCCACGAGGATGCCACGAGGATGCCACAACGATGCCACAAGGATGCTACAAGGGTGCCACAAGGGTGCCACGGGTGCCACAAGGGTGCCACAAGGGTGCCACAAGGGTGCAAAACGATGCCACAGGGATGCACCCAGCTTCTGGCTCTTCTCACATTCCAATAGCTTCTCCCTTTCCGCCCAGCCCACAGTTTCCATCGCACGCAATCTTGCCTTCCCCAATCCCAGCCCACCGTGCTGTTCCCTTCCATGCACGCACCTTAATTCGCTCCTTGAGGCTCACTTCCGTGGCTGTGGCCCTCTGTAGCGCCTGCTCCAGCTGCTGCATCTGCATGACACATGCCCCGCACTCCCCCACACGCACATGTGCACGCACCCATGCACGCATCAGGCCATACAGGATTTGCGTGAATGCAGGATTGGTTCATGATCACAGCCAGACTGAAACGAGTCTCGAAAATATAGCAGCACCAGAGTGGGGTTATTCTCTCCCCTCACCCCCCCACATGCAATGCCACACTCTGCTTTCTGCCGCCCTCCGCAACCCCAACAAATACGTGCACACTTGCACACCCACACGCATACACGTATGCACACATGCATACACACATGCACGCATGCCCAAATGCATACATGCACACACTTATGCACACGTGTACTCGCATGCCCCCATACCCCGTCATCCCCTCACCTGCGCAGCCACACTCTGCTTCTCCCGCCTCGCTCGCTCCACTGCCGCCCGCAGCGCCTCCAGAGACTCGCCCCCTGCACCCCCCTGGGCCCCCTGACCCCCTTGACCCGCCTGACCCCGCGCCCCCCTTCCCCCCTCCCCCCCTGCGCCCTCCCTTGGTTGACCGTGAGGTGCCTGGCGCTGCTGGCAGAAAAGCGGGCATGGGATGGCATGCGAGGTACACGGGTAATGGCAAAATGACGAAAAAATCCTTTGGGTTTTTTTAACGGTGCGTGGTGGGAGGAAGAGCGGCGACGAGAGCAACAAGAGACATGGAGACATGGAGATTGAATTCAAAAAGGATGAGACAGGAAAAGAAGTGTTGCCACATGTTCAAACACCACGCGCCTATGACGCACCGCCACGTGTCCAGATGCCTCGGGCGGCATGCGCTCGTCCTCATCATACTCCCCCTCCCCCCGCCCCCGCCCCATCTCATCCTCCCCTCCCCTCCGCCCCCTTCCCCCTCCCCCTCCCCCGGGTCCTCCCCCATTGCTGCGCCCAGCAGGAGGGTGGTCGGGGGAAGCATAGGGGCTGCCCCCTCGGGGGCTGCGACTGCGATCTGCCGGGCAAAGGGGGGGAAGGCGCAGGAGGGGGAAGGGGGACGGGGGGCCGTGGGGGGAGTGGGGGGAAGGGGAGGATGCGTGTAAAGAGGGCTGAGAATGGAAGGGCCGTTCAAGGGGAAGACGGAGGGAGGAATGGTGGGAAGAATGCAAGGAAACGGGTGCGAGGGGATGAAGAAGATGTGATGGAGGCGAGAGGATGAAGACAAGGAGGTGTGCGTTCCTGTGGCATTGCATGCGAGGAAAGATTTTCTCTCAGGAGATAAAACTGTCTGAAGTGATCAAGGGTAGTTTGACAACAGGGCAGGGCGGTAGGGCATGGGAGAGAGGAGGGCGAGGGAGCCAGGTGGGTGAGGGAGCGTCGCGAGTGTGAGAGAGCGACGTGGGCGAGAGGGTTCACCTGAGGTTGAGGGGAAAGAGATGCTTACAGCGGACGCGAGACGGCGGGGAGCGGGAGCGGCGAGGTGGGGACATGGAGGGGCGGCGAGCAACACTGCTGCAGAAAAGAGCCAAGCGGGGAAGAAAGGTTCGGGAGGGATAGTTATCAGCAATTTTCTGTCACACGTAGGGGCGTCTGCAAGCTGGCACACAAAACGGTGTGTAACAAGAGATGGACCTTCAACATGCAAGCAAGGTGACAATTGTTAGGGTGCACCACTCAAGCAGCACCTTAACAGATACACACGGAAGTCTAACTAAGGGTCTGCCTACGAGTTACTGCGAACGAACCCAGGAGTGCAAAGGAAATAATGTGCAAGAGCAGGCTCACCCTCGGGGCCGGTCGCGGTCTCGCTCGAAGGAGGACTGGCGGAAGAACCCCCCGTCTCCCCGCCTGCGCACCTCCGACACCTTGATTGGCCGCCCATCCACTATCTGGTGGTGTGCCCGTCGCCCGCACACGAGGCAGCATGTACATTGCACACACAGCCAGCACACATATCCACGTTTGAGTAAGCACAAACAGCAGGGGGAAGGAAAAGAAGACCGTGGAAGGGAATAGCAAGATTGTGTGCTGCCAAAAAGGGAAAAAAAAAAGGCTTGATTCAGCCGAGCGACTCCTTTCCTCTCCATCCATAAACTTAATTGCTCATCCTACCCTTCATGGCCTACCTAATACCCTTACCTCATCATTCATATACTTATAATCATCCCGCCTCACCTCGCCGTCCTCACCTCGCCGCCCATGGCCTAAGCCCGCCTCACCTCGCCATCCATGGCCTTAAAGCCCGCCTCACCTCGCCGTCCATGGCCTTGATGGCATCCTGAGCTGCCTTGGGCGATGCGAAGGTGACGAAGCCGAACCCCCTCGCTTTGCCCGTCTCCCTGTCGTATATCACCTGCCCGACACAATAAAAGGCCACAGGCAACACGCAGACAGGTACAAGCAGCACAAACGGAGAGCGGAGTGTGAAGATTATGAAGTAACTCTAAGCCTTGCCTGTCTCCCTGTCGTAGATCGCGCACTCAGCAACAGACACACACGCAAGCAGCAACAAGGGGTAAGCCGCACGGACGGGGAGAGCGGATGGGGAGAGCCAAGGGGTGATGTGACGACAACGACGATGAAGCTGAAGCTCCCGCCTTGTCAGTGTCCCTGTCGTAGGCTGCGAGAACGCAGCAAGTGGTAAGGGAGCAGATCACTTACACGCGACGAGGCACTCGCGAATTCGATTAAAGCTAGGGTAACCCCGATCTTCGCGAAAAGGCCTGGGAGAGGCGAGCAACGGTAGCCAAACCGTAACCGCGACGTCGAAGCTACAGATGCGGTGGAGTCATCGTTACTGTTACCGCACGGACGAAATTTCCTTGGCGATGTAGTTACCTTGGCGGAGAGGACTTCGCCGAACTCTTCGAAAACCTTCTTGATGGCCCCCTCGTCGCTGTCGAAGGGCAGCCCGCCCAGATACACCGTGTGCCCCTCCTCAGACGCCATGCTGCCGTCGCACGCGTCGCAACCGTCGCACTCGTCGCACTCGTCGCCGGACTCACCGGGACAGGGAGACCTAAAAAAACGGAAGGGGAGAGGCACGCTATGGAACTGGATCGGAAAGACAGAAACTCGGACGAAGGGTGGTGAGGGAGGGACGTGGAACCCGAGCGTGGAGGGGGTAGTGGGGGTGACGAGGAGATCTCTAGGTGGTGCTGCGTGTGATGGGTGGTGGGGCGCGATTAGGAGATCTCGAGGCCACACGGCACAGGTATCGCGCGACTCGCACACTTCAGGCGACCTTCAGCAGGATTTCAAGGGTGTGTCCTTGAGAATCCACGTTCGATATTGACGACATCGATATTGATTCATCTCTGTGAACAAGTATGGTTTAAGTAGCACTGCTCTTCTTCTGTTTCCATAACGAACTATATGACGAGACAGTTCATTCACTTTCAATAACACCCATAACTTGATTACATCGAGTACGAAATTCCGAAGCCAATTCGTCCGCAAACCTCAGCAGTGGCGACTCACTACCACCCTCAACATCGCCACCCTGCTTGCACCAGCTCTCAATGCCCGGATGCTGTGAAGTATCTGTGGCTGGTGGCGTGGCTAGTGGGGCTGGAGGCAGCTTGGCATCAGGTAATGGGGATGCACTGTCACCACATGGGCATGGCATGGCATCAGGGGATGCACAACCCCCACATGGGGATGGCATGGCATCCTGTACTGACGTCACACCGTCACTAGGATGTGGTATGGTATCATGCACTAATGTCCCAGAGACTTGCGTGTGTGATGATGCAGCACGGGAGTGTGCCACTCTCTCTTTGAGGTCTCGGCAAGACTCTACTGATACTGCAGAGCCACGCGTGCATGATGCTGCTGCAGAGCCACATGTGCGTGATGAATCTGATGATGGAGCACGGGGATGTGCTGCTCTCGCTCCAGGTTCTCTGCTTGACTCCACGTGGCGGCTGAACTGCTGCAGCAAGGACCGGCGAGCCGCGTTCAGTGCTGCTGCCTGCTCCCTGCGTACGTGTGGTGTGGCTGGTGGCATGCCATGCACACAGGCACATGACATGGCACAGAAACACAATGCGAGAATTGGCAGGCATCGGGGGAGCATGGAGCTTGGTTGGGGTGAGAGCGGTGGACATGCATGCATGATGCAGTGTGGCACCTCCTTTCATGCCAACCATGAATCACCACCACATCGCACCAAGATTTCCAGATAAGAACAAAGAAGAAGTTACCGTTAAGGAGGAGTATTTTGTACACCAATACACGAGCAGGGAAAGCGCAGTGACAAACTCATGGATGAATAAGTGACAAACCCTTGCCTGCCTGGGATGAATCTGCACCCTTGTCACAATCTCTTGCTCCCTCCCTCCTGTCTGAGCCCACCCCCAGCTCGCGACTCACCCGCTGCACCTGGGGATTGCCTCAAGGCGTGTGAGAGGAGCTTCCTCAGCCGCAGGTCAAACCCAAGCACTGCACTGCTTGGATAGGAGGAGCGCAGCGGGCAGTGGAGCACGGTGTGCAGCGGGCAGCAACGGGCAAACAGACCCTGGGGGCCTTGACTCACCTCAGGGCCTTGACTCACCTGGGGACCTTGACTCACCTGCCGAACCTGGGGATTGCCTCGAGGCGTGTGAGAGAATCTTCCTCAGCCGCAGGTCAAACGCATGCACTGCACTGCTGCTTGCATTGGTGGCACTGCTCCTGGTGGTGCTGGTGCTGGTGCTGGTGCTGGTGGTGCCGCTGCTGTGGGCGGCGTGGGTGATAGCAGTGGGAAGGGAGCGGCGCCAGAGGGAGAAGAGGGCTTCAAGGGCCCTTGCACTGCACGCAGGAGGGAGAGATGGGGCAGGGGAGGCTATCTTTGAGGCGCCTCAGAATAACCTTCAAGGGACTTTGCAGTGCAGCCAGAGGGAGAGAAAAGGCAGGGGGGAGGTGATGGGGATGGAACAGAAATGGAGGGCAAGAGGTGGTAGCGAAAGGTTGAGCAGTGATTGGTGAAGTTGGTAGTGATTGTTTGGGAGAAAGGAACAGGTGGAAGAGAGCATGTGAATGCACATCAGACACACATGGGCCAAGAGATGAAATCACAACTCCACCCCACTCCCTCACTCACGCCCTCCCTACCTCTCCATGTCCATCCCAGACGGTGGCCCACACAATGAGCAATGAAGGAGAGAAGGCCCAAAAGGTCTTTATACAGGTAAGGGAGCACAGGGCACAGGGCAGAGAGCAGACGGCAAAGGCTAGGACAACACCTCTCAGCCACCGTTTTGAAAAGCACACAATGAACAAAGCACCCTCCCTCTCTCTCAGTCAACTCCACCCTCTCACTCTCACCCCCTCCCTCTCACTCTCACCCGTGCACTCTCAAACTCGCCCCCTCCATCTCATTCTTATCCCCCCCTTCCCTCACCTTACTCCCGCCACCTCCCCCACGGCCTCGTCACTCAGGTCGACCGCCTGACACCCCCAGGCTCAAACTCTCACCCCCTGCCTCTCAATCTCACCCCCTTTCTTCTCGTAGCTCCCCTGCTCCCTCACCTCACTCCCTCCACCTCCCCCACGGCCACGCCACCCAAGTCCACCGCACCCTGCCCCTCTCATCTCAACCCCTCCAATTAACTCTCAAACCCCACGCCCCCTCCCGCTCACCTCACTCCCTCCACCTCTTTCAAAGCCACGCCACCCAAGTCCACCGCCACACACCGTCCCGCCTCCCATGCGCCCCGCCTCGATGAGCACAGCACCACCGAATCAGCAGCAGCAGCAACATCGCCTCCCTCTCGCTCTTCCCCCTGCTCTCGCCCCTGACCCTCCCCTGCTCCCACCGTGTCCGCAGCACATCCTCCCACGGCCACTGTCACCACAGGTACCCCCGTGTCAGTACTTCCCTCCACTTCTCTGTCCACACACCCCCCCGGACCCACAGCCACAACAGGTGCCCCCCGAGGACGCTCAAGGCGGGCGGCGGTTCGGCGGATCACGGCGGAGGGGAGGCGGGTGGCAGGAGGGCGGCGCGCGTTGCGGGATATGCACTGGTCCAGGGGCGTGGTGACGTGGAGGATGAGACACGTGGCACCATCTGAGTGGGCAGGAAGCAGAGAGGATGGCACGGTGCAAACACGAGATGTGGGTGGGATGATGCTGATTACAAGAAACTTCATTGGATTGCGGCCTGTCTTTGAATGAATGTGTTTGGCTTGGAATGTGGGCATGCATGGGGGCATGCATGTGAGCAAACATGCATGAGAGCTATGTATCATCTCACATGAGTAAGCGAGTCGCAGCAGGTGCAGGCGCATGGAGCGCAGATGCATGGTGTCATCAGCAACCACCACGTGCGTTGGTACCCTTGGCTCCCCTGCTGCTGCTGCTGGCGGGGCTGCTGCTGCTGCCTCTGCTGCATTTGCACACACAGCAGCAGCAGCGCCGTCACCGCCCCCCTGACTAGCACATGCAAGGGCTCCAGTGAGTGCTGCGAGTGCTGTGCCACGACTGGCCTGGGCGCGCATGGGGCATGCATGGATGATGGGGGCATGTGTGGGCGAATGGTCAGAGAAGCACAGAGCATGCAGAGGGATGGATTGAGGGAGCATGATGGGGATGATGAAGAGGACAGGCAGTCCTGCTGTTGTGTTGTGGCAACGAGATAAATTGGAACCACAAGCGGATTGGAATTAGGAAATGCCTCAGCTGCCCACGTCGGCAGTCCTCACCTTCCACGTGTCAGGACTGAAAGCAGCACACGTCTCAGAAACTGCACCATTGCCCACATTCCCTTCCTCTACCACACTCCCCTCCACCACACTCCCCTCCACCACACTCCCCTTCACCACACTCCCCTCCTCCTCCACACTCCCCTCCTCATCTACACTCCCCGCGTTGCCTGCGCCAGGCGCATAGCTGTCGAACGACACGACGGTCGTGCGGGCACCTGCCTGCGCACACAGAGGTGGTGATCGGCATTCAGCGGTGCGGTGCGGTGCTACATGGTAACAACCGAGTTGCCTCGAGTTTCGAGACCTCTTCAAGAGCGACGGAGCAGGGGGGACGGCAACGCGGGAGAGATTGGGAGGCGAAGGGAAGCGGGCGCGGGATGATCGCTCACCTGCCGCGCGAGTTGCGCGAGGGCGGCGCAAAGCGTGCTCTTGCCCGCGCCCGGCAGCCCCATCGCCACCACCAGGAGCGGAGGCGGGCGGAGCAACGGGTTTTGCGGGGACGGCGGCGCAGCGAGCGGGCCGATGGGGGCGATGGGGGAGGGCAAGGCGGAGGGGGCGGTATCGGGAAGGGGGTTGGGGGAGGGCATGTGGGGGGGTTCCATTGCGCGCGGAAACAGCCCGTAGGCCGCCGATGCCAGGGCCAATTGAACGCGGCAGTGATGGATGATCGAACCTACATCGCGTTGAGACGGAGGCGTGCGTAGGTTACAGGTATGCGATGCGGTATAACGATGCGCGTTATTGGCCGCTTCAGCATTTAACTCCTGGGTGCTTTTGCTATACGGAGAGTCGACGTGCACATGAAGTGTGACATGCGAACTGGCGATGTTTCGTCAGGAAACGGAAGTGCTTATGCTCTGTTGTTACTGCACGAAATCACGACCCCCTCCAACAGCCATGGCAACGACAAGGTAACAGCGATTCGCGAGGACCGTTTGGCAATCGCAGGCCTGACATTCCGGCCTGCGACCCGATGAGCGAAGAGGAAAGTGTTCGCGAAGCGTTTCCTTCGTTATAACTTGAACCACAAGCAACCCGCGAATTCTCGAACAATTTGTATGTTGTGGGATCGTAACACCTGTATCGAATCATCACAACCACGATTTTTCCACTTCAGTTTCCAACCATGACTTCTCTCGAGCTGCGTTGTGCCACGTGGAACTCCGCGCAACGTCACTTCCACGTGTCCGCGAATACGTCCGTCTCTTCCCTACCGCCACCAGTCGCGCGTGCCCCTCGCGTATCGCAGCCCTTGGTTGCGACAGGAAGGAGTTGTGAATCCGGCATTCGAAGCAGCTTCTATAGCGGCGACACAATCAGACTAAGCAGTCTGCCTGCCTGTCATGTCGTCGGTAGGAAGGCTCGCAGGGCGGTGCGGCCAGTGGCCGCAGTTGGCGGCGGGGGATCCGGCGAGAATGACGCGGATGGGAGCGCGACGCGGAAGAAGGACGAGAGCATTCAGCTGTACAGCCGCATTGAGAGGTGCGTGGTCATTGGAACCGGATAGTATTTGAAAACGGAGAGTCGCTGAAGGCTACTTGCGCTAAGGCCGGTAACTGAGGGCGATTAGTCGTCATGGCGGCACGATGGGCGGTAGTGCCATGCATCAGGTGCGTGCGTGGGAGGGAGCGTGCGCCTGTGTGCAGGCGCGTGGAGGTGTGGGTGATGGCGGTCAGTCCCATTAGTTGGGTCACATCTAGTCCACACGAATGTTCTGGTCTCGCTCTTATCCGCTTTCAAGTCCTTTTTCTCCCTCTTTCCTGTTCCCTTGCCCCTTGCTCTTTCCCCCCTCACCTTCCTTCCCCCTTCCTGCCCTCCACCTCCCCCTCATCCCCCAGCCTGATCTCAGAGTCTGCTCGGCAGTCCCAGGGCGCTGACGGGGCAGGGCAGTGGGAGGAGGTGGAGGTAAGAGCAGGAGAGGATTGGTAGAGGCGGGGAAGTTAAGTGAGAGGAAAGAGGGAGGAGGATGTGATGGTAAGAGACGTTTGGGAGTGAGGGAGGGGGATAATGCAGGAGGGCAATGCCTGCTGAACGGAGGGAAGTGCAATGCAATGCAGCGTGGCACATGACTGCCTTCCTCTCGCCTCGCTTATTTCCTTTCATGTTTGCGCCTCCTCTCTCCTCCCTCGCTGCACCAGTGTCATCCCTCTCACTCACCCTTCCGCACTCGCCTTCCCTCTCGCTCGCCCATCACCCACAGGGCGCGTGGGTGCTGCGCCCGCCGCCCCCCCTGCAGGCGACAGCAGTGGTGCACTTCATAGGAGGGGCGTTTGTGAGAGTCAACTTAAATCTCATCTCTGTCTCTCACCATCACAGGGAGCATGGGTGCTGCGGCCGCCAGCTCCCCTGCAGGCGACCGCAGTGGTGCATTTCGTGGGGAACCATTGTGATTTTTAACACGACTCGATAATTACCTCCTCACGTGCGTCCCTGTTTCCCCTGCACAACCGCACCCCGCTATCCCACTCCATCGCAGGGAGCATGGGTGTTGCGGCCGCCGGCCCCCCTGCAGGCGACAGCAGTGGTGCACTTCGTGGGGGGAGTGTTTGTGGGCGCGTCCCCTCAGCTCACCTACCGCCTCTTCCTCTCCACGCTCGCACAGAGGTGAACAGAGGGATGAGTGACGGTTGAGAGGGGTGATCAGCGTGACCAAGCGGGACGTTGCTATGGATTGGAGTAGAGAGAGGGTTGCTTGTTTTCTAGGGCAGGGGAGGCCTTCATCGGCGTGTACGCGTAACTCCCCTACCGCGTCTTCCTCACCATGCTGGCGCGGAGATAGGGAGGGATGTGACTGTTGAGTCGACTCAATGGTCTTTATGAATGCAGCCACACATCTGCGTCTGCATTGTGTGCGCATGCTTTAATCAGTACAAGCCGTGCCTTGTATTCACTTCCCTTTTAAAAAACTCCTCCCAAGCCACTCCCTCCTTCCTTCACTCCTTCGCTCCTTCTTTTCCTCCTTCCCTCCCCCCATCGCTCCTTCTTTTCTCCCTCCCTTTCTCCCTCCCCTCCCCCAGGGGGCTGATGGTGGTAGCAACGCCATACGCCAGCGGCTTCGACCATTTGAGGATCGCCGACGAGGCGCAGTTCAGATTCGACCGCTGCATGCGCTCGCTCTCCCTTAAAGCCCAGCCGCCCCATGACGTATGTATAAGCTGTGAGCCACGCGTGCTCTCCATGTATGAACCCTCTGGCCCATGCAGCGAGCTCACACTCCCGACCCCCATGTACTGAGCTCCAAGCCCTAACTCATTCACTCACCCATGCATCACACCATACCGCCCATGCCACCGTGGATCCCATCCCATGCCACCACCACCACCAGCCCATGGACCTGCCAGTGTACGGCGTGGGGCACTCCATGGGCGCCCTCGTGCATCTCCTCATTGGTATGTCCCCCTCGTCGCTACGCGACTCTTTGTTTCCCCATTCCTCCCTGCCTTTGCTCTCCCTTGGGTGGCGCCCAGTTTTTACTCTTTGCATTTCTATTCCCCTCCCTCTCCTTGTCGCAGCACACCCGTGTTCCATTGGGAAAACGTGTAGGCAAGTTTTTTAATCTCTGTGCGCCGTTCCTCCCTTCTCTTCCTCCCTTTGCCTCTGACTTCCTTCTCCTTTCTGTCTTCCTTCTCCTTTCTGTCTTCCTTCTCCTTTCTGTCTTCCTTCTCCTTTCTGTCTTCCTTCTCCTTTCTGACTTCCTTCTCCTTTCTGTCTTCCTTCTCCTTACTGTCTTCCTTCTCCTTTCTGTCTTCCTTCTCCTTTCTGTCTTCCTTCTCCTTTCTGTCTTCCTTCTCCTTTCTGACTTCCTTCTCCTTTCTGACTTCCTTCTCCTTACTGTCTTCCTTCTCCTTTCTGTCTTCCTTCTCCTTTCTGTCTTCCCTCTCCTTTCTGACTTCCTTCTCCTTTCTGTCTTCCTTCTCCTTTCTGTCTTCCTTCTCCTTTCTGTCTTCCTTCTCCTTTCTGTCTTCCTTCTCCTTTCTGTCTTCCTTCTCCTTTCTGTCTTCCTTCTCCTTTCTGTCTTCCTTCTCCTTTCTGACTTCCTTCTCCTTTCTGACTTCCTTCTCCTTTCTGACTTCCTTCTCCTTTCTGTCTGCCCCTCTTTCCAAACCCTTCTGTGCTGCGCTTCTGCCATTCCCATCTGTCCTCCATATAAGGTGCTCGCTACGCTGTGGAGAGAGCAGGAAACGTCTTTATTTCCTTCAACAACAAGGTACGTTAGCCAGTCCTCCTTGTTCCTCTTCCAGCACCCCTCACAGCCATCGGTAAGACCCTATCAAGCACTGTATCAAGAAATTTGTGCCATTCCTATTGATCCTGAGGGTCCACATTACCTAATATGGTCCTCGTTGCTTTCATTCTCCACCGTCCTGCCACGCCTGATGCATATAACCGAGTCACGCCTCTCACCCGTTGCAGGAAGCGAGTGCGGCGATACCCTTGTTCTCACCGGTCATCATGCCCATGGCGCAGAGCCTGGGTCCCATCCTCACGCAGCTGCTCGACAACCCCACCCTCAAACTCGGGGTCCGTCCGTGCCACTCTGCCTCGCTGCCTCTGCCTCTCTTCCAGCCGCTCTGAAACCCCTCTTGGCATATGTGCCCATCATCCATAAAGTTTCGCTCAAATCAGTGTGTCTCGATGCCCTTTCGTTCTTGTCTACCTGCCTTTTTTCCGATCATTCACTGGCAAGCCCCTCTTGCACATTCTTCTGAAGTCCTCCTGTCTCCTCTTCTCCCCTCCCCCCCGCCCCATGGCCCCAGGCTGACGTGGCAGTGAAGCAGCTGAGGGATCTGAACGCACCAATGGTGGCGCAGCTGCTGCCGCTGTTGGAGCAGCTCCCCCCTCTCTACCGCGACCTCTCTGACGGCCGCGACCAGTTCACACCTGCACCAGCTGAGACCCGCCGCCTGGTAAGGAATTGGCGAGTCAGAAACATGGCCTGCTGCACTTCCCTGGGACTGCTTGCAGCTTCCTGGGGTTGTGACTCTTGACACATTTTGACTTGCCACTGCCCGTGCTCCCTTGGGCGCTCCCCCCTGCCTCATCCATATCTCACGGCTGTGCCTCTCCCTGACCCACCCGCCCGCCCAACCAGCCACCCACCGATGGGCACACCAGGTTCATGCAGCACCCCACCACCCACTCACTGACCACTGCTGTGGCCACCTAGCAGCAGATTACCTGCCCTTGCACCACCCGCCCATGCCAGTCCCTACCTAACACCAATCTTTGCTCCCACCCACTCTTCCCCACCCACCCCAGGCCCAGACATACTACGGGGTGCGACGCAACCTGCTAAGAAAAGAACCTTCATTCTGACCTCCTAGATTGACTTGTCCCCCTCTCCCCCCCCCCATCCCCACCTACCCCCCCACCCCCAGGCCCAGACATACTACGGGGTGCGGCGCAACATGCTGGTGCTCTGTGAAAGCGACACAACTGCACTCAGGCGCCTCAGAGCCACCTGCTGCTTCCCCTCCCCACTCTCCCTCCCACCCCCTCTTTCCCCCCCACACCCCCAGGCCCAGACATACTACGGGGTGCGGCGCAACCTGCTGGTGCGCTTCAAGGATGACACCATCGATGAGACTGCTGACCTGGCGGACACGCTGGCAGCGGGCAGCGCTGTGTCAGCATGCCTGGACCTCGCCATGCGGACACTGCCAGGCGACCATGTGCGCCCACTGCGCCAGGTATGCCACGTGGCATGAACTTTTGTTTAAGTTGAGGGTGGAAATCGCGCAAGCTGAAAAATGTGTTGCCCTGTGTGTACACAAGAGTCTGTCGTGATTTTCCTGATCTAATCTTCACAGCCTTCTGCTTAGAGGTGAGGACGTTGCATCAAATACCACCTGTGCTGTTCCATCCTCCCCAATTCCCCCTCCCATTCCCACCCTGGGCCCTCCTCGTTTCTGTCTGCTGCAGGTGGTGCCCGAAATTCCGCAGACTGTCGCTGATGTGGTCTCGCGAGGCTGCTCCCTGCTCGCCTCCATGACAGCTGGCACGCCGCTCGCTGACCTGGCGCGCGGCGTCAGCGACACGCTGACGGGGGCGGCGGGGCTGGGGGGCGAGGGGGAGGGCGGCGGAGGGGGGTTGGGGGGGATGCAGCGCGATGTGAGGGAGGACATGGAACAGCTGGTGGATGAGCTCGCGCCCTTCCTGGGTGCGCTGACCCGGCCATCCACCGAGTCACCTCGGTTGCTGCCACGGATATGATGGAGTCGCCAGTGTCAACTGGTAATAGTTGTGTCCTGTTTCAGTAGACGAGCGTGCTCTAGACGTGAACATTGGGATATGTGTTGGAGTTTTTTTTTAATTGTGTAGTCAGGTATATGTGGCAATATATTATTGCATGTTATGGGAATTGGTGGTACTAAATCATCATCGTAGTGTTCCCACAGAACAACTGGAGCTCATTTCGGTGCGTTGAATCTCGAGTCATTGAAGCAGAGAGGTAGACGTCCAGGTACAACTCATTGGCAATAAGTTCAAACCGAGCCGCGGAACACCATGCTGCACGACAGCTTCAGCACTAAGCGGAAATCGCTTCCCGCCTCTCACTCTCGCCGCTCTCTTTCTTTTCGCAACTTACATGCTTCACGAGAGGATGCCCTTCGCGGCTACGTGAGTCGTCGTGACCCGCTCATCCCTGTCTTCCTGGTGGACTCTACTGCTCGCCGATGCGAACTCTTACCTTACTTACTACTGACACATCCTGTGACATGTGACTTGCTTTCGAAGCACCATACTTAGTTCCGAAGATCGCAGTCGGTTGCAGTCCGTTTCTTAGGCCTTCGAGACGTATTAAACCGTTAACGTCGGTTCCAGCGTTTCACGCCTGAACGTTAACCCCGTCACAGTTGACTGTCAGCCGTCTCGCGCCACGGACTCGGACCTGCAAACGTCGTCGCTGCCGCCAATGTCGGAGTCAGCGCAACCTGCGGAGGCTCCTTCAATCAAATCCCCATCCCCTGCCGCACCAGTGCCGTTCGATCAATGGGTCGGCAGTTTCGATGCTGACGTGGCCGCGTCCCTCCCAAATACAGGGATCGACATCGCGGAGATTGTACGCGATAGAGGCATCTCCAAGGCTGTAGATGTAAGACCAAACGCGCGGGAATGGAGAGAAGAGAGACGATCTGAGCAGGGGACAGTGAAGTGGCAGGTGACGCTTGACTCAAGAGTGAGCAGCGATTTGGTCAGGAGTGAATTATGAACGGTGAAGTGCGGCGGAGTGACCACGGGGGAACGAACGATAACAATGCTGAGTTATTTTTCGACTGGTAGAATTGAAGAGAGCAAAGAAGAGCCATGAGCTCGTGAGAGAGTCACGCTGAGCTCACTAACTGAGCGTAGACTGGGAGTAGACTGAGCAGCTGAGAGTTGACTGGGAGTTGACCGAGCAGCTGAGCGTTGACTGGGATTTGACTGTGCCCCATGCCATATTCTCTACGCTCCATGCCCCATACTCTATACCCCATGCTCCATACCCTATTCCCCATACCCCATACCCTATGCCCCATGCCCCATACCCTATGCCCCATGCCCCACGCCCTATGCCCCACCCTATGCCCCATGGCCCATGCCCGAAGCCCTATGCCCCATGTTCCATGTCCCATGCGTTATGCCCGATGCCCCATGTCAGGTGCCTTATTTCGACCTGCCCGAGCGGGTGATCAAGTCAGCATCTGGTTGGCTGGCGACGCAGGGCAGCAAAGACCTGGCAGCAGTGGCGGCTCTGCTCATCCACGTGGAACTGCATGATAGGCCGCCCAGCGACGACGTGACCATCTCCAAGGCAAGCTCTCAGCACGTTCCCATGTGTTCTTTGCAACAGCATCCATGGAAGGAACGAAGGATAGATGAATCGCCTCCTCTGACCGGCTTGGGGGGTTGCATGCCCGAATCAGAGAGGAGAAGAAGAGCGCGAGTTCATAGAGTCACTGTCACGTGTCAGCAGCTGCTCGCACATCAAAGAACCCACTCTTGTGCTCCCACCTGTGCCCATACACCATCCACGCTTACTCATCTCAACCACTTGCCTGCCCTGGCTTCTCTTGTCCTGCCACTCCAACCCCACCCCAACCCTTCCATATCACGCCAACTCTTCCATACCCCCCAACCGGTTGAAACCACCCCATACCAGGACGCGGCCCTCGCTCTGCTCGCCATTCTCCTCCGCCTGCGACCCGCCACTCTCCAACAAGTGCCCGACGCGCTGCTGCCGTCCATAAAAGACAAAAGGCCGTCCAGTGCCGAGCCGTTGCCGCCCAAGAACTCCCAGCAGCCGCCCACTGAGGATGGTGCTTCCTCAGGCAGCCACGTGGCAGAGGGGGATAGGCTGGCAATCCTTGCATGGATATACGGGCAGGTGGGCTTTGCACTATCCCACCTGCAATGAGTGGCTGCGCACGCTCTGCCCAGTTCAGTGCACCCAGCGTCCTTTCCTTACCCTGCTTTTGTCCTCTACTCCTTTGGTCCCTCGTTCTTCCTCACACTTGGCCTCTTTATATTGTGTCCATGTGTTCCCACCACCAATGTCCTTTTATCTCCGCCTAACTCCATCCCAACCGCTCGATACCCTCGCCTCCCTCGCCTCTCTGCCATGTGTTGGCCCCTGTACAGGCAGCGAGGGCGGACAGGGTGGCGGGCATGTCGCTCTTCATCCACTGCCTGCTGCCGCCTGCCATCCATCCCACCGCCCCGCCCTCCTGCACGCACCTCGCCCTCTCGTTTCTTGAGGAGTGAGTGCCCCACCTTCTCCTCCCCCTGCCTGCTGTCGTCCTCTCCTTCACCCCTCCTTGCAGTCACCCGGTCCTTCTTTCAGCACAGACATCATTCCAGGTAGCATGCTCGCACCTCCCTTCCATGCCCACGGTCCCCATGCCCATTCTTCCCTCTTCCGATGCACAGGGTGGTGTTGGAGAATCGCAGGAAGGCATACGCGGACCTGCACAGGGGCGCCGTAAGGGGCGGGTGTGGTGCACCTCATGGCTGCAGAGGCCCTCACCTCCTCCTGGTCTAGAGGCGTCTCAACAAGAGTCTGCTCCTCCCTCTGACCCTCCTATCCTGTGCGCCACAGGGTGGTGTTGGAGAATCGCAGGAAGGCCTACGCGGAGCTGCACAGGGGCGCTGTGAGGGGCGGGCTGCGCCTCGTACCGCCTGAGGCGCTGCGCTCGTTCCTGCTGGCTGCATTCCCCGCCCAGGCCGACTGCACCGAGGTGTGTGTGTTGTGTTGAGGGTGGTTGGGGGTGGTTGGGTGGGTGTATGTATACACAGACACGCAGCAATTGGGCGGGCTGCGCCTCGTGTCACCTGAGGCGCTGCTATCGTCCCTGCTAAGAGCTATTTCTCTGAGATGTGTTGAGGGTGGGTGGGTGGTTGCACGCACGCACGCACTCACACATGCTGTGATTGGGCCGGCTGCGCCTCTTGCTGCCTGAGGCACAGTGGTCGTTCCGTCTGGCCGCCGTCCCTGCCAAGGGCGATTGGGCGCAGGGGTGTGTGTTGCGGGTGGTCAGGTGGTTGCATGCACGCACTCACACATGCTGTGATTGAGCCGGCTGCACCTTTTGCTGCCTGCAGCCTTGCGGTTGTTCCTGCTGGTCGCGCTCCCTGCAAAGAGCGATCGCACTGAGGTGTGTTGTGGTCGGGTGGTTGCACACGCACAGACACGCATGCTAAATCAAACACAGATGTGCGCACACACTCACCCGCAGCAATACATGTGCATGTATTTGCACCAGATACTGCTCGCACACACAGGAATGATGAGCGTCACCAATCACTCCTCTAGACACTGCCTGCAAGGCTGCTGAAAGCGTCACTGCACTGCATATCAGATAATCAACATTTGTCCCTCCACGCATTATTACATCCACTATCATATGTCCAGTCGTTTCTTTCTTCCCATCCACTCTTCCTTCTCCGCCTTTCCCCCTGCCTCCTTCCACCTGCAGATCAACCCAAGTGTACCTCATGGTGAAGAGGATGGTCCAGTTCTCAAACCCACTTTCTCTGCCTACTCCTCTCACCCTCACTCACACATGTCCTCACCACCCATTCTCCCTCCCTCCTCCCCTTTGCCTCCTCGCCCCCCAGTTTAACCACCGCTTCACTCACACGTACCCGATAGTGAAGCAGCTGGCGCTGGTCAAGGGCACGCTCTCTGGAACCTCCTCGGAGGCTCATTCACGGGCTGACCTTGCCCCTACTCCCTCCCTCCCTTTTCGTCCTCCTCCCCTTCCCTTTCCAGTTCACCCCGCGCTTCGCGCACGCGTACCTGATAGTGAAGCAGCTGGCGCTCGTCAAGGGCACTCCCTCTGAAGCCACTCCGAGGGTCACTCACGAGGTGGCCTTGCCCCTTTTGTCTCTCTTTCCCCTCATACCCCTCGCCCGCCAGTTCACCCCGCGCTTCGCGCACGCGTACCTGATAGTGAAGCAGCTGGCGCTGGTGAAGGGCACGATCCCGGGGGACCCTGGCGAGTCTGACGCTGCCACACAGGCCGCCCTCGCCCGGACCAAGTCCACCCAGGAAGCTGCGGAGAAGCTGCTTCCGCTCATGTTTGAGGCTGCAGGAGAAGGTGAGAGGGGGTGGGGAAGGGAGGAAGGTTGAACCCAGGGGAGGGAGGGACTTTCCTTGGATCGATGAAGGAATTGAGAGTGAGAAGTTTGGGACTCAGATTGGCTGGAATAAGGCATTTTGCTGGAAGATATGGAAAGAATGGACGTCACAAGGTTAGCAAGAGGACTTCTTCTCACCACCTTTGGCACTTGCATGTGCCGCCATCCCACTCTCGTCTCGTCTTTCCCTTCCATGCACGTCTCGTCTTTCCCTTCCATGCGTGTCTCATTCTTCCCTTCCATGCACGTCTCATCTTTCCCTTCCATGCACGTCTCATCTTTCCCTTCCATGCACGTCTCATCTTTCCCTTCCATGCATGTCTCATCTTTCCCTTCCATGCATGTCTCATCTTTTCCTTCCATGCACGTCTTATCTTTCCCTTCCATGCACGTCGCATCTTTCCCTTCCATGCACGTCTCGTCTTTCCCTTCCATGCACGTCTCTTTCAAGTCCCTTTGGCTGAGCTCCCCTCCCCTGCTGGGCGAGCACGCACAATTTGAAAACGATCGCATGCATGTGCCAATGTGTGGGCTCGTCTCGCATGGTATGTATGTGTGTGTGCATGCAGGGTCAGAGGAGCTAAGGGAGGAGGCGAATGCCATCGTGCTGTGGTGCCTTATGGAGAACCCCGCCTGCTACTCCCAATGGGTGTGTTCCCTTCTAGCCATACCATGCCACGCTGATCAAAGCCTTGCTAAGCTATGCCCTGCCCTGCCATGTTGTGCCATCCCGTGCCATCCCATACTGTGCCATGTCGTGCCATGCGGTGCCACCATGCCATGCCTTGCCATGCCATGCCATGCCATGCCATGCCATGCTGTGCCGTGCGGTGCCGACCATGCCATGCAGTTCCATGGGATTCGCTGAATGGCTGTTGTTGATGGGTTGTCTATGCCTGTGCCCCATTGGCCACACCTATTGAGTTTACCGTTTCTTCCGCTTTCGCAACCATGATCATGTTCTGATCTCCTCACCTTCTCCCACCGCCCGCCCATCACCTCCCACCACAATGCACCAGGAGCGGCTGCACAGCGGGGCACTGGACACGTCACGGCACATGCTGGCGGGCGTGGAGCGGCGGTGGGAGGAGGTGAAGCTGCAGCTCGCCCCCTATGCGCCCCTCAGAGCCTTCCTGCTCGCCATCCGCCGGCAGGTGCTCACCGTCCCCGCATGCGCCCTCCTCTCCCTCTCGCTACCTCCCTCCTCCCCTCGCCTCCTCTGCTCGCTACCTATCACCACCCGCTGTTGCTTCGCATCGCCCTTTCATCCAGTGCCTCACTCTCCGCTATTTGTAGCACCATCCTTTCACCCACTGCCCCACTCCTCCCACCATACTTGCCAAAGATTGTATGCCCGCCCTCAATATCTCCCCACTCACTCTCCCTTTTCCCCCCCATTCCCTTTCAACCAGCACGCGCAAGCTCTGAGAGCTCTCGACCAATCACAGGTGGAGGAACGGGCCACTATCCGCCAGACAGACACAGTGGCAAGGAAGCTTCAGAGAAAGATCTCTCGGGTGCCTGGGTGTTTAGCCACAGTGGCCACTTTAATAGCCTCTGCTGCCATGGTGTACACTTTCTATTGGCTCAGCCCGGGGAAGAACCCTTGGGGGTGGGATGGCTATATCCTTCTTAGCAAGACGCACAGATGGTACTGATGCACGCATTAATCTACTTGTACCTGTATAACTTAGGCTTTTGCCCTTTCTAGTCCCCCCTACCTCTTCTCAACTTCGTAGGCTTGAGTTTCCTCAAGACTACCGGTACTTAAGTTATGAGTTGTCAAACTGAGTTGCACGGAAAACGAACGACGAAGCTGTGACACTATGAATTGACGTTACAATGAGAGCCACGTGATTATATAGCGAGACAAAGTAGCTAGGCGGGAACCTTGGGAACACGAGGTCGGGTACAGGTTGGGCAAAAGAAAGCCAAAGGCGATGCAAGGTTGCCGTCGAGGTTGCTTCGGCAGCAAGAAAATCGGCCGGACGTGCACTTTCCAAATATTGGGGTTGTACGCGGTTGGGTAAACCCCCAGTAAAGAAAATGGGGTTTTCTGCAATCATCTAAAAGTCCTACGTCAGCCGGGAATCGAACCCGGATCTTTTGCTTGGAAGGCAAATATCCTAACCATTGGACTACTGACGTGTTGCATTGGGCCAGAGTCAAAGTAATATCAACATTAAAATAATGCATGTGAACACAGTGTCCGAGCGATCTTGGAGGCCCCACCGCTTTCGCACACTTTGTCCCCCTCTTCGCATCCCACAACGCCGCCATGGCGAAGTATCCCGCAGCTGCTTCGTCGCTCAGCGGCACCGCTAACCCTAATCCTGTCGACACTGCGGATCCCGCCGCCAGGGCTCGCGCCGAGGCCTACGCGGACGGAGTCTCCGCTGCCGGAAGTGGCGGGGCTCGGAACGAGTGGAAGGAACGGAGGGAGCGGATAGAGTCGCTGGGATGGCTGACGGAATCGGCGCTGATGCCGAAGAAGCAGCGCGTGATCGAGGGCGTGAGCGCGGGCAGCCTGGTGTCGCTGCGCGCCGAGCTATACAAGAGCCAGGAGGACGCCAAGCGCGCCAAGGAAGAAGGCGGAGGGGAGCCGCGGGTTAGGCGCGCGGGAGGCGGAGCGGAAGGGGGGCCCGGGGACCTGTTTGGGGGGAGAAACGCGGGTGTTGAAGAACGCGCGCATAGGTGGGGACCTGCCTTCTGATCCCCCCTTCTCCTCCCTTCAATCGTCACGAACCCATTTCCCTCATTTTTCCCTCCACTTCTCATTATTCCCCTGTCCTTCCTCGTGCCTTTCTTCTATCCCTTGTTCCTCACCTCGCTTCCTCAAGTGCACCCTCCTCCCCCGGTCTCCATCCCCTATCCTCTCCTCTTAACCTAGCGTTCCCTGCTCTCCGCTGTCCTTCCGCCTCTCGTGCCCCATTCTCCTGCCTTTCCTCGTTTCGCAGGCGCACTGCAGGGGAAGGTGCAGAGCGACTGGGCGGCATCTCTCTTCCCCCATCTCTGTGCCACCTCAGATCTTTTCGCTCCCACTTCCTCCTCCCCTTTCCCCCCTCCCACCCAGAGGAGCAATGCAGCGAAAGGCGGAAAGGGGCTCAGCAGGCAGCTTGAGGCTCCAATTCCACTCGTCCCGCATCTGCTTTCCCCTTCCCCGTCCGTTCCCTCCCTGCCCCTCCCTCCCCCCTCTCCCCCGTCCAAACCACCAGGGACGCGCTGCAGTGGAAGGCGGAGAGGGACGTGGCAGGGCATCTGGAGCGCAAGGCAGCCATCTACGCGCGCCTGGCCAGGGGGGAGCGCGCCGAGGGGGAGGGCGCGCAGGGGGAGGGGGCGGATTGGGCGGGCGTGGAGGAGAAGTACAACGTTGACTTCCTGAGGCGGGGGACACTGGAGGAGGAGAGGCAGGAGATGGAAAGAGAGAGGCGGGGAGAGGAGGCGCTGCTGTTGGGGGGTGCAGAAGGGGATGGGGGAGAGGGGGGAAGGGATGGGGGCGGAGGGGCAATTGTGGTTGCCGGAGGGGGAATGCCGTCGACACAGAGGGAGCTGATAAGGTGGGTGCAGTGCAGCGGTTCACAACGTTTTCGTTCTTTCGTGTGTAACCATCAGTTTGAGTTTCCTGGCCACCCTATCACATGGCGATTGCTGCTCTGCGCTCCTCTCCCCGTTCCCTCTCACAGCGCATGCTGGCAAAGGCTTGATAGAGGAGGCATGCTGTGCATTTGAGAGCCGCACAGGTCATCAATTGTCAACCTATTCCCCAAGCACTGTGCTCACCTGTTTTCCACCTGTCTCCCTTCCTTCCCTCCCTGTGGCTTGGGGCAGGGAGGTAATTGAGGAGACGCGGACAGCACGGGAGAGAGCAGCGCTGCTGAAGGCCAAGAGGCAGCAGCAGGCGGAGCAGAAGAGGGAGAAGCTTCGTGCTGCCTTCCTCAAGCAGCAGCTGCTGAAGGAAAAGGCAAAGAAAAAAGACTCCAAAACGGCAGGAGGGAAGAATGGGGGTGGGGAAGGAGGACAATCATAAATCTTTTGTTGTGCTGTATATATTGTGTTGATCTCGGGCATCTCAAAGGCGCATGTAAGGATCACTCAAATTCATGATGTGATAAGAGCATTCTTTCTCGTTTTTTACCTGGAAAATATGTTAGTGAATTCAATTGTCATGTAGTGTTAATTTTCGGTAACGCATCACGCTTCTGTCGCGAACCTTGGGATATTCGTACACCTTTGTTGCTTTGCCATTTCCAGTCTTCGCTTTCCTCGCTGTCATCCCCAAGGCTCGAAATCCGACTCACGCAAACCCCTTCGTCCCTCGCCTCATCCAAAAACCATTCTCAATCTGCTGGATTCATCGCCTTCCTGAACACTCGGGATCGCCATGGCGGATGACGCCAAGGGGCCAGAAGGCACGGAGGAAAATCGCGACAATGCGCGCGAAACAGGCAAGCATTCGATTCCCGTTTACCTGCGTCGATATCGCTGCTCTAGCGGCTGAGAACTCCGTCCTCCCCGTCTGGTTCCGTAATAATCACGGCTGTCGCTTTGGGTTGCAATAGGCCATATTCTCCGTGAATCGCGGCGTCTAACGCGTGCTCTGGTTCGCCTGCAGAGGAGGTCCGAGCGCTCAAGTCGACGCTGCGTTTCCTCGTGTCGAACAGCGACGCGGGGTCCATCATTGGCAAGGGCGGCGTCGTGATCTCCGAATTCCAAACCCAATCCGGCGCGAAAATAGTGCTGTCGCGCGCGCGAGAATACTTTCCCAACACCACGGACCGCATCATCCTCCTCAGCGGCAGCGTCAGCGCCATTCTGACCGCTCTCCACCTCATTCTATCCAAACTCGCCGATGTACGCACCCATGCTCCCATCCCCATCGCCGTCATCATCCCCACTCCCATCCCCAGCCCACATCCACATCCGCATCCCCATCACAATCCCTTCCCCATCCACTCCCATCCCATCCGTTCCCATCCCCATTCCCTTTCTGCAACCACGGTCCGTACTTCCACTCGTGAACGACGGACGAATCCCCGTATGCTGCCTCTCTGCTTCCCCGGATTCCATTTCTTCGTCGACGCTTCGCCTCTCTGAAACGAAGCGCGCCCGTATTCCCGTGTTGGCAGGAGCCGCGGCGCAACGAGCCGGGCGCGCGGGAGGGCGACGCGGATCTGCGAATCGTGGTGCCCAACAGAGTGTGCGGCGCCATCATTGGCAAAGGCGGCGCCACCATCCGGTGAGGCGGTATTTTCGGGTGCAGTGTGGTGCTGTCAGGTGCCTCATGCTGCCGTCACTTCCCCCCCCCCTCCTCTTCACCCCTCCCCTCCACTCTCTTCCCCCACCTTTCTGCCATTCGCGCCAACTCTGTCTTCCCCGCGCAGGTTGTTCGTGCAGGACTCGCCAGTCTTCGCCTCGTCGTGCTCTTCCCCTATCCCCCTCCATGGCGCCTCCTTATTCGCCCTCCTGCCTCCCCTTACACCGCCTCCCCCGCGCAGGTCGTTCGTGGAGGACTCGCAGGCGACCATCAAGCTGTCGCCTCGATGTGCTCTTATGCAGCCCCTTCCATGCAGCTTCCTTATTCTTTCCCGTTGCCTCCCACGGTACCGCCTCGCCCACGCAGGTCGTTCGTGGAGGACTCGCAGGCGACCATCAAGCTGTCGCCGCAGGACGCGGTGGCGCCGGGGTTCCAGGAGCGCGTGATCACCATAGGCGGCACGCTGGAGCAGAAGCTGCGCGCGGTGGCGCTGCTGCTCACCAAGATGTCTGAAGACCCCACCTACGTGCAGTACGCTGACGTGCCCCTCTCCTACACCGGTAAGAGACTTGCCTTTTCCAACGTGCAGTACGCTGACGTGCCGCTCTCCTACACCGGTGAGCAGAGGGCCAGCGACCTTATCATATCGTACCATATCACATCATATCATATCATTTCTCTCGTTATCCGCTGATTACATACGCGTTTGTCACTCACCCTTCCCCCCTTCCCCGTTCATCCCATGCTTTCCTGCATCCCCCTCGTTCAGCTCACTGTGTTAATAGGTCTTCCTTCCACTCCACTCCACTCCACTCCACTCCACTCCACTCCACTCCACTCCACTCCACTCCACTCCACTCCACTCCACTCCACTCCACTCCACTCCACTCCACTCCACTCCACTCCACTCCACTCCACTCCACTCCACTCCACTCCACTCCACTCCACTCCACTCCACTCCACTCCACTCCACTCCACTCCACTCCACTCCACTCCACTCCACTCCACTCCACTCCACTCCACTCCACTCCACTCAACTCTGTGCCTCTCCACTCCACTCCACTCCACTCCACTCCACTCCACTCCACTCCACTCCACTCCACTCCACTCCACTCCACTCAACTCTGTGCCTCTCCACTCCACCCCTCTCCACTCCATTCCACTCCACTCCACTCCATTCCACTACTCTCTACTCCCAGTCCACTCTACGCCACTCCACTCCACTCCACTCCACTCCACTCCACTCCACTCCACTCCACTCCACTCCACTCCACTCCACTCCACTCCACTCCACTCTACTCTACTCCACTCCACTCCACTCCACTCCATTCCATTCCATTCCATTCTTCTCCACTCCACTCCACTCCACCCCACTCCACCCCACTCCCCTCTCCCCGCCCTCTCTCCCACTGCTTCACTCCACTGGCAGGTGCGCCAGGCAGGGGTGGTTACAACGGCGGCCCAGGCGGTTACGGCGGTGGGGGTTACGGGGGCCAGGGCGCTTATCCAGGTTACCCCAACCCTGGGGGGTACGGCGCAGCACCGTATGGCGGGTTGAGGGGGCCGCCCCCGTATGGCATGCCGGGGGTGCCGCCCAACCGGGGCAAGGTGCGTGGGGACTGGGAGTGGGCAGTGTGGTATGGGCTGGATTGGGGTACCTGCATGGATGGACGGTATTCTTGATGGTTCTGCCAGTTGTGTGCGTGGAGGGGCCTACCAATGGGTTAATTGGTGATGGACAGGTAGAAGTTTGATTGATGTGAGGTGAAGAATGGGAGAGATAGGTTCGTGAGCCCCTTCACGTGAACCACTCCGCCAATGCTGCATGCGTAGGCAAGCCATCCTTGTGTCATGGTACCTTGTAGGCGATTCTTGGGTTTCACAGTATGCTCCCTCATGCCCCATCCAGGCAGTCGCTGAACTCACTCTCCCTCTCACCACCCACACCGCGGACAGCTGGGAGGGCGCCTTCAGGGCGGGAGTGGGGCGGAGAAGGATGGAGAGGGGTGGAGAGGGGTGGAGAGGGGTGGAGAAACTCAGTGACACCGCTGTTCATGTCTCCCCACCCCATCGTTCTCTGGTCTTGATAGGTAGGGGGAATGAGTGGTGTGGGTATGAGAAATGTGTGGGGATAAAACAAAGCAGTGAATTGAAAAATCAATAGCCTCTCTCTCCGTCCCTCCGTCCGTCCCTCCGTTCCGCCCATCCTCCGTTCCGCACAGCAGGCGGCGCCACCGATGCTACCGGGGGGGGTGGTACCAACGACCATCATAGTGGCGGTGCCGGACGACCACGTGGGTGCCGTGGTGGGCAAGCAAGGTCGCTCCATCAACGAGATCCAACAGGTGTGCACCGCATCAACGAGATCCAACAGGTGTGCTGTGTGCTCCATCAACGAGATCCAACAGGTGTGCTGTGTGCTCCATCAACGAGATCCAACAGGTGTGCTGTGTGCTCCATCAACGAGATCCAACAGGTGTGCTGTGTGCTCCATCAACGAGATCCAACAGGTGTGCTGTGTGCTCCATCAACGAGATCCAACAGGTGTGCTGTGTGCTCCATCAACGAGATCCAACAGGTGTGCTGTGTGCTCCATCAACGAGATCCAACAGGTGTGCTGTGTGCTCCATCAACGAGATCCAACAGGTGTGCTGTGTGCTCCATCAACGAGATCCAACAGGTGTGCTGTGTGCTCCATCAACGAGATCCAACAGGTGTGCTGTGTGCTCCATCAACGAGATCCAACAGGTGTGCTGTGTGCTCCATCAACGAGATCCAACAGGTGTGCTGTGTGCTCCATCAACGAGATCCAACAGGTGTGCACCGCGCTGCACCACACCCCCACACGCGTCCCTCACGCATTATTCATCCCGCTTCAACCTCAACTTCAAGAGCTTGACAGCTGTGACTAAAAGATCTGCCATCTACATGGTTTGATCTGCTGTGATGCTTGCTCTTCCTCCTCATAAGTGTTTTCATGGTCACGGCGTTTGCTAGCTGCAAGGGCAGTGCACGGTGTTCTATCACCCACATTCATGTCTCTTGCTTCACCTCACCAACGTGCTCTCCTCCTATGCATCTACCCCTGTCCCTGTGCTGTGCTGCCCTGCTCTGCCCCTGGCCATGCCGCGCCCTGCTCTGTCCTGCGCTCACAGAACACGGGGGTGCGCATGGTGATATCAGGCAGAGGCGACTTTGTGGAGGGAACCAGAGACAGGTACGCACTCTCCTGGCCCGCCTCCTGCCGCATGTGCTGCAATTTCATCCAATCTCAAGCGTTTATGATTCCACCATTTTGGTTTGATGTGATTCGGGCTGCTGGCTGTACCTCGCATTGTTGTTTTCCACGAGTGAGTGTGCAGGAAGGTGACAATAACGGGGTCATCGGAGGGGGTGGTGGCGGCGCAGCACATGATCGCACAGAAGGTGCAGCAGAGCATTGCAGCGAGCAGTGGGGACCATCACGCCGCACACAGTGGGGTGGACGACGGCCCGCCGCCTGGGCTGTAGGGTATAGCAGAGCAGAGCTGAATCGCTCGTAGTGCTGCTGCATGGGTTGTTATAGAATTTGCGTTGTGTCTTTTAGGATGGAGATGTGTGGTTGTACGGCATGCAATTTGAGCAAGCAGGTTAGTTGGGTGGGGTGGATGGTAGACATGGTACAGCAACCCATAACATACATAGGCCAGGCCCCATTTATGCTTAGATGGGGGTTCACCTATACTTGTGTACACGCGGGATTCTCTGCAGCACAATGTTGACAGCTTTTTGCAAATGATAAATTCAACTGGCTGCTCATGAACCAACCAACCAGAGGAGACATCCAGGGACCAGTTCAGCCACGCAATGGCATGATAGGGTTTAGGGTGAGTCAGCCAGTCACTGTCGTGATAGTACCTGAAACCAGAGGCATACAATATGGTGTTTCAACTGAAGCGTTTGTACCCTTGGCTAAAGCAAGGTCCCACTGGTGATCAACTGAACGGAATTTTGGTTTTTTTATGGCTTTTATGGGCGAGGCTTTTGAACAGGTCCACTCAATGTGCGGCAGCCAAAGCAAGACCAAGAGAATACAAACATTGCTAAAGCTACCTCTTCTTTAGCGAACAAATAACAGGTGAACAAGCGGCACAAGTGCACATGCAGGCAATGGGTAGTGCAAGTGCTGATATACAGCAGGCACAAACGCATGAGCCAGAGGCGCTTTGAGTCTGGGCTGAAGCAGTACAAGCAGTAAACCTGCGTAAGAAAGAGAGGTGCCAAAGAAAAGAAGGCTGCGCCTTCAGCACCCCCGGAGATATGAAGAGCAGTCACACAGAACCGCAATGCATGCATACCCAGCTCTGCCACTGCTCCGCTGTGTGATAGATTTGCTATTGCTGTTGTTGCTGCTGCGGTGCCTGTGGTGGCTGCTGTTGCTGCTGTTGCTGCTGCTGCTGTTGCTGCTGTTGCTGCTGCTGCTGTTGTTGCTGTTGCTGTTGCTGCTGTTGCTGCTGCTGTTGCTGTTGCTGCATGGGCTGCACATGCTGCTGCATTTGAAGCTGGCGTGACTGCGGTGGTGCCTGCTGCTGCGGCTGCTGCTGTTGCAGTTGCTGCTGCGGTTGTGTCTGATGTGGCGCCTGCTGCTGTTGCTGCTGCGGATGCTGGGGCTGCTGCATTTGTTGCTGCTGCATTTGCTGTTGCATACGTTGCTGGTACAGCTGCTGCTGCCTCTGCCGCTGCTGAGCCAACATCTGCTGCTGCTGTGGTGTCAAGTTCCCACGTTGCTGCATTTGCTGCTGAAGCTGCTGCTGCATGTGCTGTCGCTGTGCTGCCATCTGCTGCCCTTGCTGCTGCTGCGGGCCCTGCTGCTGCTGTGCTCGTTGCTGCTGCTGCATCTGTTGCTGCATCTGCTGTTGCATAGTCTGCTGCATCTGCCGCTGCGGGTAGTGTGCCTGCCCCTGCATGCGCTGCTGCTGCATGTGTTGCACCTGGGGCCTCTGCAGCCCTCCCACTTGCTGCTGTGGCGCTTGCTGTTGCTGCTGCTGTGCCTGTGGCTGGGCCTGCACCTGTGTCTGCGTCTGTGGTGACAGCACCTGCCTCTGTGCCAGACCTTGCTGCTGCTGCTGCTGCTGCTGCTGCTGCTGCGTCTGCTGTTGCGCCTGCTGCTGCTGTGGTGGCATCGTTTGCTGTTGCTGCGGCATCTGGTTTGGCTGCTGTGCCTGCTGCACACCCCCCTGCTGCTGCGCCCCTTGCTGCGCATTGCCCACCCCACCAGGAACAGCAGCAGGAGGGGCAGTCACCTGCCTCTGGCCCACCTGCTGTTGCTGTTGCTGTTGCTGCTGTTGCTGCTGCTGCGGCTGCTGCTGTGGCTGTGCCCCAGGCTGTGGCAGCTGTTGCTGCTGCATCTGTGGCTGCTGCGGTGCTGCTGGTGGGGGTTGCTGCTGCCCTGGGCCAACGCCCCTCCCTCCCATTCCCACCGCTCCTCCACCCCTCCCTGCGCCTGCCGCTCCACCCATCTGCCCTGCTTGCCCTGCTTGCACTGACTGTGCTCCCGTTGCCTGCCCACCCCCAGGCTGACTCCTGACTGCACCCGCAGGGGGCGCGGCAGCAGCAGTACCAGGGGTCATGCCTGCAGGGCTTGTGGTGGCAGCAGGTGGTGCAGGGGGGGCAGATGGAGAGGCAGTGCTGCCAGGGATGGCAGCTGGTGGTGCAGAGGGAAGCTGCTGCCGCTGGGGCTGCTGCTGTTGCTGTTGCCCTTGCTGTTGTTGTTGCGGTTGCTGCTGTTGCCCTTGCTGTTGTTGTTGCGGTTGCTGCTGCTGCCCCTGCTGCTGCTGCCCTTGCTGCTGCTGCTGCTGTTGCTGTTGCTGCTGTGGCTGCGTGTAAGGCATCTGTGCTGTTCTCATAGCAGGCCCCCCCTGTCCTTGCTGCTGCTGCTGCTGCTGTTGTTGCTGTTGCGGTGGCACATGGGAGTGCTGCTGGGCTGGCATGGACTGTCCATAGAACCCTCTGCTCTGCCCCGCCCCTGCATCCACAGCCCCACCCATTCCTCCCATCACCGCGCCCATACCTGCACCCCCCACTCCACCGCCCATGCCCCCTTGCCCACCCATCGCCCCCCTAGGCCCCATTCCCATACCTCCTGCACCCATCCTTCCTGCCATGTGCCCCATTCCTACCGTGCCTGTCGGCGAGGCTCGGGGAAGCTGAGGTGGGCGAGGCGGATATGCCTGGCCTGCAGCACCTGGGTGCATTCCCCGGACCTGATGGTGAGGCCTGGGAACAGCATGGCCTCGCATGTGAGGGAGGCTTGGGCTTCCCGGACCTGCCACCGAACCTGGACTGGGGTAGCCTACTCCCGGAGCTACCTTTGCAGCTCCGGCAGCAACAGGCATGGGAGGCATGGGGGGAGAGGTAGGGCTAGGCCCAGGGCCAGTGGCGGCGTATCCCGGACCTGCTGGCCAGGTTCGGTCCATTGCTACAGGCTGGGAGGCAGAGCCTGTGGGTGCTGAAGGAGGTTGGGATCTAGGATGGGCTATGCCTGCTACAGACGGTGACCCTACAGAGGGGCTCATTGCATGGGGTGTGACTGTATGGGGCGGAGTGACCCTGCTGCCGGGAAGGCCATGGGGGGAGGGCGTATGTGGGGAGGCGGCATGAGACGGCATGGCATGGGAAGCGGCGTAGCCTGCATGAGGAGGAGGAGGGGTGGCATGTGGGGGACCCATGGTGTTCCCAGCAGCTGCTGCTGCCCCGTTTGGCCCCCTCCCCATGCCTGCTGGTGCCACACCCCGCCCCATCCCACCCATCCCTGCCATCACCCCGCCACTGCCAGCAGCAGCAGCAGAGGGGGCAGCACGCGAAGCCATGTGGTGAGGCGGGGGCCCCACTCCTAGTTGACCCCCCCCCCCACCACCGGCTGAACCAGCAGCAGTGGCAGCTGCAGCCACACTACCAGGGGGAGCGGAGCCGGCAGCAGCAGCAGCGGCGGGTGGAGGGGGCATGGGTGGCAAGCCTCCTGCGCCCCCAGGCGCCCCAGCAACCCCACCCTGCCGCGCCCCTGCTGCTCCCGCTCCCCCTGCCCCCGCTTGGCCCACCACACCCACCCCCCGCCCGCCTGCCATCCGCCCCCCTCCCCCTGCTCCCGCTCCGCCTGCCATCCCGCCCCCTGCCGTCCCACCACCGCTACCCCCACTGGCAGCAGCACCGGCAGCGCCGGCAGAAGCGGCGGCGGCGGCGGCAGCGGCGGCGCGGTCGCGGGCGGCGGCTGAGTTGGTGCTGATCTGCGTGGCGGGGTGCATGTGCTTGGGCAATGGGATGACCTGGTCCTCCATCATGTGCCACCCCTCTCGTTGTACCTGTAGAGCGGCCAAGGGCAAGGGGAGAGCAAGGGCGAGATTAAGAATGAGCGGCAGGTAGAGGGGAGTGAGAGAAGAGGTGGAGGGGAGTGAGAGAAGAGGTGGAGGGGAGTGAGAGAAGAGGTGGAGGGGAGTGAGAGAAGAGGTGGAGGGGAGTGAGAGAAGAGGTGGAGGATATCGAGTGAAGTGGGAAGGTAGGGAGGAACGGAAGGGGGATACATAGAAGAATGGGGGACATGGAGAGGAGGACAAAAAGGAGGATGAGCAAAGATGGAACGAGGGGCACCATGTGTCAGAACAAGCAAGTGCGCGATCAGAACAAGCCCGCAGGTTCCCCCATGAGAGGAAGGGCGAGCAGCAAAAAGCCAGAGCGAGGGCCAGTGGAAAAAATATGGTGGAGGGGCGGCATGGTGGAGGGGCGGCATGGTGGAGGGGCGGCATGGTGGAGGGGCGGCATGGTGGAGGGGCAGCATGGTGGAGGGGCGGCATGGTGGAGGGGCAGCATGGTGGAGTGCGACACACGTACCACTCGAACATAGGTTCGCGCGAAGCGATCGGCGTACTCCTGGAAAAAGGGGGACGGGCAAGGAGATACACGGAGGCAAGACAGTTGGGAGTGGATTAAGCAGACGATGTGGGCCGGGTCATCTGGAACAGGAAGAAGCTCGTGGTGGTGCAATCTCATCTGTATGCATGTGCATGTGTGTTTGCATGCGCGCGCGCGTGTGTGTGTGTGCATGTGTGTTTGCATGCGCGCGCGCGCGCGCGCGTGTGTGTGTGTGTGTGTGTGTGTGCGTGCGTGCGTGCGTGCGTGCGTGCGTGCGTGCGTGCGTGCGTGCGTGCGTGCGTGTGTGTGTGTGTGTGTAGGTGCGTGGGTCCATGCAAATGTGAGGGAAGGGGAGAGGGCCATGAGAGGGCAGCTGAGCGCACGGTGTTGGGCATGAGGGGAAGCTGCTGGTCGCGGCGCAGCGAGATGCTCGACCCGCCCGCCCCTCCTCCCGCACCGGCAGCATCGGCGTCACCATCGGCGCCCTCCTGTATGATTGCCTCCACACACTCGTCCTTCTGCCGCCCCCTCATCACCAGCCGCTGCTGCATGCGCCTCACACCTGGTTGTGCGCAGAGGGGGCAATGTGGAAGGGAGAGGAGGCAGCATGAGGGTAGTAGGGGCAGCGTGAGGGAGAGAGGTAACAGAGCGGGGAGGGGAGAGAAACGAGAAGGGAAGGAGACCAGGCAAGGATGCTTGAAGCGGTTCCCCTTGTGCCGCAGCAGCCTTAAGGAAGCAAGTCGATTCTCGTGAAGAGGCACACACAGACCTTGCGGGTTGGAGTCGAGGCGAACGAAGGTAAGCCCGCGCATCTTGGGCGCGTTGACGTTGACGCCCGCGGTGAGCAGCGAGAAGCGCAGGCTGCGCTTGCCCTTTGGCTCCGCTGGCTCCTCCCCCCCGCTTGCTAGCGCCTGTTGCACCAACGCCGGGTCCGGGTTGCTGCGCTTGGGCGGTGGCAAGACCTCGGGGGACGACGGTGCTGGCGGATACAGGCCGTTGCTGGTGGGGCGGGGTGGATGCGGGGAGAGATGGCGCAGAGACGGGGAGAAGAGGAGGGGACAGAGATGGTATAAGGGAAAGGAAGAAGAGGGAAGGTGGCAGAGGAAAAGAGGGCGGACGGAAGGAGAGAGAAAGGGGAGGAAAACAGGTAACAGATTGGAGGAAGAGAAGGAAAGCGGGGGAAAAAGTTGAGACCGGATTTAAAGTCCACACATTTATAAAGAAAGACCACAGCAGACAACGCATTACACTGGAACCTGCCAAGCCCGTCAGAAAGAGAGCAGGCCAACACAACAAACATCCTACACCCCAACGCAACACACCAGAAATGTTCCTGGTAAGCGCAACCAGACATGTGGTTTGACTGAGAGAGCACGGAACACCTACCTCTCAATGATTGATAGCAGAGCTTTCAACGCCCTCTTCGTGTCTGCTGGAGCAGCGACAGCTGCCTTCTGCTGCTGTCCCGATGAGCCAGCAGCAGCAGCAACCGCGGTGGTACCAGCTGCAGGCGCTACAGCAGCAGCAGCAGGAGGTTTTGGTTTGTCCCTGTCATCAGGTGCGCCCTCCACCACTATGCCACCCGGGGGCCCTGATGGTGCTGCTGCCACCACTGCCTTGCGCCCCTGCTCGCCATCCGCCACCTGAGAAGGAGGTATCATGCCTGCTGCTTGCTGCTGCTGCTGAATAGGCAGGCTGGGCCGGACCTGTTTGGCTTCAGGTGGCGCCATTACAACCGCACGTGCAGCCATACCTGCTGCAGCAGCAGCAGGCGATGGTGCTTCAGGGGGCAAGGGAGGGCGTATCAGCAGCAGCAGCAGCAGCAGCGGTGCCATCAGGAGCACCTGGTTGCACGGGGTGTGTCTGTTGACCATGTGGGGGTGGTGGCAGGTGCGACTGCTGAGCAATGCCGGGCTTGGCCAGCTGGGGCACTGGTGGGGCTGCTGCCACAGACGGAGAGGCAGTGGCAGCAGCAGCAGCACCAGGCAGGGGAGCGGGCAGGTGTGAGGGAGCGTATCCAGGCATGGGTGGTTGCGATGGGAGTTGGCCTGGCTTGGACTGCATGTGTTGCTGTTGTTGTTGTTGCTGTTGCTGTTGTTGTTGCTGTTGCTGTTGTTGTTGCTGTTGCTGCTGCTGCTGTTGCTGCTGTTGTTGCTGCTGCTGTTGCTGTTGCTGCTGTTGCTGCTGCTGCTGCTGTTGTTGCTGCTGTTGCCGCTGCTGTTGTAGTTGTAATTGTTGTTGCTGTTGATGAGGTGTCAGCTGCTGTCGGTTGCCTTGTAAGAACTGCTGCTGTTGTTGCTGCTGCTGCGATTGCATCTGTTGCTGCTGCGATTGCATTGGCTGCATGCGCTGAGGCACTTGCTGCTGTAATTCTTGCTGCCGTTTTTGCAGCTCTTGCTGTTGCTGGAATCGCTGCTGCTGTTGCTGCTGTTGTTGTTGCTGTTGCTGCTGTTGCTGCTGTTGCTGCTGTTGTTGTTGCTGTTGCTGCTGTTGCTGCTGTTGCTGTTGTTGCTGCTGTTGCTGCTGTTGTTGTTGCTGTTGCTGCTGTTGCTGCTGCATTTGCTGTTGTTGCTGCTGCTGTTCCCTTTGCTGCATCTGCTGCTGCTGCTGCTGCCTCAACCGCTGCTGGTAAAGCAGCATCTGCTGCTGCTGCTGGAACTGCAGCTGAGCGCCAGCCTCCCCTCCTGCTTCCCCCCTGGGGACAGCGACCCCCACGCCCATCATCTCCGGCTTTACCCCTGCCTTTGCTCCTGCCTGCGCCACACCCACACCTGACCCTGCAGGAACAGACGGCAGGCCTGAAACACCCGCCTGCTGCTGCTGCTGCTGCTGCTGTTTCTGTTGCAGCAGCTGCTGCTGCTGGAGCTGTTGCTGCTGCTGCTCTGTCATGCCGGGCGGCACTTGGGAACCAAAGTCGGACGGCTGGGGGCGGGAGGTTGCAGGGACAGCAGGAGAGGTGGGAGCGGGCGCGGGTGGGAAGGCAGAGGGGGGCAGGGAGGCGGTGGAAGAGCTTCGCTCCAGACTGGGCTCTTGCCTCACGCTCGCCCTCACGTCTGCTGCCGCTACTGCTGCTGCTGGCACTGCTGCTGCCCCTGCTGTAGGTACCTGGCCAGGGTAAGCGGCCTGGCCTTGCCTTTGCTGCTGCTGTTGCTGCTGCTGCTGCTGCTGTTGCTGCTGCTGTTGTTGCTGCTGCTGCTACTGCTGCTGCTGCTGCTGCTGTTGCTGCAGCTGTTGTTGTTGCTGCCACTGTTGCTGCTGTTGCTGTTGTAACTGCAGCTGCCGTTGCTGCTCCTGTTCCTGCTGCTGTTTCAGCTGCTGCTGCTGCAGTTGCTCCTGTTTCTGCTGCTCTAGCTGCTGTTTCTGTTGCTCTAACTGCTGCTGCTTCTGCTTCTCTAGCTGCTGTTTCTGCTCCTCCTCCTGCTGCTTCTGCTGCAGCAGCAACTGCTGTTGCTGCTGCTCCTCCTCCTGCTGCTTCTGCTGCAGAAGCTGCTGCTGCCTGCGTCTCTGAAGCTCCACCTGCTGCTGCTGGAACAGCGACATACGCTGTTTCCGCAGCAGGGGCACAGGCATGGCATGGGACACCCCCGCATCAGCCCCACCAAACTCATCCAGCGATTCGTTCTTATCCTCCCACCCAGCATCCAGCCCTCCATCGAGACTCTCCTCCAACCCCCCGTCCAACCCCCCATCCAAACCCCCGTCCAGCCCCCCATCCAACCCCCCATCCAGCCCCCCATCCAATGCATCATCCACCCCACCCCCGTCGCCCCCAGCACCCCCCTGCCCCTGCTCCAGCTCACCCCCCGCCCCTCCCTCTCCTGCCACACCCAGCAATGCTGTGCCGCCTCCTGCTGCACCCGCCCCTGCTACGGCCGTGCCTGCCGTTGCAGCTACTCCCCCGAATGCTCCACCCAGCAGGCCTGCACTCATGAGCAGGAACTCATCTGCACCCATCTCCACCTTTCCACCACCAGCACCAGCAGCAGCAGCAGCAGCGGCGGTGGCGGCGGCGGCTACAGCACTGCCAGCAGCACCAGGTGCAAGCTCAGGAGCCCGAGCAGCGGCGGCGTCTGGTGTTGCTGCTGCATCTGGTGTGGGGGCAAAGGCGTCACCAGGGCCTGCCACAGCGGGTGGGAGCGACCCAGGCAGGGCTCTGGACGTGCCGGCGGCAGCAGCAGCAGCGGCGGCGGCTGAAACAGCTGTAGCAAGAGCTGGAGGGAGGGTGGGGGAGAGAAGGGTACCGTCGCCCTGCTTCGCCCCAGACAGGCCATACCCCAGCAGACTGTCAATCGATATCTCAGGCATTTGCTGCTGCTGCTGCATTTGCTGTTGCTGTAATTGCTGCTGCAACTGCTCCTGCTGCTGCTGCTGCTGCTGCTGCTGCTGCTGCTGCTGCTGCTGCTGTTGCTGCTGTTGCTGCTGCTGTTGCTGCAATCGCTGCTGCTGCTGTTGCTGCAATTGCTGCTGCTGCTGTTGTTGCAGTTGCTGCTGTTGCTGTTGCAGTTGTAGCTGCTGCTGCTTCTTCTTCTTCAGACTCGACTTCTTCTTGCCTGCTGCCTTCTCCTGCGTTTTTGTGGACATCCCCTTTTCGTCAACCAGCAGTGTCCCCCCCTTCACCCCCATCTGCTTCTTTGCCTTCTTCTTTTTCTTCTTCAGCTTTTGCTCTTGCATAGGAGCCTTACCCTCACCCAACCCCTTCTTTGATTTCTTCTTTCCCTTCTTCAACTTGCTTCCTCCCGGTGCTTCTGCAAGAAGTGAGAAAGGGAGGGAGGGCGGGAGATGGAAGGAGGAACGATGACGCAGAGAGGGCAGAAACCCTGTCAACGAAACAAACACAAGAGGCCCCAACCCTCATCAAACCACACCCACACGTGCCACGGCACCAGCCAAGCCATCCCCAGCATCCCAGCCCATCTCCCTCGTTCCTCCTCGTCAATGCTTACTTCGTTTGGCAGACCCCTTCCCATCCCCTCGCTCCTCGTCGTCGTCCTCCTCCTCCCCATCGCCCTCCGCCACGGCATCCCCCGCCACGGCGCGGCGCAGGGGCGAGAGGGGGTCCCAGGCGGGGGGGAGGGCGAGGCGGCGGTACTTGAGCAGCCCGCGGTGCCGTGAGGCGGGCGGCACGGCGTTCAGCTTCGCCTTGTGGAAGTGCTGCTGCCGCGCCACCTCTGCCACCCGCGGACTGGGGTCCAGGCACAGCGCCGGCTGCACTGCCCTCAGGATGCGCGCCTCCACCTCCTGGTGTGGTGTGCGGTGCGGTGCGGTGCGGTGCGGGACGGAGGGAGGGACGGAAGTAGGGAGGCAGGGAGGAACGGGAGGGAGTAAGGGGCGACTAAGATGATACCACTGCACTGCACTGCACTGCACTGCACTGCACTGCATTGGCCTTGTGAATGTGGTGTGGTGCCTCGCCACCTCTGCCATGCACGGGCTGGGGTCCAGGCACAGCGGCGGCTGCACTGCCCTTAATATGCGTGCCGCCACCTCCTGGTGTGGGGGAGGGTGGGAGGCATGGGGGGAGGCAGAGAGGGAGGCAGGGAGAGAGTGGGGAATAAGACAATCTTGCTGCATTGAATCAACCTTGTAGGCACAGGGGACACTACCAGCAACGAGCAGCCCCCATACACGTCCTGTCACCACTCCGCACCCACCAGCATGGCCTGCCACCACTCTGCACCCACTAGTACGCCTTTACACCACTCCGCACCCACCAGCATGGCCTGCCACCACTCTGCACCCACTAGTACGCCTTTACACCACTCCGCACCCACCAGCACGCCTCTCCACCGCGAACAACCCACCAGCATGTCCTGGTAGGACCAGGAGGCATCAGCCATGGCGGCGACGTCCTTGGCAATGCTCTCAGACGTGGGTCGCAGCACCACACGGCACGTCCTCACCGGCCCCTCGCCCGCCCGCCGCCCCGCCGCCTCCACTGCTGCAGCGGTGGAAGCCCCCGGGGGGATGCGCGCCATGCTGCCGCCCAGCGCCGCTGCCAGCTCGCGGTAGTCGCGCACCTGGGCGCATGGGGGGAGATGGGGAGGACAGGGGGCGTGGGGAGTGGGGAAGAAGGGAGGGGCGCATATAATGTGCGTGCATGATGCATGGTTGCATGGCTGCATGGTGGATGGTGGATGCTGTATGCTACATAATGTGGGAATAGTTGAGCTGAGGTAGAACAAAAGTATCGCACTGCTCCGACTTGCAGCGGCGTGGGAGCAGCGAGCGGGGGCGCACCTCGCAGGCGACGCATCCGTTGCGGTAGATGCAGGGAATGTCGTGCAAGAGGTCCCCCGGCAGATGCCCGCTGTCGATTGCCTGCACACACGCACGCACAACGCAACGCACCAGCGCATGCAGGCATGTATGCACTGCAGGTGAGTCGCATGGAGGAGGACGGCCAAGGTAGCTCGCAATGAAACTCAAAATGCCCACAATGGTTGATGATTGCTCTACCTGAAGCCCGAAGCAAGAAAGTTAGAGCATCAGACAGGCAGAGCGAGGGTAGTGCAGAAGCGGAGCATCACACAGGTACGCAGAGGGCACTTGCGCGCGTGTGCGTGTGGAGTCACCTGGAGGAACGACTCAGTGGAGCGGTCGTACGGGTACAGCTTCGCCACCAGCGCTTCCGGTAGGCGCGGTGGGGGGCGGCCGTCCTGCGATACATTGGGCCACGCGGAGACGGACGAAGAGAGAGTGCAATAGCGGGGATATGATTGTGCAATGCAATGGACGCGGACTGGAAATGTAACACTCCGTAAAAACCACTGGGCCTAAACGGTGGTCGTTCAGAGGCGCAGCGGTAGCGTTCTAACCCTTCGTAACCCGCAGGCGTCACTGAAACGACTAACCGAATAAACGTCCAAGTGATTGCTGCTTGCAAGATGCGGAATTGAGAGTGTGGATGACGGTCACGAACCTGACCTACAGGTTCGACTTGTGATAAAGAGCGGAAGCAGGTAAGTTTGCGCATTACGCGGGCCACGTAGCGGATCGCACGGAGTTGACCTAACGAGCCAGCAGTGTAGAGTCTAGCGCTTCCTACACCGCGGGATCGTACACACTGCAGCTGCGTCGAACCTGCGTGGGAACGTCGATGGAGAAACCTTCGGGAAAGATGTTGAGAGCGAAGGAGCAGGGCATTTCGCCCACCACGCCGGGCTCCCACGCTCCTCGCCCTCCACCTGACGCTGTCGCCATGGACACACCACACCAACTCCTGCTCTTGAGTCGTTCCCCTGCAACTCCAACTTGCGTAGCAGTTACTGAAAGCTATTCCCAGAAAAGTAGCCGCACGCGAATGCACGGTCACGTTCGAGTAATAATAGCGACGATCAGAATATAGCCGCGCTGGACATACGAGGTTCTAGCGGCCCGTTCTTGGCTGATCGTGGTGAGGCGACTGCCCCGAGCGTGAGTGTGGGTGTGCAAATTGACAACGGCGAATACCACTTAGGATAATTCCCAATTTGTGTGTTCCAGTTGAAGAAAGTACAAAAGCGGCAGAATCATACGTTACGAACATCAGAACGAAATTTGCAGAATTCGCAATCCAGGAAAACCTATCCCTTATTGCTCTTTATTTTATGTTAATGTTGAAAGAAAGGCATTGTAAGGGAGCTGAATTTGTACTCCCTTGTATAAATCATTTCGAGCTCAAATCTGCAATCGCGTCCGACAATGGCGACGAAATCATGTGTTGGCGTGAAACACACGTGCAGGCCAGACGAGCCCAGCTCTCCTGCTGAGCTGGCTGATTGATCGATTCCAGCATGGCAACACGTCACCTGCAACGAGTGTCAGAGCTCTCGGTCTCGCAATCAGTTTCCCGCCAACCTGCTGGGTTCTATCAACTTTGTCAGGGCATCCTCGAACAAAAAGGCAGTGAGCACGGCATTCTTTAGGCTGATTTCCTTCGCAGCAACTGGTCATCGCTTCATTTTTCGAATTTTGTAGTTGTAGCTCCTGCATACTTGCCTTCCGTTGCCACTCATCCCATTTCGTCGGCCTTTGCACGTACTAACAACGATTACTGGGTTTCGATCTACCATGGAATCACCAGTCTGGATCGTGCACAACAGACGACATCTCTCGTGCCACTGATCGCCTCGCAATGGCTGGCTGACAAAAAATGGAAAGCGAGCAGAGAACCAGCCATGGCATCGCTTTCACAGTCACACACGACGGCATTGCTTCGGCCGGAAGCATTCAGAGGGCGACATTACCCTGAGCGGCATCCTCCCACCCGGCATCTAGTCACACCGTTCCTTCGCCCTGACTTTCCACCGATTCTCCCTGCTGCACCATCCCCCTTCTTCCTTACCGCGCCGCGCGTCCCCGCGATCGGCGGCTATGGAAGAAGCCGGCGGGTGGCAGTGTCGTCCATTCTCACGCAGCGGGATGGGCTGGCGGACGTGGGAATGGATGCGGGGAAGGCGCAAAGGGCAGCGCAGAGGAGCGAGGCGACGAACGCGGCGAGGCAGGGAGGCGGCGTGACGGGAGGGGGAGCGCAGATGAGCGGAATGCAAGGAGCAGTGGGAAGCGGAGATCAGGCGGGGGATGGAACGGAAACCGCAGTGCAACGGCCAAGTGCGCAGCATCAGCAGCAGCATCAGCAGCAGCAGCAGGAGCAGCAGCAGGAGCAGCAGCAGGAGCAGGAGCAGGAGCAGGAGCAGGCGGAGGGAGCACGCGAGGCGTCAAGCAGCGTGCGCGCTGTGGAGCGCGTTGCCGCTGCCCGCCAGGGCGGGGCAGCCTCGTGGAGACCTCCCACCTCGCTCACACGGATGCCGTCCCTCAACCGAGCCTCGGGCTTCCCTGGGCTAGGGCTAGGCTCGGGTATCCAGGGGCTAGGCTCGGGCATTCAGGGGCTAGGCTCGGGCATTCAGGGGCGCGCGTCAGCAGTGCGCAGCAGGCTGCAGGGGGGAGCGATGGAGGCGGGGAGTCGGCTGCAGGGCCGCGCGTACGGCGTGGGCAGCTCCCTTCACGACACGGCCGCCGTGGTGGGCGGAGCGATCCAGGGCTGCGCCGTGGAGGTGGGCGGTGCGATTCAAGGCAAGGCGGTTGCGGTGGGCAGCACGATACAGGACACGGCAGTGGTGGTGGGCGGTGTGATCCAAGATAAGGCGGTGGCAGTGGGCAGCACGATACAAGACACAGCAGTAGTGGTGGGGGGGGCGATTCAAGACAAGGCGGTTGCGGTGGGCAGCACAATACAGGACACGGCCGTGGTGGTAGGCAGCAGGATTCAGGGCAAAGCGGTGGAGCTGCAGGAGAGAGCGGTGGAGGTGGGTACGAGCATCCAGGACAGGGCGGTGGAGGTGAGCAGCACGCTGCAGGACGTGGTGTCGGAGGTGGGGCAGGTGGTGACTGAGGTGGGCGTGACTATACAGGAGAAGCAGCAGGAGATCGCCAAGGTGGTGCAGCACACGGCGGAGGACGTGGAGAGGAGCCTCCCGCCCCCCGCGCAGGGGGCGCTGAGGACAGCGGGGTGGGGCGTGCAGGCGGTGGTGAGCGTGGTGGCGCCCGTGCTGGAGCGCATCCCCGTGACCAAGGGGCAGCTGGCGGGCGCGGCCGTGGTGGTGGTGCTGTTCATCAAGGCCGTGGAGCAGTGGTGGTACCAGTTCCAGCAGGACTCACGGTGAGCAGTGGTGGTACCAGTTCCAGCAGGACTCACGGTGAGCAGTGGTGGTACCAGTTCCAGCAGGACTCACGGTGAGCAGTGGTGGTACCAGTTCCAGCAGGACTCACGGTGAGCAGTGGTGGTACCAGTTCCAGCAGGACTCACGGTGAGCAGTGGTGGTACCAGTTCCAGCAGGACTCACGGTGAGCAGTGGTGGTACCAGTTCCAGCAGGACTCACGGTGAGCAGTGGTGGTACCAGTTCCAGCAGGACTCACGGTGAGCAGTGGTGGTACCAGTTCCAGCAGGACTCACGGTGAGCAGTGGTGGTACCAGTTCCAGCAGGACTCACGGTGAGCAGTGGTGGTACCAGTTCCAGCAGGACTCACGGTGAGCAGTGGTGGTACCAGTTCCAGCAGGACTCACGGTGAGCAGTGGTGGTACCAGTTCCAGCAGGACTCACGGTGAGCCGAGGGGGGGGACGCGCATGTGAGGGGCGTGAGTGAGGAGGTGAGGTGACGGTGGAGCATTTGGGTGAGGGATGGTGTCACTGAAACGACTAACCGAATAAACGTCCAAGTGATTGCTGCTTGCAAGATGCGGAATTGAGAGTGTGGATGACGGTCATGAACCTGACCTACAGGTTCGACTTGTGATAAAGAGCGGAAGCAGGTAAGTTTGCGCATTACGCGGGCCACTTAGCGGATCGCACGGAGTTGACCTAACGAGCCAGCAGTGTAGAGTCTAGCGCTTCCTACACCGCGGGATCGTACACACTGCAGCTGCGTCGAACCTGCGTGGGAACGTCGATGGAGAAACCTTCGGGAAAGATGTTGAGAGCGAAGGAGCAGGGCATTTCGCCCACCACGCCGGGCTCCCACGCTCCTCGCCCTCCACCTGACGCTGTCGCCATGGACACACCACACCAACTCCTGCTCTTGAGTCGTTCCCCTGCAACTCCAACTTGCGTAGCAGTTACTGAAAGCTATTCCCATAAAAGTAGCCGCACGCGAATGCACGGTCACGTTCGAGTAATAATAGCGACGATCAGAATATAGCCGCGCTGGACATACGAGGTTCTAGCGGCCCGTTCTTGGCTGATCGTGGTGAGGCGACTGCAGGGCTCTCGCTAGGTTTTTGGCCTGTCTGACATTATGTCTAAAAAAAAAAAATTCGTCTTACGCTCAGACTGGCGTTTTTTTTTTTGTCTGACCTCTAAGATGAAACATCAATACTAGTCTGAAAAAACAGATGAACTATTCTACGGGCCCTAAACTACTCTACAAGAATTCTACACACTACAAATTAGAAACTAGGCATCATTAAACCATTCTACGGTTTAGTCAGACTCGCTGCCACTATCATCATCACTACAGCTGTCTAGGCTATCAGACGGCACTGGAATAGGGTAGTTGGCTTTCCCCTTGCGACTGAGCCATGGGAACTCTGCATCCAGCCTGGCTGCTTCTGCTACTTGTCACCGAATCTAATGGTGAGTGCATCATATTCTGGACATTTGCTAATTGAGGTGTAGTAGTGCTGTAGCAATTGCTATTCAAGCTATAAAGGGGGGGTAGTTGGGTATTGGGAGAAGCGAAGGGTTGGTGACATTGGGGGGCGCAGGGCGCTGCGGGAGCAATTCCAGGGACATTGGGAGACAGGAAATCTGGCGAGGGCCAATCCAAGGCCTAGGCGGCTCGGGCTCAACCCATCACGCTGAGAATTGCGCGACTGGGTAGCAATGCACAAGAAGCCTAGCCTAGCAAAGCAATCTTGTTCTCTCGACTTGTTTACCTATCATAGCGGATTTCTGTTACCGTACTCAAGCTATCGCAGCTAGGTGACTAAGCCGCTCTTGGTAGCCATCCTGTGGGAGCCCGCACTCTCACAAGTCGAGAGAAGTGCGCCGGCGATATGGATCGCCATGAGCTGCGGACGCAGCGTACGTACTCGCGGCGGGAGCGCTCTCCGTCGCGTATGAGGCGCTCAAGGGAGCGCGGAAGGTCGCCAACACGCTCGCCGCGGAGGGCAGCGTATCGTGCGGATCCGGTGACGCCAACGGGCGTGCGAGGAGAGGGAAGCGGGGAGGATCTGCGCGTCAGATCGGAGCCTTGGAGGCGACCCGCAACGAGCAACCCGTGGAACCTGGCGGGAGGCCAGCACGGACTGGAGGAAGGGTATCACGATGGAGACGTGGAGATGGAATCGACGGGCGAGCTCGATGATGAAGAAGAGGGGGAAGAGCCCCCGCTTGTTCCTGGTCGCGGGAGACGAGGCATCGCTCGCGGGGAAGGATTTCCTGCTGAGCAAGGCGGCGGAAGACGTGGCGACGCCGGCGACGAAGAGTCCCCCACTGCGCGGGGCGGCGGAAGGCGCGGCGTCACCGACGACGAGGGATCCCCCACTGCGCGGGGCGGCGGAAGTCGCGGCGACGCCGGCGACGAAGATTCCCCCACTGCGCGGGGCGGCGGAAGGCGTGGCAACGCCGGCGACGAAGAGTCCCCCACTGCGCAGGGCGGCGGAAGGCGCGACGTTACCAACGACGAGGGATCCCCCACTGCGCGGGGCGGCGGAAGGCGCGGCGTTACCGACGACGAGGGATCCCCCACTGCGCGGGGCGGCGGAAGGCGCGGCGACGCCAGCGACGAAGATTCCCCCACTGCGCGGGGCGGTGGAAGACGCGGTGACGCCGGCCACAACGGGTCACCCACTGCGCGGGAAGAAGGGAAGCAGGGGATCAACAAGAGGGATGAGGAAGAGCGGATCCGCCAAGGAAAAGCGCGAGAGGAAGGCGAAGAACACCGGGAAAGAGAGCTCTCACCTGCAGGACCGCGCGGAGGAGTACGGCGAGGGAGCGGCAGAGGAGAGGAGTGCCGATCGAAGGCGCGCCAAGGAGGCGGGACAAGTCGAGGGGCACTGGTGGGTGTCTTCCACTCACCTGAACCAAGGCCAGGGTATGACCGCCGACGACGCATGGCGTTGGGCGGGGATCGGCACCCGGATCAGGAAAGGCGAGAAGAAGAGCTGGATGACGTGGGACGGCATCAGAGAGCACACCACGAGTGGGAAGAAAGGCGTGGCGGAGAAGGACGCTACAAAGACAAGGGAAGACGTTCACCGAACGGTTCAACAGCAAGGGAAGGAGGTCGGCTGCGAGAAGAGCGAGAGCGGCATCATCAAGGGCGGTCTCCTGCGCAGAGAGAGCGGCAATGGGGCGATCAAGAACGACGCAGGGGAGGTCAGGAAGGGTGGAGGAGGAGTCAGAGCCCGAGTGGAATAAGGAGGCCACGACAGTGTGGAGAAGGATCTAGCGGAGCGAGAGCGGCACGTGAAGGGTTAGAGCGGGTGCTGTATGGGACCAGCACGGAGAGCAGAGGAGAAAGAGGAAAGCAGCGAGGGGCTGCTCAAACAGATCGGGGAGGCTCTGGAAACTGGGATGTGGGGAGATGGAGCGCGACAGCACAGCCAAGAGTGGAGGTGCCCGTACGCTTCACAGGGAACGAAGGTACAGGCCCAAGCCTTAAGAACTACCTGATGCAGATAGGCAACGTCAAGTACAGGTGCGATCGCAGCGGCATGGATCCCATCGACTTCTTCCTAAGCCTGCCAAACACATTGGGAGGGGAAGCAGAAACCCTGTACCGCATGAAGATGGGTGAGTGGCTGAGAAGGGCAGATGAGGACGACGAAGACCCGACGGTATTGTTCTTGGAGCGGCTAAGGAAGCAGTTCCCTGGGCATACGGCAGCGCGCATACGGGAGTTCCAGGAGTTCAGGCGTAGGGATGAGGAGTCGCTGCTGACTTACTATGGACGATTAATGAGCCTGGCGGAAGATGTGGCATGCACGGACAGCAGCATGATCATCAGTAAGTTTCTGAACGGGTTGGACAGGGGACTGGCAGGAGGGCTGAGAATGAGAGTTTATGAGCTAGGGGCGGATGCATCACCAGAAGAAGTGTTCGAGTTGGCAGAAAGGGTGGAGCTGGCACAGAGGAAATACGAGGTGTACCTGCCAAGAGCGACAGAAAGAAAGAATCCCGCTTGGGCAGCAGCAATGGTGGCTGAGACAGGAGGAAGGGAGGAAGGACGGCAGGAGAGAGGAGCGGAGACACGCACCTGCCACCGGTGCAAGCAGCCGGGACACTTGATGAGGAACTGCAGGAATTGTGACACCTGCGGGAAGCCGGGACACCGACGCAAGGATTGCCCAGATGCACCGATCTGCGAGGTGTGCGGGAAGCGGGGGCATAGAGGCAAGGACTGTTACCAGCGCTCGGGAGGACAGCGGAGGACGCCAGAGGATATAAAAGGACAAATCAGCAAGCTGCAGGCGCAACTGCAGGCACTGGGAGGAAAGCCAGAGAAAGAAGCAGGGCTGTATGCGAGGGAAGACGATGACGAGGCAGAGGTGATAGAGGAGCCAAATCCAGAATACCAGTTCATGGTGCTGCGCAGCAGAGATGACCTGGGCCTGCGTAATGAGGGCAGGGACGGAAGGAAAGAACAGATGATGAAAGAGAGGAGGCGGCCAATGAGCGACAAGGAGGAACAGCGGGACAGAACAAAGGAGCCTGGCCGGCACCCAAAAGACAGACTAGCAAGTCAGGCCACGGTGCTCATGGTGGAGCCAGGAGCAGTGATGGTGGGAGGAGAAAAAGCCAAGACAGCCATACTGGACACTGGAGCACAGAGCGTCATGCTGGGTAGGCGGATGGCACAGAAGCTAGGACTAACAGGGCCAGGACAGAGCGTGAAGAAAGGGATGCTGGTGATGACGGCAGAGGGAGGCGAGCCTAAGTGGTTACCCTGCACGAAAACACCCATAGAAGTGACACTATTGCCAGGACAAGAAGGGCAGACGTGTCTCCAAGTGCCATGCGGTATATCGGAGTCGGAAGACTTTGATGTACTGCTTGGGATGGACCTAATATGGGGCGTGGGCATGACCATCTGCACATGGAAGGAGAAGGTGCAGTTTCGGAAGCAGTACTGGACAAAGAATAGTGAGGTGAGGGAGTTACCGGTGCAGTTTGTGAGACAGGAACCTAAGAGGGCATACGCGGTAGGCGAGGCAGGGAGAAAGGAAGGGGGAAAAGCAGGGCTGGTCGGCAAGGCAGCGGCGGCAGGCGGATGGCAGGAACCAATAAGGCTGGTAGAACTGTTCGGAGGCATCGGTGCAGGCTTGGCAGCAGTAGTAAAAGCAGGGATAGCGGTGAAAGAGTGGGTATACGTGGAGAAGAACGAGAAGGCCAGGAAGATGGCTGAACACCACGCCCGTATGCTCCAGAGGGAGAATCCTGAGCTGCTGGAAGCAAAGGTAATAGACAGAGCAATGCGGAGGACAGTGAAGGATGTAAGGGGGATTACGCCAGAAATGGTAAGGGATTGGGGACCAGTGGACCTGCTGGTGGCAGGATGGGAATGCCAAGGGGTATCGAGGGCCGGCAAGGGAAGAGGGATGGAGGACCCCCGAGGAGCGATGCTGTTAGATTTACTGCGCATCATGGACTGGATCAGGGAGAGGCAGGAGAAGTTGGTATACCTGCTGGAGCATCTGGACCTAGAGGGAGACTGCAGGGAGCCGGTAAGGAAGGTGAGGGACCTGGTGTGGAAGAAACTGGGAAAAGGGGTGAGGTGCGACGCCGCGAGGTTGGGGGCACGCGCGCACAGGGTAAGGAGGTACTGGCAGAACGTTGTGCCTGACGAGCAGCTGCAAGAAGAACTGGACGGGATAAGGAGGGATTGGAGCAGAACGGTAAGGGATATCTTGGAACCAGGCAGGACGGCAGCGCCCGTGAAAAAGGGGAGACATGCGACACAATGCCCCTGCAACAATGTGGGGGCAGAGCGCAGAGCATGGCCGACCCTAGTGGCCTATGAAAAGGCAGCAGGGTTTAAGATGGAAGGTGGGGAGCCAGGGGAGGGGATGGTGTATGATCATACGAAGCAGCAGTGGGAAGAACCTACGGCGCTGGAGAGGGAGCTGGCGATGGGGTATGAGGAAAACGCAACGAAGGCAAGTGGGGTAACAGAGCAGGAGAGGAGGCGAGCACTAGGGCAGGCAATGGATGGGCAGGTAATGAGGTGGTTCGTGCGGAGGATGTGGAGAGGGGTAGTGTTGGAAGCGGAGCCAAAAGGGGAGGAACAGATGCGAGAGTTGCAGAAAGTGGGGGCATGGGTGAGCTTACCCGTGAAGGAGGCAGAATGGGCGATAGGAGACACCATGGGAAAGGAAGGGAAGAAGGCACTGCAAGCAGTGCTGGCCAAGTACAGACATGCCTTCGCCTTTACACTACAAGAGCTGGGGAAATGTACGGTGAAAGAAATGGAGCTGAAGCTGACTACAGATGAGCCGGTGTTCCAGAGGAAGAGGCGGATGGCCCCGGGGGATGAGGATGTCTGCAGGGAAAAATGCAAGGAGTTGCTTGAAGCAGGCCTGATCCAGAGGTCGGAATCAGAGTATGCCACGCCTACAGTGATAGCTGCAAGGAAGGATCTTACGGGGGAGGTGCTGAGCAGGCGCATGTGTGGGGATTACCGAGCGCTGAACAAGCTGACCGTGCCTGACAGGTACCCCATGCCAACAGCAGAAGAGATCTTCGACAGACTAGGGGAGGGGGAGATATTTAGCACGTTAGATCTTCGGCAGGGCTTCAATCAGATCAGGATCAAGAAGGAGGATGTTCGCAAGACCGCATTTCACGGGGCGGACGGTTTGTATGAGTGGCTGTTCATGCCTTTCGGGCTGCGAAACGCATCAGCCATATTTCAACGCGTGATGGATAGTGTATTGCGGGGGCTGGAGTGTGCGGCATGCTACATAGATGACGTGGTCATCTTCAGCAAAACAGAGGAGGAACATGTGAGAAATGTGGAGCGTACCTTGGAGGCGCTGGTAGCGGCAGGACTGACCTGCCACCCAAAGAAGTGTCGGTGGGGGGAGGCGACAGTGCAGTATCTGGGGTATGAGGTGAAGGGAGGCCAGATAGGGATTCATAAGGCTAAAGTTGCGGTATTGGACCGACTGCAGCAGCCCAAGGACAGGAGCGGATTGCGGGCGGTGCTGGGGTTTCTCAGCTACTATCGGCGCTTTGTGCCCAATTTCAGCAAGCGAGCAGTGGCGCTGAACTCCCTGTTAAAGGAGGACAAGAAGTGGGAGTGGGGAGCAGAGCAGGAAGGGGCGCTGAGGGATTTAATGGAAGCAGTACAGACAGCAACAGTGTTGCAACTGCCACAGGCGGACAAGCCCTTTTCCCTATACACTGACTGGAGCAGCCAGGGCATGGGTGCAATCCTCTGCCAGGAGCTAGATGGGGAGGAGAGAGTAGTGGCATATGCGAGCCGGAGCTGCAACCCGGCAGAGGCAAAGTACAGCTCGTATCACGGGGAAGGGCTGGCGGCCGTATGGGCGGTGAAGCACTTTAGGGTGTATCTGCAGGGCAGAGAATTCACCTTAATCACCGACCATCAGCCGCTGCAGTGGTTGATGACACATCAGGGGCTGACGGGGAGAAACGCGCGCTGGGCGGTCACGCTGCAGGAATATGACTTCAAGATACGGCACAGGCCAGGGAAGACACTACAGCACGTGGACGGGCTCTCTAGGAACCCGCCATCAGCAGAGCCAGTGCATACGCTGATGATGCTGGCCAAGCAGGGGGAGGCGGCGGCAGTAGTGAAGCAGAGAGGGCCGCAGGACGTATGGGAGGACCCGGTGGCACTGCGGTGGATCAGAGGGGAGACGGAGGCAGATGAGCAAGTGGCAGACGGGGTAAGGGCACGAGGACACCATTACCGATGGTACCAAGGACAGCTGCAGCTGCAGTCAGTGGACGGGTGGAAGCTGGTGCCGGCACCACATGAGAGAGAAGGTGTGATTGAGGAGGTGCACAGTAAATTGGGGCATTTCGGGCATGAGCGCACAACTCAGCGGCTGAGGAAGAACACAGTGTACAAGGTGTGGAAGGTAGGCAGAAGGAAGACAGGCGGGTAAAGACAGAAGACAGAGAAGACACAAGAGGGTAAGGGACCAAGGGGAGGAGGAAAAGGGTAACTCCGACATACTGCTGCTGCTTCTCGTGCTGCTGCCTCTGCCGCTGCCACAGCAGCTGCTGCTGCTGCTGCTGCTGCCTCTGCTGCTGCTGCGGATCTTTTTCTATTGCGCTTGCTCTCCCTCTCCACTCCCGGCAGCAGCACATCCTTTGCAGGCCTCCTCTTCTTCGACTTGTGCCACCGCGCCACCAACTCGGGCCACTCCATGTCGTAGGTCAAAAGAGACACGGTCATGAGCTCACCAAGCTTGGCGTCGCACAGGTTCCCTCTCAGCCAGCTCTTGATCACGTTTTGTCTCGAGAATCCGCGTTCGCACTCCACAGTGCTCAGCGGGAGCACAGCTACAGCGATCCACAGGCGGACAATGTTGGGGTAGCTCGTTGTCCAGTCTGGTGAGCTCAGCATGTGCTTCAGGCCCTCCGCAAAGCCGACATCCTCTTGGTGGGTGCTCATGATCGTCGCGAAGGTGTTGAGTTCCCGCTGTGCTTTGGCCCAGTCCACACCTGTAAGAATGGGCGGGCGAAGGAAGAGAAACGGGTGAGACTGATTACATATGTTCACAGACACGGGAAATCATTTTAAAAAACGAAGCATCCTCACGACAAAAGGCTTTACACACTTGGCAGAGTGTCAGGATCGTCGGGATGCTTCTTGTACATGTCGCGCAGAGACTGCAGCCACTGCGCCAACCGCCGCTCGCGCTTTGCCGCGGACTTCGGGTACTGGGACTTCTTGAACAGCTTCGCCCCATTGAGCGACGCGAGATCCTCCAGTCGGTAGTCGAGCTGCTTAATCAGCTCAACCACGAACTCCCGCCCAAGCTTCAAGCAGGCGCTGAGGTCGCCTTTGCTCTTCTGCCCCACGATAGCCTCTTCGTGCAGCAGGTAGCAGTGAGTTGTCGGCGCTCCGGTGGAATCTGGGGCATCGACCTTCACCTCCCGGCACTCCTCCGAAGCATGTTTCGCCAAGAATGGCCCCAGCGCCGCGCCGCCTTGCCCGAACGTCTCGTCCTTGCTGTCGAGGTAACGAGTCCGCAGCAGCAGTGTGGTGTTGTGTACCGTCTGCAGCACATGGGTGGCGTCAATCTGCATAAGCACAACGTAGATAGAAGTTAGAATGTTACCAAACAAAACGGGTGGAGTAAAGCGCAAACATCAACACGTACCTGCCGTGTCTGGAACTTCAAGTTGAGCTGGTTCAGCTCCTTCAGCACATCGGCCAGCAAGTAGAGTAAGAAGTGAAATTTGAAACTCGTCACGGTCTTATACATCTTCTTGTCGAATTCCTGCAGGACGATCACAACAGCAGGGAACACCGCGACGAGTCGCTGGATCGCATTGCCTCGGGAAAGCCACCTCACGTCCTTTATCCCCTGCATCTCGAGATGCGTCTCGCAAATGACCTCTTGGAGCTCCTTGAATCGCGTGTGAACAACGAGGCGCCCGAGAATGTCGACCACGGACCGGACAGCCTTGTCCACAATCTGAAGGTCAGGATACGCGGCTGCTGCATCTTTGGCTGCCAGCGCCTCCCTGCAAGTTTAAACAGATACGAAGTCAGTACACGGTTTATACGCGCATCAATAAACAACCCGGACGAACTTACCTGTGTGCGACACAGTGACACGAAACGAGATGAGGAACCTTCGCGCGCAGGCGCGCGACCAGCCCGTTGTGCTGTCCAGTCATCACTGAAGCGCCGTCCGTGCTCATACCGGAGATGCGCTGCAGATCGATCCCCGTTGTCTCAAAATGCGTCAGCAGGCCCGTCAGCAGCGAGGCGGCATCACACTGCTCGACCGATAGCAGGGTGTAGAACTCCGTGACTGGTAGGTTTTCGCGCAGGAATGTCAGGTAGACGATCATATGCTTCCCGCGCCTTCGGTCCGTGCTCTCGTCCAGCTGGATCCCGAGGTAGGGGCTGGCGCGGATGTACTGCAGCTGACGGGACCGCAGGTATGACACCATGGTTGCCACCAGCTGTGCGAACCCATACCTGCAACACATAAACATGAATAGCCATTAGATTTGTGGAGTAGCAACACAGACACGCGATACGGGATACAATATCTTACTCGCTGTAATAGGTGCCATTCTCCTTCAAGGGCATGTCCGGCGTGCCCTGCTCAGCCATGAATTGCACAAGCGCAACGAACAGCACAATAGGGGCGTCAGATTTGCAGACGAATAATGCGATTGCCATTAGTTTTGCAATTCGCCTGGCGTCGTCGTCCCCCTTGTCGTAAGCGACCATAGTCTGCTGCCCTTTCTTCAGGCCGTCACGTTGTTCCTTCTGCAGGACCGCCGCCTCGTGCTTCACTCTGAAATGATGCTTGCGCATCGTCTGCTTCTGAATGTCGAGGCCGCCCTCACCATAACGGCCGTACTTGTAGTGCGGGTCCCCGAACACCATACAGATGCTGCAGCGCATGCAAGGTCGCCCGTCCTTCGTCTCACTGATGAAGAGCCACGGGAAGTAGCGAAGCCACTGCTCCTTACACTTGAGCTGCAGCTCTTCCACAGTCAGCGGCCGACGTCCCTTCGTTGTGCCCTTCTCCTCGGCTTCGTCATCGTCGTCGGTGGATTGACGAGTGGCGGGCGGGACCGTCTTCGATGGCGCAGGCAACGTCGGACCTGCGGGACGGGCAAAGTTAAGCCGCCGCTGCTTGTATTTAGATTTCACAGAAGCCCTGTCAGGGAGCACAGGGTTAGCCCGTAGATTGGAGGTTGTTGCAACTGAAACGACGGGGCGGATGGATTCACGGCCAGATGCTGGTATACTCGTCGACGTGGGCGTGGTAGCCTTGGGCATGCCACCGTCCGCATTTTCTTCGGCCACAGGGTCTGGGGAGGCGTTGTCCGCTGGTATGACCCGGTTTGAGCACGAGGCAACGGGGGGTGCAACGGAGCGGTGGGCAGCACGATACAAGACACAGCAGTAGTGGTGGGGGGGGCGATTCAAGACAAGGCGGTTGCGGTGGGCAGCACAATACAGGACACAGCAGTAGTGGTGGGGGGGGCGATTCAAGACAAGGCGGTTGCGGTGGGCAGCACAATACAGGACACGGCCGTGGTGGTAGGCAGCAGGATTCAGGGCAAAGCGGTGGAGCTGCAGGAGAGAGCGGTGGAGGTGGGTACGAGCATCCAGGACAGGGCGGTGGAGGTGAGCAGCACGCTGCAGGACGTGGTGTCGGAGGTGGGGCAGGTGGTGACTGAGGTGGGCGTGACTATACAGGAGAAGCAGCAGGAGATCGCCAAGGTGGTGCAGCACACGGCGGAGGACGTGGAGAGGAGCCTCCCGCCCCCCGCGCAGGGGGCGCTGAGGACAGCGGGGTGGGGCGTGCAGGCGGTGGTGAGCGTGGTGGCGCCCGTGCTGGAGCGCATCCCCGTGACCAAGGGGCAGCTGGCGGGCGCGGCCGTGGTGGTGGTGCTGTTCATCAAGGCCGTGGAGCAGTGGTGGTACCAGTTCCAGCAGGACTCACGGTGAGCAGTGGTGGTACCAGTTCCAGCAGGACTCACGGTGAGCAGTGGTGGTACCAGTTCCAGCAGGACTCACGGTGAGCAGTGGTGGTACCAGTTCCAGCAGGACTCACGGTGAGCAGTGGTGGTACCAGTTCCAGCAGGACTCACGGTGAGCAGTGGTGGTACCAGTTCCAGCAGGACTCACGGTGAGCCGAGGGGGGGGACGCGCATGTGAGGGGCGTGAGTGAGGAGGTGAGGTGACGGTGGAGCATTTGGGTGAGGGATGGTGATGGAGCATGACACATGCACTGAGCTGCGCCCTCTCTGCCTGCATGCCTGCTCACCTCGCATGCATGTCCCGCCTGCTCACATGCCCACCCGTCCTTCTTCCCTCCCTTCCTCCCCGCCATGCTCGCAGGGGCTCTACGCACTTTGACATACCGGAGCGCATCCGAGTGGAGGCGCCGTCGCCGCTGCCACCCCCCTTGAGACATCCTTCCCTTCCTTCTCCCCTCCTTCCTCCGTCCTGTGCTGGCAGTGGCTCGATGCACTTTGACATACCGGAGCGCATCCGAGTGGAGGCGCCGTCGCCGCTGCCGCCCCCGGTGCCGGTGGCGTCCACGCGGCAGCAGGTGGACGTGCGGCGCAAGGAGCCCATGGAATGGGTCAACATGCTGCTCCGCAAGGTCAGTCCACCACGGTCAACTCCGGTGTCAATGCTGGTCAAGGCAGGTCAATGTCGGTCAAGGCTGGGTGGATAGGGACAAGTGCTGGATAGGACCTTCTGGAAGATACTGTTGAGCCCGTGCAAGACCACACATTTGCTCTCTAACCCACACATGCCGAAGCCCCCCTCCTCTTCCCCCCAGGGATCCCGCACTTACCACACGGGGCTGGATGAAGCGGTGGATGGTGGGCATCCTTCAAACAGGTGGCCGTGTGGTCGAGGCTCTCAAAGTGTGGCCTCACAAACACACAAACACTTCCCCTTGCCCCTCCCCTCCCCCAGGTGTTCCGCATATACCGCACGGGGTTAGAACGGTGGATGGTGGGCATCCTGCAGCCGCTGATCGATGAGGCGCCCAAGCCACGCGGCGTGCAGCGTGTGCGCATCAAGCAGTTCTTCCTGGGGGACGAGCCGCCCTCGCTCCGGTCCATCGAGAGGCGCACCTCCCGACGCGGCAACGACCTGCAGTAAGTGCGGTGCTGTGCGGTAGAGCATTAATTCAGAGTGCTAGTCAGTGGTTTAAAGGTGTATGGCGTGCATCAAGCAGTTCTTTCTCGGGGACAAGCCGCCCTCTTTGAAGTCCATTGAGCGCCGCACGTCCCGACACGGCAATGACCTGCAGTGAGTGCGGTGCTGTGCGGTAGAGTAGTGGTGCAGTGCGGAGTGCGGTGGTAGTAGGCGGTGCTGTGTGGTACCAGGATGGAATGAGGCTGTTCTTTCTGGGCCCAGGCCCCTGTACCTCCAACCCATCCCTATGCCCATCCCCATCCCCATCCCCATCCCCATCCCCATCATCCCCCCTCACCTCAGGTACCACGTGGGGGTGCGGTACACAGGAGGCATGCGCATGCTGCTCGAGGTCCCAGTGGACATCAGCATGGGCCTGTCAGCCATCCCGCTGACAGTGCCCATCCCGGTGGGAGTGCGCAGCTTTGACGTGGACGCGGAGGTGTGGGTGCGGCTGAAGCTCATCCCCGTGGAGCCGTGGGTGGGCGCGCTCACGTGGGCCTTCGTGTCCATGCCCAAGGTCAAGCTCACGCTCGCGCCCTTCCGCGTCGTCAACCTCATGTGTACGTGCTGGGGGCGCTGGGGGGTGGGGGTTGATGGGGGGTTTGACGGGGTTGTGATGTGGGTGGGTGGGGAGCGGGTGATGGTTATGTGGTGGATACATTCGACGATGGGGGCATGTTGCGTGGGTGGATGCCATGGTGGGTGCATGTCATGAGCCATATGGGGGGTTCAATGTAGAGGAAGTTCCTATGACAGTGCTCTAACTCTCAGGGTCATCCACATGCATGGAGGCGTGTTTGGGTTGGACTGTGCCTTCTCTTCACACTCTGCGTGACTAACTTCTGCTGTGGATGCAAGCCCATGCCTGTAGCCTGGCTGCCCATGAGGGCCGCTGTCTAGTTCAAGTAACATCCCACTCTTTTCCTTTCTTTCTTTGTGACACCTGTCTGTCTTTCCCGTGTGTCCATGCACCATACTATCCATGCCTCTGCACTCCCTGTCGGTGCCATCGCCATCACCACCAGCAATCCCCTTCCTCTCAAGGTCAGCCCCACAGGGAAACCTCGTAATGGCTTGCATGTTCGCGTCGTTTGTTTCAGATTCGTTCACTGCCTTTCACCCTGCATGCTTTCCCATCCGCTTCCTGTGCTGCAACCCATGCATGCAGCTGTTGCACTCTCCTTCCCTTTGTGCTCTTCGCCCTGCTCCCACCCACTTTCCACACTCACCTCACTCGCAGCCCATTCCCATCACTCCCCTCTATTGCTTTCCTCGCCTCTTCTCCACTATGCCAATGCCAAGGCATACCCCTAACCTAACCACGGGCATGCTGGCCCCACCCCACCACAGCAGCCCGTCCCAATCGCCTACCACACCTACCACCACAACCACCAACCTCCCAAACGACCGCCCGTGCTGCCTCCCCGCACTCCTCCCCTTCTCCCCTCCACCCTCCCCCCCTTCTCCCCCCCAGGTACCTGCAGGCTTTGCTAACGGAGGAGCTGCCGGCGCGCTTCCTGCGGCCCAACAGCAAGGAGGTGGATCTGCTGAAAGACCGCCCGCTGCCGGCCGACCCCGAGCAGCGCGAGTTCCGCGAGGGGCAGGTGGCGGGCGCCACACTGGGCTTCGCGGGGGAGCTGCAAGTCACCGTCATCGCCGCCCAGCGCGTCATCCACCTGCCCCTCGGTACGGCCTCCTTTGTCATGTTGTGGAGTCACTCGTTTGTAGACTGCTCGTTGCAGTCACACTCGGTGGAGTGGTGAGGCGAGTCAACGGATCACCTTCCGCACTCCACGCTCTGCTCCTCGCCCCCCTCGCCTCCTCAGAGGGCCACCCTTACATGTTGCTCTAGCTGGGGCAGCGGGAAGCTCACAGCAAGCCATGGCGGGTGGAACCCCCCCTCTCACGCCTGTGCCATCACCCGCTGTCACTCCCCCCACCAACCAGGCGACAGCGACCCGTACGTGGTGTTGGAGTTTGGGGCAGCCGGTGATTCACAGGCAGCAGCACAACAGCAAGCCATGGCGGGTGGCCCTCTCCCTCTCACCCCTGTAGCCTCTTTATCCTTTCCCCCCCTCCCTCCCCCAGGTGACAGCGACCCGTACGTGGTGTTGGAGTTGGGGCAGCAGGTGGCGCGCAGCAAGCGCAACAGCGAGACGTCGCTGGTGGGCCCGGCGGGGTACCCCATCTGGAACCAGGACTTCGTGCTCCTCGTGCTCGACCCCTCCCTGCAGCGCCTCTCCGTCACGCTCAGGGGCTCACTCGGACTCTTCTACGTTGACTTTGGCCACGGCTCGGTGAGGAGGGGGGGGGGGAGGTGGGAGGGGGGAGGGCACAATGATGAAAATGGGGACACGGAGAGAGAATGAGGGCTGGTTGAGGGGGGCAGGGCATGGTGGGGGTGGGGAGGAGGGGAGTGTGGAAGGGATGCAGGGCGCAATGAGCTGTGTGCGTGGAATGAGCCGCTGCATTTGGTTCTCTCGTTGGAAGCCACCTGCCCTGCCCCTCTCTGCCTTCCCTCCTCTGTATCCTTGCAGTTGTGTGGACTCAGTGCCAACGGACTTGTGGATGCTGCTGCTTTCCCTCACTGCGCTGCACACCCCTTCCTCTCTCTTACTCCTCTTTGCCCGCCTTCCTCTATCTTGCCTCTCCTCAATGCTGCCCGTCCGCTGACCCCCCCCAGGTGCGCTTGGACTCGTTACAGGACACGGTGCCAACAAACGTGAGGGTACTGCTGCACCACCCCCTCCCCCTGCCAACTCATCTTTATCCTACCTCCTCTATCTCGCCTCTCCTCTACGCTGCCCCTCTGTCTCCCCCTGCCAGGTGCGGCTGGACTCACTCCAGGACACGGTACCAACGGACGTGTGGGTGCCGCTGCGCCTGCGCCTGCCGCTGGGGCGGAAGGCGTGCGGGCGGGTGAAGATGCGCCTCACGTACAAGGCATTCGTTGCAGAGGACGACCAACAGGACGTGGAGACCTTCGACCAGCCCTACAGTGAGGCGGAGAGTGATGGTGAGGGCGCTGACGCGCTCGCTACCATTTCCCGCCTTCGGAAGTTTGTTGCTGACGTGGCGGACTCCGCTGCTCCGCCGGAGCTGATGAGGATCCTGGAGAATGTGAGGGTGGGCGAGATCCCACGTGTCGTTGACCTGGAGCGACTCAGCACTGACGTGGCGAAGCTGTCTGACCTGGCGCGTGCGCTCGAGGTGGCGCTGTTCAAGGACGTGAACCGATTGTCGGAGCTCCCAAGGCTGTCGGATCTTCCCAAGATGAAGGAGTTCTCCGTGCTTGCTGAGCTGGCGAGCCTCCGCGCTGACATCGAACGGCTGGCGCAGGCGGCTCGTGCGCTGGAGCTGGGCGCTGAGCTGGAGAAGCGCGTGAAGGTGGATCTGTCGCGCATCGACCTGGACCTGTCGTCCGTTGATCTGCCCAAGTGGGACGAATGGATGGCTGTGCCGCGCCGCGCCCTGCCCCAGCCCAAGGACCTGGTGGAGCGATACCGCCTGCTGCTGCCGGATGCTGAGGCCAGGCGGCGACAGCGGGAGAGAGAGGCGAGTGCGGAGAGAGGGGACGAGGAGGGTGATGATGGTGATGATTTGGATGGTGGGAAAGGGGGTAAGGGACAGGGGAGTGGGGAGGGGAGAGGATGGTGGAGGAAGTGGAGAAGTGGAAGGGGAGGCATGGAAGGGAAGGGGGGGCGGGGAAGTGCTTCAGGAGCGGTGGGGCGAGGTGATGAGTTGGGGCGAGGGGAGAGGGGAAGAGGGGGAGTGGAAGGAGGGAAACGGGACAGGGGGAATGGAAGAGAGCGAGTGAGAGAAGGGATGCTAAGCGGAGAAGGAATGGAGGATGCAAGAGGAGGGGAGAGGCCATCCGAAGGGAGGAAGAAGATACGACGGGTGACTCCAGCAGTGGTGGCGGAGGGAGGGGGCAGGAGAGCTGCGGAAAGGAGAAGGGCAGAGGGGCAGCAGGTGGGAGCAGAGGAGGGGGCGTTTGATTGGAAGGAGGCATTGCGCGTGTTTGAGGGCGTGTGGGGCATGATGGACGGTTCGCCCTCCGTGCTCCCAGGCTCACTCTCCGACCCCCCCGGCTCCTCCACTCCCCGTGCAGCCTCTGCAAGGCAGATCACGTCTCTGCCGGATGCCCCGGTGTTGAGTGGGCAGGCGCGCTCAGATGCCCCTTCTCGCATGCCCTCTGGTGATGCGCGCACAGGGGGAGCCGGGGCGGAGGAGGGGAGTGAGGGCGTGGGGGAGGAGAGGGGGGAGCGCGTGGTAGCAGCAGGCAAGTTGAGAGGGAATGCGGTGGGGGAGGGAGGGGTTGGAGAGGGGCGGGATGGGAATGGGAGGGTGGCGGTGAGTGGAGAGAGGCTTGAGATGCGTGCGAGTGGAGGGGAAGGGAAGTGCGAGGGAGACAGTGGGGTGAGCGGGAATGGCAGTGTGGCAGAGGGATTGATTAGTGCTGATGTGGATGGGGAGGATGCCAGCATGGCAACACGTGCAGCTGAGTCAGCAGCAGTGCGCATGGCAGGACGAGGCAAGGGGTAGATCTCGCCCTCCCTGCAGTCTGCTGGTGGCGGGCCTAGTGGTGACAGGGGGGAAAATGGAGATGGGCAGAATGAAGGAGGGCACAGTGGGAGTGGGGCACTATCAGCAGTGGAGGGGCGAGGGGTAGAAGTGGAGAAAAGGGCGACGGATGGAGGTTCAACCAGGGGAGAGAGGAGGTGGTGGGAGGTGTGGAGGTGAGAAGTTGGGGAAGAGTAGGGAGGAGGAGAACTAGGGACGGGGAAACAGGGTTGGGAAGACGCCGGGGTTGAACAGGGATGGAAGGGGCTGTAGGATGAGCGGAGGATGTTCTGCATTTGCGTTTATCTGGACGACGTGGTGTTGTGTGGTTGATGATCAGGAGGAGGAGGACTGGGGGAACAGAGCAGGGAGGAAGGACGTTGAGGTGGTTGGGAAGGCTGGAGTGTACGAGGAGAGGGCCAGGACGGGACTGGAAGGGGAGATTGGCAGGGGAAGAGGTGGAGGTGGCTGTGGTGGTCTCGGTGTGGCATCAGGGCTCAGGTAATCATGGTGTAGCTGGTAGCACCTGCTGGCACCTGCTGGCACCTGCTGGCACCTGCTGGCACCTGGTGGCACCTGGTGGCACCTGGAGGGACCTGGTGAAGACACAGAAGTCTTCAGGTGTGTATAGATGGCTCATATTTATGTAGGTATATGAATTATTCCCATGCGTTGCGCCACATGCTTATAGATTTTGGTGCCCCATCAATGCACGAGGTGTCCTAGTGCCAAGTACTGTTTTGTTGTAAAAGCAATGTGAATGTGAAAAGAAAAGCATGGCATAGTACGCTGAAATACGGTAGTTGTGGTTTGATGCTGCCACTACCTGTGTGGAACAATGGCAGAAAGGCAACAGCACTATCCATGCATGGACTCCACGTTGTATGCAATGCGTGTTTTTTGTTCGCCTCAACATAAGGTGTATTAGTCAGCTCTTGGATTAAGGTTTGATGGAAATAAAACGGTGTTGCAGTTCTGAATAGTGAAACGTTCTGGCCAGCTACTACGGTATCAACTTCTGATGTTATCGCAGCATTTTAAAGGGTGGTCATCTTTCCGACCAAGCCGCACCACAGGCGTCCTGAGGACGCGTCACTATTGATTTTGCACGATCAGTCGTGGAAAATCGATCGTCCGCCGCACTCGAAACCTTCTTGTTACACTGAAAATATTTCAAACAGTTCTTAACTCCGGAAAACCGACCCGCAGCAGGATCGCTCGAGCAAAAATCAAGACGTTCATGGTCTCATCAGTCGTGCCCGAGAGACCTCGAGGACGACTTTTACCCCAGCTGAGCCAACAGCATTGAAAAGCACAGAGAGATATGAACACTTCGTAAGCAATTTGAAACACGGTAGCAGGTTGCTGCGTGCCTTTTCAAAGCAACGCTGAAGCAAGTCGGTCCAAACCATCTGTCATCGAAGGCGGCAGAATGCTGAAAAACATGTCCGAGATAGGAGCAGACGCATTTGACGAGACTCCTCCGGTTCCCCAATCCGTGATTTCTCATCAAAATTCAAGCGGAAATGCTGACCTTGGTGAGCTTCGCACCAATCATTCAGCTTATCACACGGCTGACGGGATGCAACGACGGAGCGATGGAGCGGACCTGTTCCGCGTGGTGATCGTTGGTGCGGGCCCAGCAGGTCTAGTCCTAGCGAATCACCTGCTGACACGTGGCGGTGGTAGGTTCCACGTAAGTGTGGTGGAGAAGAGCGAGGACCCGCGAAAGAAGGTGGAAGAGGCAGTGGAGGTCGCGAGGAGGTGAGCTGATTGCGTTGGGGGGAGTGGCAGGGTGTAAGGAGGGCGTTGGGCAAAGAGTGGGGGAATGTGGGTTGGGTGAGGGGGCAAAGGAGGGGGTGGGGAAATAGGGAGGGGGATGGCGGGATGTGAGCCAAGTGCTTGCGTGCGGGGTATGGTTGGCCGATATGAGGATGGTACGTACCAACAAAATCGACCAGGAATTATCAGTCACGTACCCATCACTCTGCCCCATCGTTTTCCCTCCCATCCCCTTCCCCCACCTCTCATGCTCACATCGATTCTCTCCCTTCCATCTCCACCGTAGATATTCCATCGGACTCAACATCCGAGCGTTCCGATGCCTGGATGCCGTCCCTGGGCTGCTGAACAAGGTAGGTGCGTCGCGGTAGAGTGGGTCACGCAACAAGACCTCACGTGCGTTGAATGAGCGACTGTGCCATTTAATCCCACCGCGCCTTCACGAATGAAATGCTGCCTCCCTCCGGGTCGGGATGCCCCTCCATCGCCTGAAGAGGGAAGCTGAGTACAAAGCAGAGGGGCTTCAAGTTCACTCCATAGCACATATGCAACCGCTACGTGCGGGTACTCTTACTCCTTGCAATTGCCTCGAGAAAATGTTTTACCTGGCGCCCTGACTTTCCCCTTTAGGTCGTGCTGTGCGCGGCCCTGTCGTGGCTTCACTGCTCCCTGCGCCCGCCACCCACCATCAGGTGCTGGCGTGCATGGTTCCCGTGCGCCAGCTGTGCGTTGGCATCACTGCCAAGCCATCAATCATCCATTTCACTCACAAGGTCAGCCCAGTCGCTTCCCATGCATGCCCCTTGCAATGAAGCCTTTTGACCCTGTTCGTCCCCTTTCATCCCCTTTCATCCCTTTCCATGACCAATCACGTGTTACCACCAGAGCCTTCAGACCATCAAGCATTTGCCCGTCCGTCCGTCCTCCCCCCTGCCCCCTGCAGGACCCGCCAGTGCTGCTGGCTGATCGCACGGCCCTCTGCCATGCCCTGCTGCACGCGCTTGTGGGCGAGGCTGCGCACGCAGAGGTCCAAGCTGGGGATAACGAAGAGCATGAGGGGGAGGGGAATGGGGAAAGGCCAGTGGGGGATAATGGGGAGAGTAAAGCGGAGATGCGTGCGAGGGGAGGAAGGGAGAGTGTGGAAAGCGAGAATGGTTCAGGAGATAGTGCGGGAACGCGTGGCGATGGGTCATTACGGGGAGAGTTGGAGCTGTACTTCAACACGCGGTGCACAGGCAGCGACACCACGGCACACACTGTGACCCTGCAGCCTGCCCAGGGGGAGAATGCTGCGCACAGCACCCTCAGCTATGACCTCCTGGTACTCACAGCGCCTTCCACGTGCTCCCTATCCTGCCTGCTCCTCCACCGCACCCTGCATGTGCAAGTTCATTTGCTTCATTGCGCCAACATCTCTTTTTTCGTGTGTTGAGTGTCCTTCATGTCAGGTGTCATATCATAAGATCATATAAGTGCATATCATGTCATCTCGTATCATTCCATCCCATCCCATGCCATCCCATGCCATCCCATGCCATCCCATGCCATCCCATCCCATGCCAATGACAGGTGGGGGCGGACGGGGTGCGCTCCATCGTGCGGAGCACACTCATGAGCAGCACGCAAGATTTCGCCATCGAGGCACTACCCCTCTTTGGGGAGTGGGTCGTCGCCTCCATCCCTGCCCCCACCTCCCTCCCCCCCAACTCTATGATTCTTGTTCCACGGGTAAGTGGTAACCGTGTAACTGCATGCCTTTAAAGCTTTTGTATACATTTGCTTCTACTGTTTAGGGTTGTACAGTAGCCAGGGTACAATTCGCCAGAGCGAAACATCGGAGGTTGGCGAGAGGCTTGGCGAAAAATTGCACCCCTGAGGAGTTCCTAACACGGAAAACTCCCGTCACCCAACCTTGCACTCACGCGTCTATTCCGAAGCATGCTAAGCGTCTAATAACGTAGGCTACGCATAGATAGAGGAACCGGGGCGCAGCAACATAATATGCGGAGCATCAAAACCGCCCAGTTACGGAACGGGTGAGAAGAGTTTAGGTACATTATAGGCTTGTACGGTCGGAAAAGGACCATCTAACTTGCCCGCCAGCTACTTCCACCGTAGCGCCGTGCATCAATCCGACTCGAAGACGGAAAGGCCCTGCATTCATTGAGCGCGTCGTGTTCAGCAATTTCGTCTGGCCCGTCTAAGCCCTGTCAAGGGCGCCTCGACGGGATGCATCTCCACCCAGGGATTGATCATTAGGGGTCGACGAGCGAATCGCACAGTTCCATTCGCCGTTCGCCACGCCGCCACTCTCTACACCCGCTCGGTAGGCATTTCCCACTTAGCGCCTCACCCACTGCTCTGGTTTCCCGGTATGGAGCCTCGCGAGGCTTAGCGCCTCGCCCTCTGCGCGCCATGCCGCGCAGAGTATCACTCGCTGCGCGCCTCCCCCGCTTAGCGCCTGACCCGCTGCGCGCCTCCCCCGCTTAGCGCCTGACCCGCTGCGTGCCTCCCCCGCTCAGCAAGTGACCCGCTGCGCGCCTCCCCCGCTCAGCTCCGCACCCGCTGCGCGCCTGTCCCGCGTAGCGCCTCGCCACCTGCGCGCCGTTCCCGCGTGTCGCCGACACCCTCTCCCGCTTAGCACCGCACCCGCTGCGCGCCTTCCCGCTTAGCGAATCCCCTTCATATTACCCCTTCAAGCCCTCATTTCCCCCCCCTGCTGCTTATCACTACTCCCACTGCTCCCCTTCATTTCCCCCCCCTGCTGCTTATCACTACTCCCACTGCTCCCCTTCATTTCCCCCCCCTGCTGCTTATCACTACTCCCACTGCTCCCCTTCATTTCCCCCCCCTGCTGCTTATCACTACTCCCACTGCTCCCCTTCATTTCCCCCCCCTGCTGCTTATCACTACTCCCACTGCTCCCCTTCATTTCCCCCCCCTGCTGCTTATCACTACTCCCACTGCTCCCCTTCATTTCCCCCCCCTGCTGCTTATCACTACTCCCACTGCTCCCCTTCATTTCCCCCCCTGCTGCTTATCACTACTCCCACTGCTCCCCTTCATGACCCCTCTTGCTGCTTACCAATATTACAACTGCTCCCCCTCCCCTCCTGCTGCTTATCACCTCCCCCACTGCTCCCCTTCTATTCCCCCCCTGCTGCTTATCACTTCTCCCACTGCTCCCCTTCATTTCCCCTCCTGCTGCTTATCACTCCCCCCACACCTCCCCTTCATTTCCCCTCCTGCTGCTTATCACCTCCCCCACTCCACCCCCTCAATTCCCCTCCTGCTGCTTATTACTTCCCCCACTCCTCCCCTTCATTTCCCCTCCTGCTCTGCTGCTTATCACCTCCCCCACTCCTTCCCTTCATTTTCCCTCCTGTTGCATTTCGCTCCCCCCACTCCTCCCCTTCATTTCCCCTCTTGCTGCTTATCACCTCCCCCACTGCTCCCCTTCATTTCCCCTCCTGCTTCTTATCACTTCCCCCAATCCTCCCCTTTATTTCCCCTCCTGCTCTGCTGCTTATCACTTCCCCTACTGCTCCCCTTCATTTCCCCTCCTGCTGCTTATCCCTTCCCCCAATCCTCCCCTTTATTTCCCCTCCTGCTCTGCTGCTTATCACTTCCCCCACACCTCCCCTTCATTTCCCCTCCTGCTGCTTATCACCTTCCCCCACTCCTCCCCTTCATTTCCCCTCCTGTTGCTTATCACCTCCCCCACTGCTCCCCTTCATTTCCCCTCCTGCTTCTTATCACTTCCCCCAATCCTCCCCTTTATTTCCCCTCCTGCTCTGCTGCTTATCACCTCCCCCACTGCTCCCCTTCATTTCCCCTCCTGCTGCTTATCCCTTCCCCCAATCCTCCCCTTTATTTCCCCTCCTGCTCTGCTGCTTATCACTTCCCCCACACCTCCCCTTCATTTCCCCTCCTGCTGCTTATCACCTCCCCCACTCCTCCCCTTCATTTCCCCTCCTGTTGCTTATCACCTCCCCCACTGCTCCCCTTCATTTCCCCTCCTGCTTCTTATCACTTCTCCCAATCCTCCCCTTTATTTCCCCTCCTGCTCTGCTGCTTATCACCTCCCCCACTCCTCCCCTTCATTTTCCCTCCTGTTGCATTTCGCTCCCCCCACTCCTCCCCTTCATTTCCCCTCTTGCTGCTTATCACCTCCCCCACTGCTCCCCTTCATTTCCCCTCCTGCTGCTTATCCCTTCCCCCAATCCTCCCCTTTATTTCCCCTCCTGCTCTGCTGCTTATCACTTCCCCCACACCTCCCCTTCATTTCCCCTCCTGCTGCTTATCACCTTCCCCCACTCCTCCCCTTCATTTCCCCTCCTGTTGCTTATCACCTCCCCCACTGCTCCCCTTCATTTCCCCTCCTGCTTCTTATCACTTCCCCCAATCCTCCCCTTTATTTCCCCTCCTGCTCTGCTGCTTATCACCTCCCCCACTGCTCCCCTTCATTTCCCCTCCTGCTGCTTATCCCTTCCCCCAATCCTCCCCTTTATTTCCCCTCCTGCTCTGCTGCTTATCACTTCCCCCACACCTCCCCTTCATTTCCCCTCCTGCTGCTTATCACCTCCCCCACTCCTCCCCTTCATTTCCCCTCCTGTTGCTTATCACCTCCCCCACTGCTCCCCTTCATTTCCCCTCCTGCTTCTTATCACTTCTCCCAATCCTCCCCTTTATTTCCCCTCCTGCTCTGCTGCTTATCACCTCCCCCACTCCTCCCCTTCATTTTCCCTCCTGTTGCATTTCGCTCCCCCCACTCCTCCCCTTCATTTCCCCTCTTGCTGCTTATCACCTCCCCCACTGCTCCCCTTCATTTCCCCTCCTGCTTCTTATCACTTCCCCCAATCCTCCCCTTTATTTCCCCTCCTGCTCTGCTGCTTATCACTTCCCCTACTGCTCCCCTTCATTTCCCCTCCTGCTGCTTATCCCTTCCCCCAATCCTCCCCTTTATTTCCCCTCCTGCTCTGCTGCTTATCACTTCCCCCACACCTCCCCTTCATTTCCCCTCCTGCTGCTTATCACCTCCCCCACTCCTCCCCTTCATTTCCCCTCCTGTTGCTTATCACCTCCCCCACTGCTCCCCTTCATTTCCCCTCCTGCTTCTTATCACTTCCCCCAATCCTCCCCTTTATTTCCCCTCCTGCTCTGCTGCTTATCACTTCCCCTACTGCTCCCCTTCATTTCCCCTCCTGCTGCTTATCCCTTCCCCCAATCCTCCCCTTTATTTCCCCTCCTGCTCTGCTGCTTATCACTTCCCCCACACCTCCCCTTCATTTCCCCTCCTGCTGCTTATCACCTCCCCCACTCCTCCCCTTCATTTCCCCTCCTGTTGCTTATCACCTCCCCCACTGCTCCCCTTCATTTCCCCTCCTGCTGCTTATCCCTTCCCCCAATCCTCCCCTTTATTTCCCCTCCTGCTCTGCTGCTTATCACTTCCCCCACACCTCCCCTTCATTTCCCCTCCTGCTGCTTATCACCTCCCCCACTCCTCCCCTTCATTTCCCCTCCTGTTGCTTATCACCTCCCCCACTGCTCCCCTTCATTTCCCCTCCTGCTGCTTATCCCTTCCCCCAATCCTCCCCTTTATTTCCCCTCCTGCTCTGCTGCTTATCACTTCCCCCACACCTCCCCTTCATTTCCCCTCCTGCTGCTTATCACCTCCCCCACTCCTCCCCTTCATTTCCCCTCCTGTTGCTTATCACCTCCCCCACTGCTCCCCTTCATTTCCCCTCCTGCTTCTTATCACTTCCCCCAATCCTCCCCTTTATTTCCCCTCCTGCTCTGCTGCTTATCACTTCCCCTACTGCTCCCCTTCATTTCCCCTCCTGCTGCTTATCCCTTCCCCCAATCCTCCCCTTTATTTCCTCTCCTGCTCTGCTGCTTATCACTTCCCCCACACCTCCCCTTCATTTCCCCTCCTGCTGCTTATCACCTCCCCCACTCCTCCCCTTCATTTCCCCTCCTGTTGCTTATCACCTCCCCCACTGCTCCCCTTCATTTCCCCTCCTGCTGCTTATCCCTTCCCCCAATCCTCCCCTTTATTTCCCCTCCTGCTCTGCTGCTTATCACTTCCCCCACACCTCCCCTTCATTTCCCCTCCTGCTGCTTATCACCTCCCCCACTCCTCCCCTTCATTTCCCCTCCTGTTGCTTATCACCTCCCCCACTGCTCCCCTTCATTTCCCCTCCTGCTGCTTATCCCTTCCCCCAATCCTCCCCTTTATTTCCCCTCCTTCTCTGCTGCTTATCACTTCCCCCACACCTCCCCTTCATTTCCCCTCCTGCTGCTTATCACCTCCCCCACTCCTCCCCTTCATTTCCCCTCCTGTTGCTTATCACCTCCCCCACTGCTCCCCTTCATTTCCCCTCCTGCTGCTTATCCCTTCCCCCAATCCTCCCCTTTATTTCCCCTCCTGCTCTGCTGCTTATCACTTCCCCCACACCTCCCCTTCATTTCCCCTCCTGCTGCTTATCACCTCCCCCACTCCTCCCCTTCATTTCCCCTCCTGTTGCTTATCACCTCCCCCACTGCTCCCCTTCATTTCCCCTCCTGCTTCTTATCACTTCCCCCAATCCTCCCCTTCATTTCCCCTCCTGCTTCTTATCACTTCCCCCAATCCTCCCCTTTATTTCCCCTCCTGCTCTGTTGCTTATCACTTCTCTTCTCTGTGCGTCCTCCCTCCCACCCCCTCTCTCCATCCCCCCCTTTCACCCTTCCACTCCTCTCCCCGTCCATTCTTTCCCTTTCCCATCTTCTTCCTATCCCTCCACTCCCCATCCCCTCCTCTTCTCATCACCTCCTCTCCCTGCCCCCTCTTCTTCACATCCCCTCGTTCTCCTGTCCTCTTCCTGTCCCTTCCTTCCTCCATCCCAGCGCCCCTTCCCTCCATGTCCTCCCCTCCTCCTTCCTTATTCCTTCCTGCCACCCTTTATCCTCCCACTGCTCCCCTTCATGACCCCTCTTGCAGAATTTGCGCTGGCTGTTGAGTCGATGTGCTTAGCTACGTAGCATGCCGGCTGAAGAGCGTGGTGGCGCAGATCTCACAAAGGCTCGATTTCGTATACTTTTGTCGATCCAAAAGTTTTGAATCACCAGCAAGTGCTGGGTGTCGGGGAGATCTCCCTCCCTTGTTCAGCGAGTGAACTTGCAGGTAATCGAGTTACCAATATTTCAAATTTCAAAAGTTTTGAACCTCCCTCTTTCAAATGTATACAAAAGCATTATAGGCGCCCCAGGATGTAATTAGGCACAGTGGTGGCATTATGATTGTGGGGGTGGCTTCCACCCACTGATGGAGTCTCACAGACAGCATAGCACCAACCGTTTGCAGAGACAGCACGCTGTGTTGTGTTGTGTTTTGCTGCCTCCTTCCCCTCTCCCACACCCTTCTCAACCCCCGCTTCCCTGCTCAACCCCCGCTTCCCTGCTCAACCCCCGCTTCCCTGCTCAACCCCCGCTTCCCTGCTCAACCCCCGCTTCCCTGCTCAACCCCCGCTTCCCTGCTCAACCCCCGCTTCCCTGCTCAACCCCCGCTTCCCTGCTCAACCCCCGCTTCCCTGCTCAACCCCCGCTTCCCTGCTCAACCCCCGCTTCCCTGCTCAACCCCCGCTTCCCTGCTCAACCCCCGCTTCCCTGCTCAACCCCCGCTTCCCTGCTCAACCCCCGCTTCCCTGCTCAACCCCCGCTTCCCTGCTCAACCCCCGCTTCCCTGCTCAACCCCCGCTTCCCTGCTCAACCCCCGCTTCCCTGCTCAACCCCCGCTTCCCTGCTCAACCCCCGCTTCCCTGCTCAACCCCCGCTTCCCTGCTCAACCCCCGCTTCCCTGCTCAACCCCCGCTTCCCTGCTCAACCCCCGCTTCCCTGCTCAACCCCCGCTTCCCTGCTCAACCCCCGCCTCCCTGCTCAACCCCCGCCTCCCTGCTCAACCCCCGCTTCCCTGCTCAACCCCCGCTTCCCTGCTCAACCCCCGCTTCCCTGCTCAACCCCCGCTTCCCTGCTCAACCCCCGCTTCCCTGCTCAACCCCCGCTTCCCTGCTCAACCCCCGCTTCCCTGCTCAACCCCCGCCTCCCTGCTCAACCCCCGCTTCCCTCCGCTCCTCCTGACCCCGCTGATGCAGGTTCCCCGCACTCCTGGCATATCGGTGGTGGGGCTGCCAGCACAGGGCGGCAAGCTTTGTCTCTTGTGGACGTGGTCGGCGTTGACACGGCCCGCTGAGTGGTTGGCGCTGAGAAGCAATGATGCGGACAGGGAGGGCCGTGAGGTGGGGAGGACGGACGCACGGAAGGATGGGGAAAGCGTGGGTAGCAAGCAGGGTGTCACTGGTGCAACGGAGAATGCAGCGGGTGAAGGGAGTGTGGCTGGATGCAGTGCAAATGCAGACAGAGTGGTTGAAGCAGATGGGGAAGGGGAGGAAGGGAGGGAGAGGGGAGAAAATAAAGGGGTGCAGGTGAAGCAGGAGGGCAGGAGAAGCAGAGCGAGGGCATACATTGAGGAGAGAGTGCCGTGGCTGGGAATGACAGAGGAAGGCGCGGAGACTCTGTTGAGCCAGCAGCCACGCACAAGCATGAGGGTGAGGCGGGTGCTGTGAGAGGCAAATGGCCCTTCTCTCTTCCCCGTTGCTCTGTTTTCCACCCCTTGCTCCCGCCCGTCTCATCTCTGAGCATCCCCTTTGGATTCCAAGCTTCCCTTCACCTGTTCTCCTCCACTTATATCCCCTGCCTCTCTCCCCTCCTAACCTTCTCCTCCCTGCCCCCATTCCCACTCCTCCTCATCCCATACCTGCACCCTCCCGTCCTGACCCCCTGCCCTCCCCCATTCCCGCACCACACCTTCCCGCAATCAGATCAAGTGCTGGCAGTATCACGACTCTGCCGCCCAAATCGCTCTAATCGGCGACTCAGCACATGCCACGTGTCCATCCCTGGGCCAGGGCTGCAACGCCGCCATTACCGATGCTACAGTGCTTGCCCGGCTGCTTCTGGGGGAGGTGGTATGCAGGGATACTCTAATTCCTCCATACACAGAGGAAACCACCTGGAAGCTGCTTCAGAGCGTTTGGGGCAGGGAAGGAAATGAAGGGGTGGATTCAGGGAGAGAGGTGAAGGGCGGTGCTAAGGGGTCTGGTGTTCTGAGCAGGTTGAAGTGGTCCTTCAGTCGTTTGGTCCAGAGCTTATCACGGCTGACAGGGTTGGGGGGCAGAGCGGCACGAGAGAGAAGAGCTGGCGGGGGGGCAGAGGAGGGGAGGAGGGAGGCAGGCGGAGCCATGTGTGCAGCGCCACCGCAGCACTTGCGCACACACCTTGCTGTCATGCTCGCTCGCTACTCTGCTCTTCAGGTGAGAGCCACGGCACTGTGCCCGCATAGCAAAGAGGGCTGAAAGAATGCACCGAAGGTGCCGGGTGCAGCGTTGCTACTTGGTAAGGCACTAGCGTTTCCACCTACTGCTGCCCCTTGATCCACCCTGGTCTGGTCTTGTCTCCTCCCTGCTGCAGGTGCCAGAGGGCCATGCCCTGGTTGACCTCTCAGATGCCGGTGCACCCATTAGCAACCTCTACTCTGTAAGTAAACACTGCGCCAATCGAATGTTGATCCATGTGAGCATGTTGATCCATGTGAGCATGTTGATCCATGTGAGCATGTTGATCCATGTGAGCATGCTGATCCATGTGAGCATGTCCATCCATGTGAGCGTGTTGCTCATCTACCATGCATACGCACATGTCCTGTTCGACTCATTTTGAATTGTCTTTTCATTGTGGACCAGGCACTGTCAGCGATTGACATGATTCTTCGTTCCATCCTTTCCAAGCTGCTGCCTGCATGGGTTGTGTCACCTCCCATCCAAGTCCTTTGCTCCAACACCACCCTCTCCTATTCAACCATACTTGCTCGGTTCCATGGCTGGGTAACAACCATAACTAGTTCCAACACCCATCTCAGACACCAGTGGTATACAAGCCAGAGAAATAGCTTGCTCGACAGGTCTTAATCTATTTATTCACAGTTCTCAACACAGCACTGTCTTCGAAAGACACATGTCAGAATTGCCCCTGATGAATGCTCAAGCGGTCACAGCCAATCTGTCCCACACGAATTGGGTTCAGTTGAGGCCAATGTTGGATGCCGACTGCTAGGCAAAATGGGTTGGCATCTGCACACTATCCAGCCAAGATGATCATGTTTATGCCATTGAAGAACTGAATAAATGTACAGAAAGGGTTATGAAACCTTGATATGGTAGGGGGCTGTGCCTGATGTAGGGGGTGATAAGCAACAATAGAGGACACAAGAATATGCAGTGGGATCATAATTCCATATCTGAGTTGAAAAGCATTTTATGTACCTCTTATCGCGCCACTTGGTGAAGCACGCTATATCCTTAGTGGCAGACACATTCCTGGAAGCGCATAGTGCCTTGCTAGCTATAGCTACGGCTGGGAAGGTGTTTCCCTCGGCCGTCACCGCCTTCCGACGTAGTCTCGCCAGCGCATAACTGCAAATCAGTTGCCGCCTGCACTCATCCCCGCGTCTGCGCTGCTTGCTCCGCCCGGACGAGCGCACGCGGGCTATCCGCCTCTTCCCCCATCTTCCGGCGAGCCGTGCGACTTTCGTCCCCAAACCACATCCACAGCATGGCGTCCGATAAGAAAGGTACCGCGGCGCGCTGCCCTCTTACGATATTGTGCGCCTCGTGGATCGGAGCTCGGCGCGCAGCGTAGAAAGGCAGTGCGGCAGAATTCCGTCTCAAGTTTTCCGCCGTTAGCCTCCCAACCCGTTCATCATGTGCGCTCGCGAGCATTTTGTTCCTCGAATCACGTCCTCTGCTCTATCCCACCCGTCATACCCACTCCCGCCGTACACAATCCCGCCCCATTTCCCCCCGCCATACCCACTCCCGCCCATTTCCCCCCGCCGCCGTACGCAGGCCCCCCATCCGCCAATCTCACTCAACTGTATCTGCGCTCCACTCTCCACGCCTCCCCCTTTGTCCGTCTTCTCCGTCTCTTCATCCTCTCCTTTCTGCCGCTCATTGCACCCGTCCGTTTTCATCCCTCGCTCCCGTCCCCCTGCGTTCTTCACCTCGCCACACCACACCATTCTCGCGTCTCTCTCCCTTCCGCCACCCCTCGAATGTGCCCTCACCTTACGTTGTCTCCGTTCCGTGCTTTTCCCTCCCAATGTCACGCGCAGCCAGCACCGGTTGGTTTGGGGATATGGTCTCGACAATAAGTGACTTCGGCAAGCAGACAACAGACATGGCTTCTAACCTCTACACTCATAGTATGTCCTAGCATGCCTTGATCTCTGAAGCTTCTGGGATCAGTTGTACTTAGGCAGGTCACAGAGCAATAAGCAATTTCAAGCACGTACTCTGTGGCATGTGACCTTGTACGCATATGCAATTCTGGTGCAAACTTGACTTGCACTCTGTCGCCTGATGTGCGCAGTGATCTTTCTTTCAATACTGGTAAACCCCCTTCCTCCTTCGGTGGCAGTGGGCAAGCTGGGCAACCCCACCCTCCTGACGCACGCAGGAGCGGAGGCGCTGTGGCGGGAGCACTTCTGGGCGCCACCGGATGAGAAGTTGCTGTTCTACTTCTACTGCAACCTGCTCACCAGCGTGGGGCCCGTTCCCGGCACACTTGTTGTCACCACTGCGTCCATTGGCTTCCTTTCGGACGCCGAGTTTGAGTACAATCCACTGGGCCGCCCCACAGAGATTGCCAAGAGCCACTTTGTGGTGAGCCAGTATGCTTGTTTGTATCAAGCGTTCGAATGTTTCCCAGTTCGCTTACTGTATGATTGTTTGTCGTAGGCCACTATTCCACTGCACAAGATAACAGGAGTGGCACCTGAAGCCAACCCATCGGATGACAATGAGAAGTACATTCGGCTCACTACAGAAGACGACTTCTCATTCTGGTTCACTGGCTTCATTGCATATGATCAAGCCTTTGCGACTGTCCTTTCTGCGGTGGTCAGTACTTCTCATCCTCTTGAAGCTCTGTCATAGAGCAAGAGCATGGCACAATGTCCATACTGCATATAACTTCCAACTGGTTGTTTTTGGGTGGACGGACTAGCCATGCGAAAAAGTGGCACAACATTGCTGGTCTCCAGTTCCAGTACCGTATGCTTCACATGACCCAATTCTATTTCTGTGAACACACTGTACTTTTACCGTATGTGTAAAAAATACAAACTACCACCACTGGAAACGATAACATTTGATACCTTGGGATGCGGTAATAAAAACAGATCCTGACTTCCACAAGCAGTGCAAGAGTAACAACTCAGTTATGTAGGTGCCTGCACTCTCAGATTGCCACTGCCAAACTTTGTTGTCCACTCTTCATAAGCTTTCAACTCGCTGTTAGCCACAGAAGGGTTGACCCTTTGTAATGCATCTCGAAAGTCCTGGAAGAGCAACCATGACACATGAGATCGCTGCATCTAAGGCCCAAACAGGATGTAACTTGGAGAGGACCTCACCTGAAGACCAACAGGTCTGATATCATCTTTTTCCATCTTGTCTATTCGACCAGAGAGAGCAGCCTCCCTCAACGGCATCATTGCTGCTTCTCGAACAAGATGCCGCATGTCTGACCCCGAGTATCCTGCACAAGAAATTTCCGAATCATAACTGAACCCTGAATGACAGGTTGAAAGAATGCCTGTTGGTAAGCTGACGAACCTTCAGCTTCTTCAGCAATTGCATCCATATCTTCCTCCGATAGTGCCAGAATGTCGTCTTTTTGAAGGAGGTTCCGAACAATCTCTTTCCTTGCAGCTGTGCAGGAGAAAGAAGCAAAATAAGTAAGACATTGCAAACTTGAGCTGTGCCAATCAAACCGCCAGGACTAACCTTTGTTTGGAAGAGGTATATAGAGCCGGTTGGGCATACGCCGCCTTGCTGCTTCATCGAGCTCTTGCGGTCGATTTGTTGCTCCTGCATTGAAACGATTCAGAAAAATTGCCAAGAATAAGCAAAGCTGAAGATTATATAAACCTGGTAGTGGGACCTAAGCTGCACACTCAGGAAGCAGGAACAAGCCATCACTACTTTCACTAATGCCAGCACGACACTTCACAGTGATGCATTTAAAGTTTTAACAGGATCAGTGGGAACGAGGCCATGGAGGAAGAGAGAAAAAAGAAAGGAAAAGGAGAGGACAAGTGAGAGGGGGAGCGACGGTGAAGAATTGAGAGGAAAAGGTGAAGAAAAATCGGGAGGAGAAATTGAATCACAAGGGGCAGCGAGTTCCATTACTAACCAATAACTAGAACGTGTCGATCTCCTGTTCCACATCCCTCCATTTCAATGAGAAATTGCGTCTTCAGCCGGCGGCTGGACTCATGCTCGCCTTCTGATTGACGCTGATCATAAGGGAAGATACAAAAAAAATGAAAAAAATGGGAGACTCGACTAAGCGTTTCAAAGCTCCGGATGCATTTTCGCAATAGGCCGAATATTACCTGTGATAAAAGAGAATCAATTTCATCGATGAAAATGACAGCAGGCTCCTTGCAGCTCGCCACACCAAATAGAGCTCGCACAAGCTTCTCTCCTTCACCAATCTGTCACATGAAAGTAACACGATTTACACAGGCCATGTCATACACCAGCATCCCCTTCTTCAGGGGAATATGCAGGCAAGGAGCCTTTTTCCCAAGCCAAGGCAAGGAGGCCTACTTACCCATTTGCTTGTCAAAGAACTGGCAGATATTGAGAAGAATGTAGCATTTGTTTCACCAGCAATTGCCTTACCAATCAAGGTCTTGCCTGTTCCCTGCAAAGTTGAGAAATACGTCAAGACTTGTCTGGTTCAATCAGTTATTTTGTGTACTACTTCGCTGCCCTGTGTTGAATCTTCAAGCTACTCACCGGTGGTCCATAGAGCAAAAGCCCAGAAACTGGTGCTCTGGTGCCTCGAAATAAGTCAGGTCGCTTCAGCGGCCAGATTATAACTTCAGTCACGCACTGCTTTGCATGCTCCAAACCAGCTGCAGGTCACGAAATAATACTTTGTTAGTGCACAACGTTGTCAAACAAATGAAGCAGCAACGTTACTCACCAATATCACTCCATCTTGTCTTTGTATCTTGTGTCATGATTTCATTGCAAATCTGCTCTATCAGGCGAGGTTCGATGTTCTTAAGCACATCAGGCAGTTGCCCGTCCTCGTCCTGTAGCTCTTCCAAACTGCACAACCCAAGCATCAGCATGAGATTATTGAACCGGGATTGCAACGGCAAAAGTGAAAACTGACCATTTCAAGGTTGACTCGTTCATCCCCGGGTCCTTGGGCGCTGCTTGACGTGGCAAAGTGCCTCCATTTGCTTGTTGTGATGTCCGAACAGGAGAAACAAAGCCGCTACGAACTCCTCTCTTCGAACCTGAGGGATCGTGTACACTATGCTGCCTGGAAGGTGCCCTTGAAGACCTGGCTGATGCACTGTCGATACCTTTTTTCAAGGAGTTCATGGCCTGTTTGAGAGGAAAACGGTGGTGTTACAATCGCAGAACACGTTGTCACAGAAGCAGATTAATGAAGATACACATACCAGCTTCTCGCTCGCTGTAAGAAACGATGACTTGGGCCTTGGTTCAACATCTTCAACATCATCATCTGCCAGCAAGCGGGTTTGCTTGTAACGTTTATTGGCCCGCTGTGGCTTCTTCCAGGAAACATCTTCATCCGAATCTTCTGAAACGTCGTCATCCAACAAAATAGGCCGTTGCTGATTACGTTCCTGCTGGTAGGATGGTCGCTTTGGAAGTGGAGGCAATGAGCTTTTCGGCTGAGCGCTAAGGTTTGATGCATAGCTATTGCGAGTCTTTGCTGAAGGGGGTGCATTCATTCCAGAGGTAAGCTTATCTCGCGGCGTTGCTTCAGTCTGTCCAGAGGAGGCTACAAACGGCAGCTGCTGCTGGACACCAGCAACTGGAACAGCACCTCCTGAAACGGCAATACGCGCATTGTTGCTTGGCTCCTGAAGTGAACAGTAATGAAAAGGCGTAAGTAAGTTATAAGTAGCGAGCGAGCAAGAATCATATTGATGAGTACAACGAAAACACAGACCTCGTCACCTTCCCACACAAGCTCATCGTACGGCGGAAGTCTTGCCAACTTGCTCAGAGAAATGCCGCGCGATGGCTCGTTCAAACTGATTCTAAGATCAGCTTGGCCAGCTTGAAGCAGAATATCGCTGCACAGGTAACTCCCATGAGTATGCGTCAAACTCAGAAAGGAAGGTTATGCTATCTCTATTAACGAAAAAACAGCCGACCTGTCGTCTGAAGATCGGCAAGAGGACAAATGCTGATGCACGTCCGATCGAATGCCACTGAAGTGAGATGCGCTTGACAAATCGCCATCGAAGGCACGCACAGAACCCAAGAGTTCAAGGCATCGGCTGCGGGGGCACTGCAATTCTGACGCGTCACCAGAAGACCGCAGCTCGGAAAGAAGGGAACAGATTCTTGAGAGGCTTGAGTGCAAAGCAGCTTCACTTGCCATGACTGCGAATGGCGATGTGGTGTACTTCTGCTGGTCTCATCAATGTCCACTGATGCTGCTGAGGCGACTCCTAAAACAGGCTTCAAGGATACGCACTATCCGGGTGGAGGCAGGATGTGGATCGAGGGTCGGGTTGATATTTTTGAATTCAAATGGCCACACCATATTTTGGAGTTGGTAATTTCCGTATTATGCTGTAACACCTTTTGTTGCGAAACTCGATATGTTTTCGCTGATTCTGACGGTTACCTCCGTCTCGTGGTGGTCGTCATCAGGCACCTCGTCTCTTTTTGCTCTCCTCAAAGGTTCCTCACTTCCTCTTCCCCTTTCCTTTTCCCAGTTTGTCCTGAGGGGTTTCTCTAGGGCTCTTGATTGGCTGCAGGCAGCCTGCTAGGAAGCCATGGTCCACGTCGCCTTCTATCGCAACTGTGAGTGATAGAAGTCTGGCATGGTTAGCTTTAGATTTTCGTTAACGGCTTGGATCTGGTGTTACGATAGTGCGAACTGCGGCGCGAGCACATAGTTTAACAACATACCCTAATTCTTGATAGCTCTTGTTATTTTCGGAGATGATTTTCAATCGGGTGCCGATTTTCGCATTAGTTTCCTGCTACTAATGGGCGTAGTCATATATTTCTGCATGGCGTGGAACTGCATCTCCTACGAGTATAGTCTTACTCCATGTTTACCTTAGCAGAAAACCAGGATTAGGTGAACGAGACTTGATGGTTGCAGTAATGCTGGACTGAACCCGACCGACTGTCATTGTTTGGTCGAGCAGTGCTTGACCCGATTGTCTTCGTTTGTTTCTGCAGATGGCAAGACCTTTAAGAGGCCTCGTCGTCCGTTCGAGAAGGAACGGCTCGACGCGGAGCTGAAGCTGCTCGGAGAGTATGGTCTGCGTTGCAAGCGTGAGCTGTGGCGCGTGCAGTACGTTCTCTCGCGTATTCGTAAGAATGCTCGCGAGCTGCTCACGCTCGACGAGAAGAGCACTCGCCGCATCTTCGAGGGCGAGGCTCTGCTGCGCCGCATGCACCGCTACGGTCTGTTGGAGGAGAGCCAGAACAAGCTCGATTACGTGCTCGCCCTGACTGTCGAGAACTTCCTGGAGCGTCGCCTTCAGACCCTCGTCTTCAAGACCGGCCTCGCCAAGTCCATCCATCACGCTCGTGTCCTCATCCGCCAGCGCCACATCCGGTACGCATTTGCCCCTAGCCCAGGTCGAGCGTGTTTCTTTGCGACTTCCTGTATCATAAGTCAGAATTCGTGCTATTTTGTGAGGATGTTTTCGTTAGATCGTTGTCCTCAAATTCTTTAGGGCGGTTCCCGTTGTATCGCGTGATTCTCATTCAGACTGCAAACTGACGGTTTGCTAAAAGCGCAGTTTTGCAACTGTTGCGCGTTTTCGTGATCCGGAGGCAAGCTCGCCTGTGTTCTCAGGAACGCAAAATTACGTCTGCGCCTTAAGAATTAGTACGGAATGTGGAGGGCGAGGGGTAACCAGTCAGCCGCAACAAACCCCTTCCCGTACTGTTTTTTATGACCCCCCTAACCGGCCCGCTGCTATGCTCACGACGTGACTCACCTACACCCCTCACAACGTCACTCACCTCTTCAAAGCGACCCTCTTACCTCCTCAGGACTTGTTGCTGCTACTTATAGATTCTGTAGCATTTAAATCTTATTGTTGTGTTACGGTTTGGTGTGTCCTCATGGTTGTGATGTCTTCAGGGTGGGGAAGCAGATTGTGAACATTCCGTCCTTCCTCGTGCGACTTGAGAGCCAGAAGCACATCGACTTCGCTCTGACCAGCCCGTTCGGCGGTGGCAGGCCAGGCCGTGTGAAGCGCAGAAACCTCAAGGCTGCCTCCAAGAAGGGCGGTGATGATGCTGATGAAGATGAGGAAGAGTAAATGCATACTTGATGTAGGACAAGGTGTCCTTGCAGCACAGGCTATGTGAAGTATCATCTGATGTAACACTTTGTTTCATGGCTGAAAATCCCACCATGAAATGTATGCTTTAGTCAGAAGGATTGCACATTGTATTTTGCTTTGGGTCCCTGAATCAGCCTAGCTTCGTTGCTTTGCACATGGCTGCAATTTGTTCTTGTAAATGCAATACAAAGTAGTGAAACCGTGAAGACGTGTGCATAACATAATGGAACCGTTTGAAGAGGAATGTAGATTCCTTGAAACAGTTATATAACGTTTCTGCTGAGCAATCGACAGATCGCGTTTTCTTGATCAAATCCAGTCGCAGGGAATTGCTCAGCTTTGGCTCCCGCCACATTCGATCAGACTCATGAAGTGACAACGCTTTGTAGGCTAACGTGTCGCGATGGCGACGAAATACCAATACCCTAACTTCAAGGAAGATAAAGGTGATCCTGTTCAAACCCGTTATTGGATTGCATTACTGCCATCAACGCATCTTCTCCACGCTATTTTTTCCAAGTTCTTCAAATCCAGATTCGTCTGCATGCTCACCTTCTCCCCGCAAGCCCTACGCGTGCGTCTCGCGTGCTTCTTGTCCTCCCCACCGCCTCCTTGTCTTCGCGCCGTGTCTGCCCGCGTCCCCATGCGCCTTGCTCCTTACTGCATGCTCTGCGCTTTTCCCTTCTCTTCCGCTCTATCTCCTTAGTCTACTTTTCCCCTCTCCCTCTCCCTTCCCTCTCCCGTCCTCTCCACTCTTCCCCTCCCTTCTCTATCAACCACTCTATTCTTCTCTTTTCGTCTCTCGCTAGCCGTTGCACTCAAAAGCTGCTCTCTTCTCTCTTCTTTCCCTCTCTCCACTGGAGTGCACAGAGGAGTGCAGGAAGTTCCTCAGCAACTACCGCGATGAGGAAGGCATCTTCAAGTACATGCGATTGCTGGTGAGCCGCTCTTATCAAACACGTGTCTACAGCTCCATTCATTCTGTTTCAGGAAGAAGCTTCTTTTTTAAAAGTGCTGCTCTCTCACCATGCCACCACGTTCCTCTGATGTAGCGTTCTCATCTTTTCAATCTCCATTGCTTCTTGTGCCCTCACTCCTCTCCACTCACCTCTCTGCTCCTCCCTTCGCCATACCTGCCTTACACCCTTTGCCTCTCCACTCACCATCCTCGTGCCTCGCCCACCCTTGTCAGCAAGACGTGGCGGATCGCAAGCTCCACGTCATCAACATCCACTTGGCAGACCTTGTTGCGGTCAGCAGCACCCCTTCGTCTCTTCCCTCCCACTCCCATCATCGCTCCGTTCCCTTTCTTTCTCTCCTTTCCTTCATCGCTCTGTCGTTTCACTCTGCCGCTCTTGCATCTTCGCCCTGTCCATTCCTCGTGCCTCACTCTCTCCCATACTCCCCATACCCTCCGTATCCACTCTGCCTTCTCCCTTGCCCCCTCTCCCCCCGCCTCACCCCGCACAGTACGGCGGGGGCAGCAACGACGAGTTTGTGGCGCGCATCTACGGCAACGCACGGCGCTACATAACGCTGTTCGCCGAGGCAGCAGACGACCTCATGCCGGAGCCATCCCTGGCAGCGGGGGGCGAGGAGAGGGAGGAGGACGTGTACGACGTGCTCATGCGGCAGCGCGCGGAGCAGCACGCGGAGAACCTGGCTCAGGGCGACGCTGCTGTGGCTGCCGTCGACCCGCTCTTCCAGCTGCCCGCCCTGCTGCGCCGCCGCTTGTCAGTGCACTGGGTGGTTGTGGGATGTGCTCTGATTATCTTGATACATGGTTTGCAGACTGCTTGAAAGTGAACAAACTCTGCTGTACACTCATCTCTACCCTCACCCCCTTCATCTCGGTGTTTTTACCACACTCCCCTCTTCCCTCCCATTTCTTCCCCTCCCGAAGTGACGTGCACTTGGTGCCGGAGCCGAAGCGCAAGGCACAGGCGATACGGGAGGTGGGGGCGGGGCAGATAGGGCGGCTGGTGGTGGTGAAGGGCATTGTCACGCGCTGCACAGATGTGAAACCGCTGCTGCAGGTCGCCACGTACACATGCGATGAGTGTGGTTTCGAGATCTACCAGGTGAGATGGCAGTGCTATGCAAGGCCCACGCATCTGCTACCTCTCGTGCTTGTCTTGCTCTTGATCCACCCTGTTCGTACCAACGAATCCCCCACTCCTCATTTGGTTACAATGCACACACCCTTGCATCTATTCGAGTTTCTGTGTACCTGCGGCCAGGCAGCTTGTAACACCTCCTAACATGGCACTGTGCTTTCCACGCTGGTTGATTTCCGGTTGGCAGGAGGTGACAGCGCGCACGTTCATGCCGCTGTTTGAGTGCCCCTCGGCACGCTGCCGCACTAACAATGCACGGGGCAGGCTGCACCTGCACACGCGCGGCTCCAAGTTCCAAAAGTTCCAAGAGGTGCGCGCAGGGGCTGTGCTGTGTATATATGATTAGACAGGGTCGTGTGATGTGCATGGGTTGGGAGCATGGGCTGCTGTGAGCATGGGCTGTGACTATATGGCGCATTTGTAAATGGTGGAGTGCATGTTTCATGCTACCCTCGTGTCCCTTCTCTCAGGGCCCCTCAGGTTGTTTCCACATGTTCAGGATTCAGCTCTCCTTCATGCCTGCGTGCATGGCATGGCATGGCATGGCATGGAATGGCATGGCATGGCACATGTGCCCCCCACGTTGCATGCATGCAGGCGCGCATACAGGAGCTGGCAGAGCAGGTGCCCAAGGGGCATGTGCCGCGCGCCATGACAGTGCAGATCAGGGGCGACCTCACTCGCCAGGTGCGCCCTGCTTGTACATCCCTTGTGCCGCGCTGCCTTGCTCGCACCATGCCCCATGCCTTCACAACCGCCACTGCTTGAGCCACTAAAATCTTTTAATGACAACTTTTTCGTGCCTTGATTCCTCCCGCCCTGTGCGCGGCACTGCAGGTATCACCGGGAGACGTGGTGAGTGTGGCGGGGGTGTTCCTACCGGTGCCGTTCGTGGGGTTCAAGGCCATGCGCGCTGGCCTCACCGCAGACACGTACCTCGAGGCCATGGCCTTTCACCACTTTAAAAAGCGCTTCTCCGAGTGAGTCTCCCTCACTTGCGTCCCAAGAGGAGTGTAGCGTGTGGGGCATGAAGGAGGGGAAGGCCATGGAGGAGAGGTGTCTCATGATGCGCCACCAGCTCTCGCCATCCGACCAGCTTCTCCCTCTCCTCGCTCTGCCCTTTCTTGCCCTCCACCACCACATCGCCACCGCGTCCTGTCCATGCCACAGTACGCCCCTATTGTGCTGTGCCCTCTCCCTGCCTGCCATCGTTCACATGCACGCCTCCTCCTTCACACCTGCTAGTGCGTGCCCTCCCACCCGCCAAGCAGGTACGCGAGTGAGCAGACGCCAGAGGAGGCAGCGGCGGTGCAGCAGCTGGCAGCGCAGGGCAGCAGTGATGTGTACAGCCGCCTGGCACGCTCCATCGCGCCGGAGATCTACGGCCACGATGACGTGAAGAAGGTGCTGCTGCTGCTGCTCGTGGGGGCTCCCACCCGCAACCTACCCGATGGCATGAAGGTGTGTGTGCAGTGCAACAGTGCCTTTCAACACACACATTCCTCTTCCAATCAGCCTGCTTTGACTGGCCGTCAGTGCACATCCACGCCTGCCTCAAATAATCTCCTTCCCTCCCTCTGCTTCCTCTCTGCACGCCACAACTGCCGCTCACCCTGCCCTTCCCGGATCCGCTCACAATGCGTCAGATCCGCGGGGACATACACGTGTGTCTGATGGGCGACCCCGGGGTGGCCAAGAGTCAGCTGCTGAAGCACATCATCACGGTGGCGCCACGCGGGGTGTACACCACGGGCAAGGGCAGCAGCGGCGTGGGGCTCACTGCTGCCGTCACTCGCGACACCGTCACCGGCGAGATGGTGCTGGAAGGGGGCGCTCTGGTGAGTGCGTGCATCGGTGGTTGGTTAGTGCGCCTGTGCCCATATCTGTGTTGAGTGGTACCATGCCGATTGTTATTCTTTAGAACGAGACGTCAAGATTGTGGAGTTGTGTTTAGATATTTGTGAGTTGTTGGTGGGCAGGCTGAGGATGGGCCCCCTCCATGCACATGGCCTCACTCTCTCATCTCGCCTCTTGCCCTCCTAACCTCCCTCCCCTCCTTCCTCCCTCACACCACCAGGTGCTAGCGGACATGGGCATCTGTGCCATAGACGAGTTTGACAAGATGGACGAGAACGACCGCACCGCCATCCATGAGGTGCGCCTGCCCGCTGCCACTCCCTGTTCTCTCAATGCATGCTGCCACGTGCCATGTGCCATGTGCCAGTGATTCAGCGGCACATGTGTTTGCGCAGGCATTATATGCCTTGACATATGTTTCCAGTGATTTTGCTCGACCACCCCCATACTCATACGCCACATGCGCCATGCGCCGTGCCGCATGCCACACGCCATGCATGGCAGGTGATGGAGCAGCAGACGGTGAGCATAGCCAAGGCGGGCATCACCACGTCACTCAACGCTCGCACCGCTGTGCTCGCTGCTGCCAACCCCGCCTGGTGAGATCACTCACCCTCCTGCCATTGCTGCTGCTCACAGCACGCAGCTGCACCTACCGCATCCCTACCCTATCCTTTCTTCTCATCCCCCTCCTAACCCCCTCTTTTCTCCTCAACTCCCCACCCTTCCCTCCCCCTGTCCCGCTCGCCTCTCCCTCCCTTCCAACCACCGCTTTCTCCCCTGCAGGGGCCGCTACGACATGAGGAGGACGCCAGCGGAGAACATCAACTTGCCACCCGCACTGCTCTCCAGATTCGATATCCTCTGGCTCATGCTCGACCGTGCTGACGTGGACGCTGACCTGGCGCTCGCCCGCCACGTGCTGCACGTGCACCAGCACTCTGCGCCGCCCGCTCTTGACTTTGACCCCGTTGACCCAACTCTGCTCAGGTGCTTCAGAGTGCTGCTCAGTTGTTTTGAAACGCTGCTCCGTTGGTTGAAAACGACTTTCACGTCACTCAAAGCGCCCCTCATGCTATGAATGCGTGTCAAAGTTATGATCCCAGCACCACCACCACACACGGACCCACCTCCCCACTAGTGGCTTTGTGGCAGCAGGATCCATGCCCCTCTGCTCTGCTCTGCCCATGTGCCCCCCTCCTCTCCCCTCCCAGGAACTTCATAGCAACGGCGCGGACGTACTCACCGAGTGTGCCGGAGGAGCTGACTGACTTCATAGCGTCGGCCTACGCGGGGCTCAGGCAGGAGGAGGCGGCCAGCGATGCCCCGCACACCTACACCACCGCGCGCACCCTGCTCTCCATCCTGCGCCTCGCTGAGGTCAGCCTGGCATCGCATGGCATGGCACCACGGATGGCGTGGGATGTGATGCTGTGGCATGGGGTGGCGTGGCATGTGATATGAGTTACATTCACTATCAAGCGTGGCCTTCATGCCCCATCCATTCCTCCTTTCCCTCTTTATGGCCCTGGTGACTCTCTCCAATCGTCACAATTGATGGTAACCCAACATAATTGAGGGGATTGGCCGTGGCATAGGGTAGGGAGTTGATTCTATTATCATCTCTATGACCCCTCTATCTTGCCCCTTCCACCCAACCCCCCTTCCCCCCACAAGCGCAGGCGCGGGCGAGGCTGCGGCTGGCAGGGGCGGTGGCGCAGAGTGATGTGGAGGAGGCGCTGAGGCTGATGCACGCCTCCAAGGCGTCGCTGCAGACGGAGGCCCGGCAGCGAGCAGGGCTGGATGCCATCTCCGCCGTCTACTCCATCGTGCGCGACGAGGCTGCTCGTGCGCGCTGCACCGTGGTGTCCTACTCCGACGCCCTCAACTGGATCACCCGCAAGGTGCCCAATCCCCTCCCCGCCCCGCCCCGCCTTGCCCTGCCCTGCTCATTGCCTGCTCCTGTGTTGTGTTTGGACTGTCTTTTTGACTGTCACGATTCTGAGTTCACTGAGGGGGACTCAACTCTATAGTAAGATGAATCAGTTCTGTGCCCCTGGTTGCTGTTGCTGTAACATTCCTCCCCTGCCTGCTCATCTCAGTCCACCTCTCTGTGCTGTGTGCATGCCGCAGGGTCACAGCGAGGCGGAGTTGAGGGAGTGTTTGGAGGATTATGCAGAGCTCAATGTGTGGCAGATAGATCAGGACTCCCTCACCATCCGCTTTATTGACTCTTGATTTGTGAAGAGAAACTCAAGTTCACTAGTGTCTGTCTCATTAATAAAGGCTTTTCTTTTCTAAAGTATGTAATAGCCTTCTGTGCCAATTCAGATGTGCTACAGAGAGACAAGGCAAGGCACACTATTCACTCAAGCTCCACCATTGCAAGGGCATGGGCAACACTAGCTGTTACCGTAGAAGCCCAACGTCACCACCTTTCCAAATGGCTCTCACCGCCTGTACGCATCGCGCTCATCCCGCCCTCTATCCCGCTCATACCCGCGCCTCGAGTCGTCCCGCTCCTTGCGGTCCCACTCCGAGTACCGCTCCCGCTCCCTCTCCCTCTCACGCTCCCTCTCCCTCTCACGATCACGGTCAAAACCCCTGTCGCGCCCGCGCTCATCCCGCTCGCTGCCGTACGTGCTCACCAGCCTGTCCCCACCGCCCCCGCGCCCACCACCACTGTCAAACCCCCTTGGACCGCTGTCAAAGCCCCTCGCACCGCCGTCAAAGCCCCTGGGGGGGGCGGGGGGGAGGCGGTCGACGGTGCTGGGCAGGCGGTCGGGGGCGGAGAGCAGGCGGTCGCCCGAGGCAGAGGCGATGCTCTGCTGCACCTTCTGCGCTATCAGATGCTGCGCTGCCACCACTCCCTCCGATGGACCCGTTATCGTCACCTTCCTGCCAATGCAAGGGAGGGGGGAGAAGAGGAAGGAGAAGCTGAGACATATGCTACAGAAGGCATGCATGAGGGACAGCGATCCAGCAACAACTTGTCCATGGAATGCAAGGGAAAAAGAAAGAGAGGCAACTGCTATGCTGACGGGCTGATGCTGCTGCGGTTATGGTGGGCACTGACCTGTTCCTGGTGCCTTCAACATAATCGTTGCGGTCGGATATGAGCATGCGCACCCCCGCCGACTGCACACATGCAAGCACAGGCACACATGTGGTGATGCACAGAGAGAGCACAGAGGTGCGTTGCACCTATCACCACGCATGAAAAATTGCGAAGCCTCTAAGCGCTTGGAAGGTTACGGCCATTAGTGGTCACGTGACTGGTGAAGCCTACGTTGTGATTCGTAATGCTGATGATAAGCTTGACGCTGCTGTATCAGCATCATGACTCACACCATAAGCTCCACCAGCCACGTGACCACTAACGACAGTAGCCTTTCGAACATTTTGAGGCTTCGCAACTTCACATTCGGCCCTGCTCAAGCGAATGCTACCTGCTCAGCTGCTGAAGCACCTGATGCGACTGGAAAGCATGCTGGCACTGACGATGCCCTTTTCCAGTTGTTGCTTTCGTCAACGATGCTTCTGAAGCTACTGCCGCAAATTCTGTTGTTACCTACCATGAAAGTTCTGGAAGAAGATTGAGAGTTGTGCACCTCTGTATAGCTCGAGACTCTTTCACACTATGTGCCCTCCCACTTGCTGCATGCATCTCATGCAACCAACCCCTGCCTGCTGTACTGTACCCCACCCACACACGCACCTGCTGGATCTCATGCAGCGACTTGCCGCCCTTGCCCACGACAGCGCCCACGTGGTCATCGGGCACGGCCACTATGATGGTCGTCGGCACCCCGCCACCCGGCGGTAGAGGAGGCGGGCCCTGCACGCATTGGGGCGGAACGGGTGGTGGATGGAGGTGGTGGACATGGGTGTGGGATGGGGGAGCAGAGGCAATGAGCAACATGGGTTCAGTGCACTGCAACCTCCCATGGCGTGGTTCCGCTGCGTGTGCACGCGGAGAATGGAAGAGCTGAGAGCAGGGGCGGTAATGGGCCCCACCCCACCCCACCCCACCCCACCCCACACATACGCATGCAGTCATGCGTGGCCATTGCTGAGCAACAGAATCACGCCCACCTTGCCACGAGGGTCTGAGAGGTATGGAGGAAGGCCCCTGGGCGCAGCATACGGCGCTCCAAATCCTCCGCCTCCGCCCCCTCCCCCCCCATATCTGTCCCCTCCCCCATAGCCCCCGCCCCCACCCCTGCCCCCGCCTCCGCCTCCGCCCCCGTACCCAGGACCACCACCACCATAGCCGCCACTGAACCCGCCGCCCCCCCTCGCCCCGTACCCATCGTTGTACCCCCCTCCGCCCCCGAACCCGCCCTCCCTGCCCCGTCCTCCTTCCGAAAACCCGCTGCTCCTGCCCTCGTGCCTGCCCCCTCCCGCTGGCGCGGGCGGAGGTGGAGGCGGCTGCGATGACCCGCCCGCCGCTGGTGGGGGTTGTGCAGTGAGGCGCGGGCGTGAGAGGCAAGAGATGGATACGGGAGGAACACAAGGGAATACGCGAGAGAGTGAGGGAAAGATAGAGAAAGGTGGAGGAGAGAGGTACGTAGGACAGAGGCGAGAGAAGCACGTGGCTATGATACGATATGATGGTGCTCTGCTCACCCTGAGGAGTGATATGATACGATTTGATACAATATGATGGTGCTCTGCTCACCGGTGTAAGACAGAGGCACGTCAGCGTACAGCACGTTGGAGAAGGCAAGACTCTTACCGGTGTAAGACAGAGGCACGTCAGCGTACTGCACGTTGGAAAGGGCAAGTCTCTTACCGGTGTAGGAGAGGGGCACGTCAGCGTACTGCACGTAGGTGGGGTCTCATTGGTGTAGGAGGATAAAGGCAAGTCTCTTACCGGTGTAGGAGAGGGGCACGTCAGCGTACTGCACGTAGGTGGGGTCTCATTGGTGTAGGAGGATAAAGGCAAGTCTCTTACCGTTGTAGGAGAGGGGCACGTCAGCGTACTGCACGTTGGAAAGGGCAAGTCTCTTACCAGTGTAAGACAGCGGCACGTCAGCGTACTGCACGTAGGTGGGGTCTTCAGACATCTTGGTGAGCAGCAGCGCCACCGCGCGCAGCTTCTGCTCCAGCGTGCCCCCTATGGTGATGAGCCTCTCTGCAAAGCCCGGCCCTGCAGTGTCCTGCGACGACAGCTTGATGGTCGCCTGCGAGTCCTCCACGAACGACCTGCGCCCCCCCACGCCCCCGGCCATGGCCCCAGCGATGGTTGGCGGCGCCGTGGCGCCATGGCGCACAGGAGGTGATGAGGGCAGCGATGGGGGGGTGGCGTGGTGACGTCAGACCCACGTGGCAGAGCGTGGTGGCATGACATGCGTGGTGAGAGGGCACGGGCAGGAGGAGGGTGGAGCGGGGTGCGGAGGGGTAGAGTGGGGGTTGGGATGGGTGGGACGGAGAGCAGAGCAGATGGGAGATGGTGGGGGGTGAGGAAATGGACAGCGGATGGCACGGCGCCGGCTGAGGGCCGCGCAGGAGAAGGGGGGGAAGGGGAGAAAGTGAGGGTGACAGTGCGGAGCCGCGGCACAACTGGCGTTCTCGATCTATGGTGTGGGGCGTGCTGCTGCGGAGAGAGGGCGAAATCGCTAGAAGATGCGGCGGGAGAGGTTGGGGAGGACGATGCTGCGAGAGTGAAGACGAGGGGATGATAGACGAAACAGAGAAGAGCGGGCGGTGGTAGAAGATGGAGGGGTGGCAGGTGGGGTGATGTATGCGCGCCACTAATGACCCATGAGAGAACGGCACACGTGGGAGAGACTATTGAGACGCGCAGACCAATGGCTTTGAGTTACCCCGTGCCCGAATGCGTGATGTTACCCTGTTACAAGAAAAAACTGATGGGTTCCGCCGTTGCGCACTGTTTGAGCGATGGCTGCTGATATTGCAGATGCTCGCTCTCTAGAATGGCAATACATGGCAGCAATGGCCGCAGGGAGGATTAAGGGCAGGTCACATCCGGAATTGGAAAAAGGCAGATGAGAGAGAGTGGCGAGGAATCAGTCAACGCGAGCTTGCAGCTGCGGGGATGAGGGGGGACGCGCGGAAGGTGAACGCCATGGTCTGAAGGTTCTCCGGAGGGAGGCGACCAGGAACTGGTACCGATTGGAGCGATAAAAAGCATCGCGCATTGTAGCAGTGGTGGGGTGGAGATGAAGTTAGAGTGCTGGTGATGGAGTTGAGAGTGGTAGAGTTGGAGTTAAGAGTGGTGGTGATGGATTTAAGCGTAGCACGGAGTGGTGAGGGAAGGTCTAAGGTTACTGGTATTGAGAGGCGACAGTTTCATCCCTGTGGAAGACACCCACACCCCACAACGACACAAGCAGCGTGAGCATCGGGCCAGTGAATGAGAGGGGACACGAGGAAGGACACAAGGAGGGTACTGATCGATCTTCAGTGTCGAAAAGAACCATGTGCGGCGCCAGTCAGAGAAGGAATGCAGGCGGAAAGAAGTGGTTGGTTAGAAAACTGACCGAATGGTGGCGCCGGCTTTGCCGATGATGGCGCCGCACACGCGGTGCGGCACCACGATGCGCAGCAGGTCCAGCTCGCCCTCTCGCGCCGTCTCCACGCGCCGCGGATCCTGCGCGCACACCACCGCATGGCGCGCAGACCGTGTGCGGATTGAGCACAACACGCTAACGGGCCAGCGTGGCCAAAAGGCATGAGCTACCACGGACGAAGCAGTTTGCAAAAAGCAAGATCCCAAACATTCCGTAACAGCTGCGGAGACATTGCTCTGCCTTGCAAAGCGAGACGCTAGGAATAACTGCAGGGGAGAAGAAAAGCACGAAGAGCAGGCGGTGGTTGGTTGGCCGTACGTCGGCGAGCTTGGAGAGGATGAGGTGCAGCGCCGTGAGGATGGCGCTGACGGTGCCGCTGATGAGCACGATGCGGTCCGCCGTGGCGGGGAAGAACTCGTGCGCGCGCGACATGACGATCTTGGCGCCCGACTGCACCTGGAACTCCGATATCACCTGCCCCGCCTTCCCGATCACCGACCCCGCGAAGTTGTTCGACACCAGGAACCGCAGCGTCGACTCCAACGCCCGCACCTCCTCTGCTCAACCCGGAAAATCGAAAAGAATAATAATAATAATCAGGAAATGATAATAAGAAATAAAGGAGTATATTATAAAAATCTGGTTCAGGTAAGCTCGGCATGGAGGGCAGATGTGGAACCCCACCTGTATTGCGGGTGTTTTGACGTTTCGCGTCATCCCGCCGATCATCCACGTCATCATCATGCTCTCGCTTCGCCTTGCTCCTAGACCGATTAGGACTTTTAGGGCTTGGCGTCCTCCTTGGGCTTCTTGGACTTCTGGGGCTTCTGGGGCTTCTAGGGCTTCTCGGGCTTCTAGGGCTTCTGGGGCTCCTAACGGGTGATGTGTCCGCCATGGCCGTTGTGTCAAGATTTGCCCAGTTCGCTAGCAATCAAAATGAGATGGAGGAAAAGGACACACGCAATACAGGGATCCGCTGCAGGAGAACATCGCAATTGAATGTTATGAATACAGTTACTACTTCTGCAGCCACATGCACAACCCATATATATATTCACCTAATTTTCCAGCACATGTAATTTCATAAAAAGGCCATACTTCCTTGAATGCTAGAATATTCTTAATAGATGATTAGATAAAACTACAAGAGCAGTTAAGATAAAAGGTAAATCTGTTAGTAGAAAAAAATACTATTTTCCACATCATATACCGGGTCAATATTTTAACCCTCGTCGTTGTTTTATCGAATTGCAGCTACGCGATGCACTTTTGACATTACAAACCACGAAACCAGCCTCGGGACAAGTTCGAAGGCGTCGACACTATCAAGGCGTATCGAAGACGCCATTTCGCTTCATGTGACACGCCCGTGCTGGCGAGGGACGCAGAGGAGGAACTTGTGAGAGTCTGGGCTTCAAGAATTTGCAGTCAAAGTGGCAGCAGGATTCTCAGCATTTAATTGAATGCAATCGCACTGAATCGCGGTGTTTCTGGGCGTGCGCGGGCAATCGCAGTGCGTGCGGACTAGAGTTGGGATCGCGCGTCGCCCATGGCGATGGCCGCGGCCCGATGGGGTGGGGGATACCCGGGCGGAGGGGACGACGCGTGGGGACGCGGGGAGGCGGAGAGCGAGGGCGTGTGGGAGCGCGTGGTGTACCAGGCCGACGACAGGGGCGCGCTGGAGCGCCTCATGAAGCGCAAGGGCGCGGCGGGTGGACGAAATGCCGCGGGCCCGAAGGTGAGCGCCGCGCGACGAAGGGGAGGAAGCGCGTAGGCAGGGAGGATGCCGATAGCGATGATGGCTGTCAAGTGGCTTCATCCATCTCGATCGCCGCGTCTGCACCTTGGATGCTGATAGCGATGATGGAATTCCCTCCATTTGCTCTTCCCCTGCTCCCCTTTTTATCTCATTCCACTTGGCAGCCTTTGATTGGTGAACCACAAGCCGCTGGTGCTGCACTTGGAGAGTCAGCAGCGACCAACAGGGGCGTGTCAGGAGTGAAATTTGGGTGGCAGGGTTTGGTAGCATCCGACGTGGCAGTGAAGGAAAGAGGTGACACGTGGCAGCGGGCCAAATGGGGGCTGCGATGGTTCGACTCGCCCACTGCTGATGACTGGGTATGTGCCCGTGTGCCATGCCATCCATGCCCACCTGCTGTGCTTGCATGCTGTGTGCCCTGTGCTGCTCTCTGGCGTCCAGTACCCTCTCTCCCACATGCCATTCATCCGTGCCATATCATGCGCACTCGCGCCCCTGTCTGCCCATCTTTCCGTATATCAACAAGCAATGGTCGACTCACAAGTCTGGCACGCCCTGCTGCTTCCATGCCCGTGCTCCCTCTGCGGCTCATCGTGCATGCATGGCTGTCCCTGCTGGCAGGAGGACGGCTTCCCCGACGACCACGTGGACGCGCAAGCTGCACCCCAGGCTGCAGATGCGGCAAGGGAGGCTGCTCGCAATGGGAGAGAGGGGGACGAAGCACGGGAGGCAGCGCAGGAGGGAGGGCGCGAGGGGGAGGGCGGGCAGGGGGAGTACAGCAGGTGCGTGGCGGAGGGGCTGCTGGCGCGCCTCTCCTTCATGCCCGCCCCACACCCGCCGCCACCACTGCCACCGCTGCACCCACCAGCACTGGTGCCCGCCGCATCGCCCCTACCTGCACCCCAGCCGTGTGAGCCAGCCGCTCAGCCTGGGCTCTCCACCCGCCCACCTGTACCTGCCCGCCCTCCCCCTGCCGCTCCGTGCCCTCCCTCACCACTACCTGCACCCCCGGCAGCACCACGTGCACCTGTTGCCATGACTGCTGGTGCCATGGCAGCAGCAGCACCCATCATCCCGCCGACCACAGGTGGCAAATCAGCGCCTAGCCTGGCCTCCCTGCTGCCTCCGCCCCTTCCCCATCCCGCCTCCTCCTCCCCGCCCGTCACAGCATCACAGGGAGGGCGGCAGGTGGCGGGCAAGGCTTCAGCGGGGCGTGCGAGGCAGGAGATGCAGGGACAGGCTTGGGAGGAAGGGCAGGGACATTCGGAGGGGGGCGAGAGGGAGGGCAGCAGGGGAGGAGCAGCGATGGGCGGGTTGGCGCAGCAGCTGCTGCAGCTGACAGGCGCACCTCCGCCCCTGGCGCATGGGGGGAAGGGGAGAGGCGGGCGGTACCGTGGGAAGAAGGAGAAGGTGCGTGCTTGATGCATGGTGCATGGCGCATGGTGCATGGTGCATGGTGCATGGTGCATGGTGCATGGTGCATGGTGCATGGTGCATGGTGCATGGTGCATGGTGCATGGTGCATGGTGCATGGCGCACGGTGCACGGTGCATGGTGGATGGTGCATGGCGCATGGTGCGATAGATAGCATATGACGAGGAATGTATGATTCCGAGCGCATGCTGATTGACAAGAGCTGCCGCGTCTACATAATGTGCGCCGTGATTGTGTTGTGGGTGGGTCAAATAAATGGCCACTAATATTCAAAAGTCCATGTGCACATGCATGTCCGTCCATGTGCGCATGCATGCCCGTCCCGTCCATGTGCATGTGCCCACACCCTAGCAGGTGCGTGCCACAACAGCCCCGGCGCCCACCAGCTCGCAGGCAGCGCCAGCAGCGGCACCTATGGCGCTGCAGCAGCAGCTGTCACAGCTGCACGCGTCCCAGCTGCCGCAGGGGCATCCCAGCCAGCAGTATCAGCAGCGGTGTGAGCAGCAGAATGAGCACGAGGTGCAGGCTGAGGCAGCGCAACCGCCGTGTTACCAACCTCAATCTCAAGAGCAGCAGCAGCAGCAGCAGCAGGATTGTGTTGGGGGAGAAGCTTTCGATGGGCAGGTGTGGTGGGGTGGGTGGCTGCCTGCCAGGGTGGAACAATGGCATCATTGGCACACATGCACCATCCATCATGCACCATGCACCATCCACCATGCACCATCCACCATGCACCATCCACCATGCACCATCCACCATGCACCATCCACCATGCACCATCCACCATGCACCATCCACCATGCACCATCCACCCCACCCATGCGCCATCCACCCATGCACCATCCAACTCGCACCATCCATCCATCCACCATGCACCATCCACCATGCACCATCCACCATGCACCATCCACCATGCACCATCCACCATGCACCATCCACCATGCACCATCCACCATGCACCATCCACCATGCACCATCCACCATGCACCATCCACCATGCACCATCCACCATGCACCATCCACCATGCACATTCCACCCATCACCATTCCAATCTTGCGTTGGCCTGACCGGGCGGCGCACTGCTCTCATCTCATGGCTGCTTGCCTTTTACTGTCCTGCGGTTCTCACGTCCCTTCACCTACCGGCCTCTCCCTTGCCATTTATCCTTCCTCGTTTTCTCCTTCCCGCCGCCTCCCCCTCCGTGCAGCTCATGCCGCCCGCCCTCCCCCCGCCCCACACCTCGCTCGCCTCGCTGCTGCCGCCACTCCCCTCGCCCTCGTGTGCCCCGCCCACCCCGAGAGCACGCGCCACTGCTTTCTCAGGGGGCAAGCCCAGAGGGCCCGGCGCTGCAAGGTGACTGTATGCAGGTGACTGTATGCAGGTGACTGTATGCAGGTGACTGTATGCAGGTGACTGTATGCAGGTGACTGTATGCAGGTGACTGTATGCAGGTGACTGTATGCAGGTGACTGTACGAAGGTTTCATGCTGCCCACATGTTGGGTACTCGCCACTTCCTCTCCATACACCTTCCTCTCGCTCCAAGCCCCCTCGTCACTTCCCCTCCCCTCTTTCTTTCCCCTTCCTTGCTGTCTCCCTCCCTCTGCCTCTCGCTTCCTCGCTCTCTCGGTCTTACTCAGTCTGCCCTTCAAGTCGCGTCTGGCTCGCCTGGAGGCAGCACAGCGGCAGCAGCACGGGGCACAGGCAGGCAGCGGGCACGAGGCAGCCCATGGTGCACAGGCAGTGCAGTACGCACGGGAAGATGCAGCAGAGGCGCATTCGCCCTGGGATGGCATGCGTGACTTGCATGTGACTGTAACGAGTGTGAGCTTCGAGGGCCACGTGGCATTTTGCCTATGCCAGCAGACCCAGCAGCGTGCCACGTCTGCTCCCATGAGTCAGCTGCGCTGCCAGGCTGGCACAGTTACTGCGGGGGAAGAGCAGAGAGACGGTGGCGGAGGAGGGGGAGGAGGAAGCGATCACTGGGGTGCGCCAGCTGCTCAGGATGCTCGCGGTGCTGTTAGTGGTGCTGGTGGTGCTCGTGGTGGTGGTGGTGTGTGGCGTGAGCGTTGGCGTGCAGGTGATGCAAATGTGGGAGTTGCAGGGAGAGATGAGCATGTGGCGCGAGCAGCAATGCTGGCCGCGGGTGGGCGGTGCTCATGTCAAACTTGCCCTCATCACTCACACTCACTCACTCTCACAACTCACACTCACTCCCAATGCTCACGGTAGGGGTCATAGCAGACAACGTGTGCAAACGTACCCATTCTTTGTTTCTCCTTCCTCCCCTTCTTTCTTGCCTGAGTTCCCTCTTCTGCATGCCACACCCCTTGTGTTCCTCACACTTCCACCCTTACACCTCCACTCCCACTGCTCCCCCATCCCCCCACCCCCACATACCAGACGACAACCTTCTTCAGAAGCAGGCACAGCCCTTCCTTGCAGTCATCCCCACCAGCAGCACCACTCGCAACAGCCCCGCACCGTTTGCAGCCACTGCTACTGGCACTGCTGCAGCTTTTCCTGCCCCCAGTGCTTCCCTTGCACCTGCCATTCAGCCTGGCACTGCCATCACCATCCATCCCCCCTGGTACTTGCACCGCCATTGCAATCGTCCTTTGTTTCTTGCTACTTTCCTACTTCGCCTTTTCCTGCTTCTGTCTGCACCCTTTCCTGCCCCTTAACCAGCCTCTGTCCTAATCACAACCTTGTCTGCCTGCCAGGTACCACCTCCCCTTGGTACTGCCTCCCCCATGGGGCCCCGCCCACACTGTCTTTGCCACTCACGCGGCTGCTCACACTGCTCAAGCCGCTCCCGTGGGCGGCACACAAGGCGCTGAGGTGCCACCCGCTGGGCTGGCAGCAGAGGACGGAGCAACACCTCACAAGGGACTGCCGGTGGACATGGGAGGGGGGGTGGCAGCAGCATGGAGAAACATGGGCTCGTGACCACCTGCACTTCTTGGCTGTACATATAAGTACATTCACCACGTTCTGGCATTGGGATTCGGTCAAGCTTCATGTGGGGCCCTGTTCTCTGCCCGTGCAACAACACCTCTCCCACCAGAGGATGCACATTGACGGCACTCTCATGCAGCATGCATGCGCAACTCATGTTCGCACCTCCAGTGGCGTTTACCTGCATCTACTTTAGTCCTCGTGCGTGTAATTGCATATCACATTGCCATATTATTTCATTTAAAGGTTATGAATTTTCCAGGCGTGTATATCCAATTCAAAGGCGTATTTGGCACAGAACACCCGTTCGTAACAGTCCCATATTCTTGAGAGTATTCGTGGATGTTCACAGTATCGGATTACTTTTACCAGAATTGTTATACCGAGTACAGCATTCACATCCCGATCTCTTCATGGAACACTGAGCCATTGAACTGGGCGTGCAGTTGGTGATGCCCGCGCCTCCCGATTCCATCCTAGGCTCCACCGTACGCTCTCCCCTGTGACCCCACGACCAGCGGGCTCCTAAATCCACTCGTGTTGCTGCGCTTCCCCCACAATGCCTCCACCCTCGCGGCGACGCGGTGCAAGGGATGGAGGAGACGACCCGTCCTCCCCGCGTGCTGACGGCGGTGCGGCGGGCAAGCGCGCACAGGCGCACAGTGCGGCGCACCACCCGCACCGAGGGAAGTCTGCGCCGGCAAACCTGGCGTGGAACGCGGCGGTTCTTGCGCTGGTGCTGGCTGCGGGATGCGCGGCGGCGGTGATCGTCGTGCTGACGTGGGGCGACGCGCTCTTCGGCTCCTCCGAGAAGCAGCGCCACCTCACGCCGCTCAACGCGCCGCGCGTGGCGGATCTCCCCATGGTGAGGTGCTGGCGGTCGGAGGGGGTTGGGATGGTTATCCCGGCAACGCAGTGCATGGCGAGCACGGGCATGTGGCATGCGAAGAGCGGCAGCGGCGCAAGGCGTTGAAGCGATGCCTCCCCAAGGCCGTCGCTGCTCCTCGCGCCCACGACCGTGCGAAACGTTTCATATGTGTGTGCATGGATGCACGGGTGTATAGGTGGATGGTCGAATGGGAGGATGGGTGCATATGTGCATGTGTGCATGGGTGAACGTTGCTCATAAAATGCTCTGGCACTAGCGGTTGGCATCTACTGTGTGCCTCATCTGGCATCTACTGTGTGCCTCATGTGGCATCTACTGTGTGCCTCATGTGGCATCTACTGTGTGCCTCATGTGGCATCTACTGTGTGCCTCATGTGGCATCTACTGTGTGCCTCATGTGGCATCTACTGTGTGCCTCATGTGGCATCTACTGTGTGCCTCATGTGGCATCTACTCACATGCATTACAACGTGGGCTTCACCCCGTTCCTCCCATGCCATGTTATGACCTTGCATGCCATGCCATCTGCATCATCGTCATGGCATGGCATGGCATGGCATGGCATGACATGCGTGGGCAGTTCAAGGGCGGGTATGCGGAGGAGATGCTGTGGGGAACGTACCGCCCCCAACTCTACCTCGGCATTCGCCCTCGGTACGCTGCCCTGCTCTGCTCTGCTCTGCTCTGCTCTTCTTTGCTCTGCCCTGCCCTGCTCTGCTCTGCTCTGCTCTGCTCTGCTCTGCTCTGCTCTGCTCTGCCCTGCTCTGCTCTGCTCTGCTCTGCTCTGCTGTGCTGTGCTGTGCTTTGCTGCGCTGTGCTGCGCTGCGCTGTGCTGTGCTGTGCTGCGCTGTGCTGCGCTGTGCTGTGCTGTGCTGCGCTGTGCTGCGCTGCGCTGTGCTGTGCTGTGCTGCGCTGTGCTGTGCTGTGCTGCGCTGTGCTGTGCTGTGCTGTGCTGTGCTGTGCTGTGCTGTGCTGTGCTGTGCTGTGCTGTGCTGTGCTGTGATGTGCTGTGCTGTGCTGTGATGTGCTGTGCTGTGCTGTGCTGTGCTGTGCTGTGATGTGCTGTGCTCTTCTCTGCTCTGCTGTGCCGTAGCGGAAGAGGGGGCGCCACTGAAGGTAGAGGGTGCGAGCCTGTCAGCAGTGCAGTGCGGGCGGCAGGGGAGGAGGAGGTGGCTTCTGGTTGCCACGCTGCTCGCTGTGCCGCTGCTGCGTGCGGTGCCTCTTCCCATCACTTCCCCTCACTCACTCGCTCCACTCCCCTCTTTACCATCCGCCCATTCCTTCATTGCACACGCCTCTCCTCCTCCACGCCTGCCCATGCTGCCTCCATGTCCTGCCCCTCATGTCCCTCGCGTGTCGTGCCGGCTGTTCCTGTCGTTCCATTCTCCCCCCAGCCTGCCCCAGTCGGTGGTGGCGGGCATGATGTGGTGGGCGCCGAGGCAGGACGACTTTGTGATCCGGCACACGTGTGAGCAGCACGACCCCGTGCTGCTCTCCTACTCCTGGCACCGCCACGACGGCCGCCGCTACGCCCGCCAGGTGCAGATGAGGGAGAGTGGCAGGGGGAAGGGGATGGGGGGGAGGGGCATGGGTGAAGGGCTGTGAGGCACGTGGAAGGGAGCTGGCTGAGCATGGGGTGGGGGAAAGGGTGCATGGAGGAATTCGCGTTGACTTGTTCTCACTTGCACTTACTTCAAATGTTGCTCACTCACATCGGTGCCTGCATGTGCGTATACAGAGCAGGAAGTTTTTCAGGGTGATGGGGATGGTTCCAAGTATGTTCCCATTGCGTGCACGCACACAGGAGGTGAAGGACGGCCCATTCGACCTGGGCATGGGGTTCCTCAAGTCCTTCAACGGCAGCACGGGGTACGGGGGTGACTGGGCCGTGCGTGTGGCCGTGGACCTCAACCGTCAGAGGGTGGGCGGCGCAGTCAACGCCCAGTCAATGCCCTTGTGAGTCAACGCCCAGTCAATGTCCTTGTGAGTCAACGCCCAGTCAATGCCCTTGTGAGTCAACGCCCAGTCCATGCCCTTGTGAGTCAACGCCCAGTCAATGCCCTTGTGAGTTAACAATAGTTATTGCCACCTTGAGGCCTGCTCCCACTTCCTTCTCCCTCCCCCGCCTACACCCCACTTTGGGTTCTCACTCGTCTCACTTCTCCTCTCCCTCCCTCTCTCGTTCCCACTGGCTATTCCTCTTGCTCCGCCCTCTACCCTCCTCCTCCCCCCTCTCCCCCTCCCCCTCGCCCCCCCGCAGCACGTTCTTCTTCTACGTGGCGGACGAGGCGGGCGCCCCGCTGCTGGCGCTGCCCTCGCCCGTCGAGGTGGCCCGCCTCGTGCTGCACCCCGCCACTGCTGCCGCTGGGGGGGGCGCAGGAGAGGGCGCGAGTGGCAGTGCGGGGCGAGCGGGGGCGGAGAGTGACGAGGAGTGGGTGCGAGGGGGTTTTGATGACGAGGAGGACGATGAGGAGGACGAGGATGAGGAGGAGGACGAGGAGGGGGTGGGGGTGGGGAGGAGAAGGTTGAGGAGTGTGGAGGGCAGTGGCATGAGAAGGGGTGGGGCGGGACGAAGGGTTGAGAGAGGGGGAAGGAAGGGGAGGAGGCTGATGGGTGAGGGGGCTGGGGAGGAGCAGACGGAGGGGAGTGGGGGGCAGCGGGCAGCAGTGGTGGCGGGGGGGGTGTCGGATGTGTTTGGGCGGTGGGAGCTGCATGCCGTCACACAGGTATGCCACCTGTGCGCGCCGGGCAGCGTGTGTGTTGCACTCACGCTTCACACTGCTGTTTCTCAATCCAAACCTCTTCCCTCCACCCCCACGCCCTTCTCCCTCGCCCGCAAGCAGCAGGCGGAGGGGCCGGGGGCAACGTTTGAGGCGGTCCACACACGGCACATGCACAACCTGTCAGACACTGTCAAGGCCGCCCTCATCCGCCACGTACGTGCTCTCATCCGTGGGCTGCCAACATGTGCGTGCTGACCTGCTCCATGCATGCATTCATCCACATGCACCACACCTCTGCGTGCTAGCATGTCAGCATTGCAACATCTCCATTTGTCCGTGACCTCCCCGATCATTCACTATCTTGCTCTGCCTCCTCACACCCCTCTTGTCCACCCGCTGGCAGTACCAAGCCACGCAGCAGCCAACACTGGGCAACAAGGCACAGCGGGGCGCCAATGTGGCAATCATCCAGGTATCGTACCGCACCACAACTTCATGCCTCTGCTTGTGCTCCTCAGCCTCCGAGCATGCTTCTGCTCTCATCTGATCGTGTGCTCCTTGCACCACCCATCAATCGCCTCTAATTCGACTCTCACCCCCTCTCCCTCGTTTGAGGCGCCTCAAAAGTACTCCCTCCCCCCCTCCTTCACAGCTGACAGTGTGGCTGCCAGCAGTGGTGGACTTTGTCTTCCTCTCTGGCCTCCCTGCTGCCTCCTCTGCGCAATCGCCCTCACAAGAAGCCGCCAGACGCCTCAACCTGCTCTCAGGTGCCACTCGCTTTGATGCACCTTGACTTCAAACAAAACGGATCATAAAACATCTCGCACGCATGCACCCACCCACTCACCCCAACCCTCATTCGACTGCCCTCGTCACACACGTGTGCACATCCACACCCCTCCCCATTCGTCCCCCCTCTTCTCCCCTTCCGCACGCCCACCGCCGCCGTCCTCTGACCACGTCAGGCCCATCCTTGGCGCGGCGCTTGGGGGAGGCAGACGCGGCAGTGGAGCGCCGCATGGAAGCTTCCTTTCCAGTGGCCCCCGAGGTGAGGGGGCTGGCAGGGGGCAGTGGGGCTTGAGAGGGGAGAGGGTGTGGGGAAAGGGGTGCAGGGGTGTGAGGCAGTGCGGTGCGAGGTCAGGGACCAATTTCTGGTGTGCAGGCACAGGGGGGATACGAGTGATGGCGCATGGTGGTTGTGGGTGTCATTGGGTGTGGATGTATAAAGCATCACCTGTGGGAGTGTGCGGTCATGAGACTCCTCTGTGCCTGCCACTCTGCTGGCCCCTCACCGCACCCCGTCCTCGTGCCTGCCTGTGCACGTGCATGCAGCTGGCAGAGAGGATCCCCGGGGTGGGCGACGCGGTGAAGGCAGCGCTGAGCAACCTCATCGGCGGGATGGGGTACTTCCATGGCCGCTCCCGCATCGCCATTCCCCCCCACCTCAAGGTGCTTGCCAACACGCCTCCAGTGTTTCACACACTTCTTGTCGTCTTCTCATCCGTTCATCTTCATTTGCCCGCTTGTCCCTTAGGCTTGGCCACCACTGCCCTCATGCATCTTTCCCTCAATCGCCACAACCCCTCGAGCACGCCAGGACGCCAGCGACCCAGCGGGCTACTGGCAGAACTGGGCGGCGGCACTGTTCACGGCCACGCCCAGCCGCCCCATGTTCCCGCGGGGCTTCCTCTGGGACGAGGGCTTCCATCAGCTCGTGCTCAGGTAGCCTTCAGGTGGCCCTCAGGTGACCTTCAGGTGGCCCTCAGCTGCCTTTACGGGCGTCCACAAGCTTTTGCTTAGGTGATCCTCAGGTGCCTCTCAGGTGGCTTCAGGGCCCCCCAGCAGTTCGAGATCAGTTGACTGTAAGGTGGTGCTCAGGTGGCTTTAAGGGCTTCCACCAGCTCCAGTCAATTGCTCCGAGTCGCTCTCAGGCGACATGACAGGCATGCGGCGCACCATGCCCATGGATGTCCTCCCTTCTCTTCCATCCCCCTGTGCGTGCATGGCATGGCGTGATGGCATAATGGCGTGGCATGGCATGATGGCGTGATGGCATGGCACGGCATGGCATGGGCAGGCGGTGGGACGAGCGCATGGCGATGGACGCGGTGGGGCACTGGCTGGATCTGCTCAACGCGGATGGCTGGATCCCCCGCGAGCAGATCCTGGGGGATGAGGCACGCAGGTGAGGGGCTGAGGCACGCAGGTGAGGGGCTGAGGCGCGCAGGTGAGGGGCTGTGGGGATGAGGCGCGCAGGTGAGGGGCTGTGGGGATGAGGCGCGCAGGTGAGGGGATGAGGCGCGCAGGTGAGGGGCTGAGGCGCGCAGGTGAGGGGCTGAGGCGCGCAGGTGAGGGGATGAGGCGCGCAGGTGAGGGGCTGTGGGGATGAGGCGCGCAGGTGAAGGGGTCATGGGGATGCATGGCCTCTGCTGCTCACTCCCTGCCTCCTGTGCTCCTTGCTCCTCATGCTTGCGCTCTCAGCTCCGGATGCTCCACACTGCATGTGCAGTTCTGTGTGCTCGCCCTCTCGCATCCCGTGACACGAAGGTGTGCCCATCACCTGCTCATTTTCTACCGCATCCGTGTGCGTGTGAATCCTCCTTCTTCCCACCCATCCATTCCCCCATGGCAAGGGCAGCAAGGTACCGGAGGAGTTCATACAGCAGCATGTGACCAACGGCAACCCGCCCACGCTCTTCCTGCCTCTCACTGGTGTGCACTCCCAGTGCATTTCGCCCTCTTTCTTCTCCTCACTCGTACCAAACGACCCTGTCCCATCCCCTTAGCGGATTCTGTTGATATACATCAGTGCTTTACAGCACGTGTTGCTGTCTGTTTGTCGTTTGTTCTCCATGTCTGCCTGCCGCTCTGGACTGTCACCACCTACATAACTTGCGCTGCTCATTGCCTTTGCTGTGCTGTGCTGTGCTACAATGGATGCATGAACCTTGGATGCTGGTCTAATTGCTCGCTGCCCTGTTATTGTCTTCTTCAAAAATCTGTTCCCTCTCACCTTATCACCCATCCCTCAACAGAGATTGCTGATCTGGCAGCTCGCAGTGCTGCCACGTGTCAGCAGCTGCCGAACGGGTCGTTTGTGCTGAAGGAGGGGGTGGGAGAGGGAATGGGGGCAGGAGGCGGGGAGGCGGAGGGTTGTGAGCGGCTGTCGTTCCTGCGAGCGTGCCTGCCGCGCCTCAAGGCATGGTTCCGCTGGTTCAACTCCTCCCAGGCCGGTGCGTGTGCGTGTGGCAGGTCGGGCTGTTCACTTCTGGGCGGATATGAAAAGCAGAGCGCATGTGGGAAGGAAGCAATGTGTGGGGTGACACAAGGCACACCTCTTTGTTCGATTTTGCTGCGCCGCACCTTGCAAAATGGACATGTGTGGGTGGAAGCGGAGATGGGCAGCGCTATGAGTAGTGCCTATCCTCACATCATGTGAGCAACGATTGGGAGGCAAGGTGGCAAGGTGTTGGTGAGTGGGTGGCATGCGGCACGGCAAGGTGGTTGAGGTGGCAGCTGTGCTCTCTCATGCGTCGCCCTCCTTCTTGCCTCCTCTGCCTTCTGTCAGGGAAGCTGCCTGGAAGCTACTACTGGCGAGGGCGGGATGCCAGCACAGTGCGCGAGCTCAACCCCAAGGCCAGTGCCACCGCGCCCTCCTTCCTGCCCTCCTCCCTGCCCTCTTTGTTTTCTTGCCTTGTTGCCGTCCCTTGTTGCTGCACCACTCTTCCAGCTCCCTCACTGTTCCCTCCCTCCCTGCCTCACGTTCCTGTCTGCATGTTGCCCCACTCCAAGTTATCCATTCACTCCAATCGCCATGCCCTTTGTCCCCCTCCCCATCCTCGCCCCCCCCTTCCCCCCATAAGGCACCAGACGTTGCAGTCGGGGCTGGACGACTACCCGCGCGCCTCGCACCCGTCGGAGGACGAGCGCCACGTGGACCTGCGCTGCTGGCTCGCCACCGCTGCTGCTGCCATCGCCAAGATCGGCAGCGTGGTCGGGGAGGACGTGCAGGTGAGAGGAGAGGGCGTGCAGGTGAGATGGACGGACATGGAGGTGAGATGGAAGGGCGTGCAGGTGAGATGGAAGGACATGGAGGTGAGATGGAAGGACGTGCAGGTGAGATGGAAGGACATGGAGGTGAGATGGAAGGACGTGCAGGTGAGATGGAAGGACATGGAGGTGAGATGGAAGGACGTGCAGGTGAGATGGAAGGACATGGAGGTGAGATGGAAGGACGTGCAGGTGAGATGGAAGGACATGGAGGTGAGATGGAAGGACGTGCAGGTGAGATGGAAGGACATGGAGGTGAGATGGAAGGACGTGCAGGTGAGATGGAAGGACATGGAGGTGAGATGGAAGGACGTGCAGGTGAGATGGAAGGACATGGAGGTGAGATGGAAGGACATGGAGGTGAGATGGAAGGGCGTGCAGGTGAGATGGGAGGACATGGAGGTGAGATGGAAGGACGTGCAGGTGAGATGGGAGGACATGGAGGTGAGATGGAAGGACGTGCAGGTGAGATGGAAGGACATGGAGGTGAGATGGAAGGACGTGCAGGTGAGATGGAAGGACATGGAGGTGAGATGGAAGGACGTGCAGGTGAGATGGAAGGACATGGAGGTGAGATGGAAGGACATGGAGGTGAGATGGAAGGGCGTGCAGGTGAGATGGGAGGACATGGAGGTGAGATGGAAGGACGTGCAGGTGAGATGGGAGGACATGGAGGTGAGATGGAAGGACGTGCAGGTGAGATGGAAGTGTTGTAAATGTATCTTATATATACAACATACATAGGCTAGAATAGGTGTAGCTCTTTAAGCCATTGGGGGGTTGGGTGTACACTCCAACCACACTTTGTGGTTGGGTCAAGATTTGGTTTGGTCTTGGTCCTTGGTTGGCACTTGCCAACATTTGGTCCTAAGGCCAACCAATCACAAGCTAGCAACATTGTGGGGTTCCCTACTCCACAAGGCAACTCACCCATTGGCCAACTTAGTGGCCAATAGGGTTGCACCTTCTTCCAACCTCTCTTCCTTGCATGCTTGTACTATAGAGCCTCCTTGGCTCATTACTCAACCATTCTTGAATTCTATCAGGAAGGACATGGAGGTGAGATGGAAGGACGTGCAGGTGAGATGGGAGGACGTGCAGGTGAGATGGGAGGACGTGCAGGTGAGATGGGAGGACGTGCAGGTGAGATGGGAGGACGTGCAGGTGAGATGGAAGGACATGGAGGTGAGATGGAAGGACGTGTAGGTGAGATGGAAGGACATGGAGGTGAGATGGAAGGACGTGCAGGTGAGATGGAAGGACATGGAGGTGAGATGGAAGGACATGGAGGTGAGATGGAAGGGCGTGCAGGTGAGATGGGAGGACATGGAGGTGAGATGGAAGGGCGTGCAGGTGAGATGGGAGGACATGGAGGTGAGATGGAAGGACGTGCAGGTGAGATGGAAGGACATGGAGGTGAGATGGAAGGACGTGCAGGTGAGATGGAAGGACATGGAGGTGAGATGGAAGGACGTGCAGGTGAGATGGAAGGACATGGAGGTGAGATGGAAGGACGTGCAGGTGAGATGGAAGGACATGGAGGTGAGATGGAAGGACGTGCAGGTGAGATGGAAGGACATGGAGGTGAGATGGAAGGACATGGAGGTGAGATGGAAGGGCGTGCAGGTGAGATGGGATGTGAGAAGAAAAGTTAGAAGAGAAGTTGCCGAAAAGGATGGGGGGTTTACATAGGAGATGGGTTGGAAACTAGCCTAGGTGAACATTATTGGACCCCAACCAAGGAGTTGGGTTGGGAGATTATTGGTGGGGTCCAATAATGTTGGCCAAGTTGGAGTTGGGCCAACATTATTGGAGGGGACCAATAATTCTACCCATCCCAACCCTTGGGGTCCAATAATTGGACCAAGGTTGGGTTTCCAACCTACAAATTGGGTAACCCCTGCTTGTACACCCAAACTAAGTTTGGGTGCTTATCTCTAGCCTATCCTATAGCATATATGCAGGTTACAAGAGAGGAGATATTCTAACACAACCCCTTAACCTGCAGAGATGCGGAAAGGCTTGAGAGAAGCAACCCCTGAATCAAGGCGCGCCTGGGGGAGCGAGGCCAATGAGGCGGAGGAGAGCAGAGTGCGCGGGGCGAAGAAGTGCTTTGGTGAAGATATCCGCCAAATTGGCTTCAGTGGCGATCTTGCGGACGGCGATAAGATTCTGTCGGACGAGTTCGCGGATGAAGAAATAACGGAGCTCGATGTGCTTGGAGCGACCATGAAAGACTGGATCCTGGGTGAGATGGATGGTGCTGGCGTTGTCACACCAGAGCGTGGGACAGCGCTGGGGGGCACCAAGCTCTGCCAGAAGAAAGCAGAGCCAGCGGGACTCTTGAGCGGCCATGGTGCCCGCATAGAGCTCAGCTTCGCAGGAAGAGAGAGCGATGGCTGAGGAGCGGGTGGAACGCCAGCTGATAAGTCCGCTGCCGAGGGTAAAGCCATAGCCTTGGGAGGAGCGGCGGTCTGGCTGATTGTCTGCCCAGGAGGAGTCACTGAAGCCCGAGAGAAGGGGAGGGGAGGATCCACCCAGTGTGAGAGCGTGATCCTTGGTGCCGCAGAGATAGCGGAGGACCCGCTTGGCGGCAGCCCAGTGTTCCTCAGTGTGACGGCCAGAGCCGACGAACCGAGCAAGGACGCTGACGGGGTAGGCGAGGTCGGGGCGGGTGCACATCATCGCGTACATCAGCGACCCAACGAGCTCGGCGTAGGGCCGGGAGGAGGAGGAGGGGGAGGTGGGTGGCGCAAGTTGGTGACCGAAGGGGAGGGGGGTGGAGACTGGTTTGGCCTGCGCCATCTCAAACTTCTCCAGGACCTGGCCGATGTAGTGGGACTGGGAGAGAGTGATGGTGCGGGCGGATCGATCACGGGTGATAGCCATGCCGAGGTAGTTCTGGAGGGGACCAAGGTCCTTGCACTTGAGTCGTTCCTGAAGTGACCGCTTCATCTGGTCCATGTCGGCCCTGGAGTCCGCCAGCAGGATCATGTCGTCAACGTAGACCGAGATGAAAAAGCGACTGGGGGAAGAGCGGATGAAGAGGCTGGCGTCGGAGTGGGAGGGGGAGAAGCCAAGGGACTGGAGAGTAGCAGACAGCTTCGCATGCCATTCTCGTGGTGCCTGCTTCAGGCCGTAGACCGGTCGCTTCAGCTGCCAGACGGTGTTGTCGGGGAACGTAGCATGGAACCCGGGAGGTCGGCGGAGAAAGATGCGTTCGTGCAGTTCACCTTGCAGGAAAGCGTTGGAGACGTCCATGGAGTCAATCTCCATGTCGTCTCTTGCACCGATGTCAAGAAGGGTGCGTAGGGTGGCCTGCTTGACGGTGGGGGCGAACGTGAACCAGTAGTCCTCAGCCCAGGTCTGGGTGAACCCCTTGGCAACGTAGCGGGCTTTGTAGACTGGTTCTTCTCCCGGCAGCTGCTTGACTCGAAAGATCCACTTGCCCTCAACCAGGTTGGCGTCAGGAGGGAGGGGAACGTCAATGAAGGAGTTATTGTGGATGAATGCTTCACATTCCTGGAAGATGGCGGCTATCCACTTATCGGCGTCAGGGCAGGTGATAGCCTCTTGGAAGGTGGAGGGGACGAAGATGGTGGGAGCGGAGATCGCGCTAAGGAGTAGGGCGCCGAGGAGGTCAGGGGAAAGTACTGTGAGAGAGGGAGTGTGGCGCCGGACCATGGTGAACTCCTCATGGGAGTCCTCCAGTTGGTTGAGGGAGGGAGGAGACGGTGCACCAAGGATGGGGTCAAGGGAGCGGGTGTGCATGCGAGGGAGGAGGAAGGGTGAGGAGCGGGCAATTGCCCTGCTGCTGCCGCTGCTGCTGCTGGTGCTGCTGGAACCCCTGCTGCTGCTGCGGCTGCTGCCCCTGCTGCTGCTGCTGCGGCTGCTGTTGCTGTTGTGGCTGCTGCGGCTGCTGCTGCTGCCGCTGCTGGTGCTGCCCTTGCTGCTGCTGCGGCTGCTGCTGCTGCTGCTGCTGCTGCTGCTGTTGCTGCTGTTGCTGCTGCTGCTGCCGCTGCTGCTGCTGCTGTTGTTGTTGCTGGTGCTGCTGCTGCTGCTGCCGCTGCTGCTGCTGCTGCTGCTGCTGCTGCTGCTGCTGCTGCTGCTGCTGCTGCTGCTGCTGCTGCTGCTGCTGCTGCTGCTGCTGTGATGGATGAGGAGGGGAGTGGGAAGGGGAGGAGGGAGGGGGAGCCGTGGAGTGTGCGGGGGAGGCAGGAGCAGTGGGATCGTAGACGTCGGCGGATGAAGGTGGCGGAAGCGGGGTGGGGAGGGGTGGGAGAAGGGGTGCCGGAGGGAGGAGGGGAGGGAGGACGGTGTCGGCCCAAGCGAGAGGACGTGTGGGAGGAGGGAGGGGGTCCGGTGGTGGAGAGGAGTAGTACGGGGTGGTCTCATCGAACACAACGTCAATGCTGCGGATGAGGCGACCAGAGGGAGGGTGAAGGAAGAGGTAACCAGGCGAGTCGCGGTTGTGTCCGAGGTAGACACACTCGAGGGCGCGAGGAGCGAGCTTGCCTTGGGTGCGGTCGGGTGGAGGAATAAGCACATATGCCTTGCAACCCCAGACACGGAGACCGGCAGCGTCAGGTTTGGTTCCTGACCAGAGCTCCGTGGGGGTAGCGGCAGTGTGTTGGGGATGGGAGTGAAGGTTGAGGAGGAGGGCAGCATGGAGGAGGGCATAGCCCCAGAGAGAGGGAGGGGTGGAGGCGTGAGCAAGGAGACAGCGGGCGATCTTAGTGATTTCGCGAATGCGGCTTTCTGCAACGCCGTTCTGCTGTGGGGAGTGGGGAAGAGTGTGGGTCTGTTGGATGCCATGGGTGGTGCAGTAGTGAGAGAGAGTGCGGTTGAGGAATTCGCCTCCCCCATCAGAGTGGAGGCGGCCGATGGGACGTTTGAAGTGGGTGCGGCATTGCTCTGCCCAGTTAATGATAATGGTCGGCGCCTGGTCTTTGGTGTGGAGG